TCCAGGGTGGTCCCTATAAGGATTCGGGAAAAAAGCCCCTATAGGGGATAAAAAGTGGTCCCTACAAATTTAGGTGGCTTTTTAGGGTCCGACCATTAGCCCTAAAGCTTAAGTGGTCCCTATAGAGATCTTTCAACTTCATTCAAAAAAGGTTATTTGTTCAGTTTTTTGAATGGAAATGCTTCTTCGCAAAGAGTTCATGAAATTACCAACTAGCAGGTTCCTTTAGGAGCCACTAAATAAAGCCCCCATAGGGACCACTTTCGCGATCTTTAGTGGTTCTATAGCGGTTCGTAAAGTGGTCCCCTCCAAAGACCCCGAAGAAAACCCCTACAGGGACCACTCTGGAGTTCTTAAGTAGATAGAGTAAAAAACAAAAAAAAATCTTGATAAAACTCAACAAAGAAATATGATGCTCAGTTCTCAATCAAATAATAGTTTCTCCCATCATCTCTATAACAAAAATAATCGTTTTACAACTTTCTATCAAATGTTCATTCCAGGTACTGTGCTACAGTCAGCAAATGTGCCTTTTCTCCGTGTCCTTCGCCAATAAAGGTTGCTTTCTCTTTTTTTTTTTCTTGAGGTATCAGAAAAATGAGCCTAGAATGATATGAAAAGAAGACGTTTGACCTTTTAAATGAAGCTTTAGAACGTTATAAATATAAATTGACAAAAAATAACTCGGGCAACGACGGAATGGTAGATAATGGCCGCAAAAAGGAGGAGCTCAAAAAAGGCAGCAAAAAGAGTCCCTTTATCGAGCCTTACATTTTTCCGGGGTTTTAAAGGTTCAAGAAATGGTAGAGAAAGGGAGAGGCAGCAAAATGGGTGCATAAAGGCCGAGAAAGTGGCGCAAAAAGGCAGCAAAAAAGGAACATTTCTACAGAGCCTTTTTTCACTCTTTCTGACCATGCCTATGAAGCTACAGACTCGAGTAAAAGTGGCTAAAAAAAAGCTTCAAAAATGACAACTTGTTATGCTCTCTTCAGTTGAGAATAAAAAAATTCGTTCTGGCTCTCCAGCATCTCCAATATGAATACAAATCGAAACTTCTTGAAGTACGAATTGAGAAACATAAATCCCATTCAAAACGAATTTTTTTCAAAATTCCAGGTAGTTTTGAACTGCCCAAAACTTCCTGCAGCTGAATTTGAATACGATGACAATTTTGCACGAACCAAATGGCTTCCGTTATTTTCCGCAGCTGCCGGTAACAATCCGGACTCTTGTTTCAGGTTTTTAACAGTTTTTTTTTGGAATCTGCTTTTAGATTTCGAGAAAAGCTCAAAAATATGACATTGCGTGTATTGAAACTGCCCTTATTCTTCAATTAACTAACATGAAAATTATTTTAACATGATTTTGTCGAATCGAAAAAGGACCGGAAGGGTGGTTTTTCCTCAAAAAATCAGTAAATACACTATAGTTTCTACTTTTTATCAATATTTTTTCTGCTAGATCTGTGATAAATGTTCTAGTTCTGATAAGAGACACGTGTTGATAGCTGCAAAAAATCCATTAAACTAATTGATCTTTGAAGTTAAAGATTTTTGATCAAAATACAGAAACTGACAATGTAAAAAGAACATTAGAGGAAATTTCGAAAAAAAGGCTAGAAAAACTGAGTTTTCATAGTTTAAAATAAAAGCTTCAGAAACCAATTTCCAACTATGAAAACTTTCTCCACGATCAGCGCCAACTGTTCAAGTCCAGCCGATGTAAAGGGACCGGGTAAGAATTTTTATTTAATTTTTGAAAAAAATTCAAATTTCACGATTAAAAACGACTAAGAAACTTTTTGAGGGTTTCCTATAGGGATTCTAAAAAGACCTTTACGCACTGCCTATAGTGAACCCTAAAACTCTCATAGGGGTCCCTATAGTGGTCCAAATTAAAATGGTCCCAAGTGAATGTCGTTCAGGATCGGGAAAGTCGCTCCTCAAACTAAGAAAAAAAAAATTCCTGTTTCAGCGGTCATCGATTGTTGTTTGTTTAAAATAAAATAAAATTGTGAACCCTATAGGGACCACTGTTTCTTTGAAATAAAATAAAAAAATAGGAACCCTATAGGGACCCCTGAAGCGTCAGGCCTTTAGTGTACCTCTCATAAAGCCCTATAGTCTATAGAGATCACTAAAATTTAGGCCCTTCTAGGTCTATGGTCTCGCCCCTATAGTGGTCCCTAAAACAACAAAACCCTATAGGGATCCCTCCAAAACTCCTCAGTTACAGACACCAACTGTTTCATGTACACGGCCTTCGACGCGACCAACAAAATAATCGTAATGTCGTTCCGGGGAACCGTCGGCGGCACTCAATTGGCTGAAGAACTTGTCGACTTTCTAGTGTTCGTTGAAAAAATCACAAAAAATGATAGTTTGGAAGTTTAGGAACAAGAAGCAATTTTTCGACATCGGCTACGTTTACGACTATTTCTACGATTCTTTCCTGACCCTCTGGAACGCCGGTTTGACCAACGATATCCGGAACTTGAAGTATCTCTATCCGAACTATGAACTTTGGGTTGGTTGGCGTATTTTCTCATTAAGATAGTTAAATTTATAAAAAAAGTAGTTTTGATGAGAATTTCATGAAATTTTAGAAATGGCTCTTTAGGCTTAGGTGAAGCTCTCAAACCTTGAGCCTTCTTTGAATTTTTAAAATTTTTAAAAAAGGGCCACAGCCCCTAGAGGGGTCAAAAAAGTGCCCCCTGTAGAGGTAGAACTTAGGCGGTCTATAGCGGTTTATGGTCTATCCCCGCAGCCCGTAATGCTCAGGTGTTCCCTACAGGGTATTTTATTCATTTTTGACCAACTTTGAAAAAGCCAGGCTTTTTTTCCTGTAGACTTCATAAAAATAATTTGCCCTTTGAAGAGAGAGAGGTTAAGTGGTCCCTTAAGTGGAACCATCAAAAGCCCTTAAGCTTGCCTCTAAAGGGACCTCCCTGGAGTTCCTAAGTCGTTCCTTAGATTATTAATTTTTTTGCAAAATTATTAAAAAAATTCAAAACGTCACACTTCTCTCGAAAAAAATAATGTGAACTAGGAAAAAAAACTTCTTTGATTATTAATTATTTATTAAATTAATTATTTACAGGTAACCGGCCACTCTCTTGGAGGAGCAATGGCTTCAATCGCCGCTTCTTATGTCGTCAAAATCGGCCTTTTCCAACCCCAAAACATCAAACTTTTCACGATTGGACAGCCTAGAACTGGAGATTATGGCTATGCTACCTGGCATCAGAATACGGTTGGTAAAACCTTCAAGGCATGAAAATGAAGCGTTTTTGAAGTTCCCCTACTCGTACCGAGTGGTTCATCACAAAGACATCGTTCCTCATGTACCTTTCCAAGATTCTCTCGACACCCATCGGATGTACCATCATAGAACGGAAATTTGGTCGGTCATTCTTTTTTTTTTGAAATCGATTGATTGTCATTAAATTTAAGTTTTGTGAGTGAGCCAGATAGAGCTAGGAATGAAATTTGAAAAGAAAAATCTTATGTGAACTATTTTTGTTCGAAAGGGATTTACAATATACCAAAATCCAGTTATAATCGCACAAAAGTTCAGCGAAAATAAAGATTTTCCGCATTCTAATGAATGGGAAGGTCGGAAATTTCATACTGAGCAACATAAATTTCAAATCATCTTTGCCAGAGGCTTTTCAAAACTGTTTTATACTAGTTTCAGATTATTTTTGAATTTCAGAGAACTCAGGATAAAAATCTTGCATCATTGAAAAAATCGCGAAAATTGATCCAAATAAGTTTTGCAAGTCTTTATTTGAAAGGCAGCCCTCTTTCCCCTCTCCTAAAGTTTGAATTTTTTTCGTCCAAGGCTAATTTCAGGTACAACAACAACATGACGATCGGTTCTTCATACAACGTTTGCAAAGAAGCCGACGGATTGTACTGCAGTAACACCCAAATCGATACCAGTTTCGCCGATCACTCACTGTACTACGAGAAAAGGATCTCCGATTGGGGACAGAGCGGATGTCCTTAGAATTAATTGATTATACTCTTTGATTTCTATATTTTTTCACGTTTTATAAGTTCTCTTCAAATTCTTGTAAATATAGTTCGTTTACCACGACTTGAAAGTTTTCGAGTGTCTGCGCCTCTCTGTTCTCTCACCGGCGAGGTTACAGAAACACGAAAATAGCACGTCAACATGAGAGGGTCGCCGAGAGACAAGGAGGGCGCAGAGAAGTCCCTTTAAAGTCGCAAAAAAAAGAAGTCTGTTCAGATTCTGAATGTCAATGACGTCATTCGAAAACGCTCTCTCATTGGTTAACCGCACCATTAGGGGCGGAGCTTGAGAGACGAATCGACATTCAAAGTCCGAACATACATTATATAATCAATCGATAATCGATATCACACTGGAAGCCTTTTTTGGAGCTTTAATTAAAGTTCTGTCGACTTTTTTCTAATGCAATTAGTTACTTTCTGTTCATTCATCCGGGTTCTATTCGATTGTTTTTTTGATCCATTTTTTTTTCAAGGTTTCTAATAAATATATTGTTTTTCTCTTTTGAAAAGAAAAAAATCTTTTTCATTCCTTCATCATTCAAGTGTTTATTCGCCATTTCGCAATCTGCACGACAAATACAAAAAAAGATAAAATAAATCAAATCAATCTAACAGCTGATTTTTTTGGAGGGAAAGTTGTCTGAAAAGACGGTGCCAGCCCCCATTTTCGAGAAAAAAAAAAATATAAAATTCTCGTTTTTAATGAAGTCTGTTTTTTTTTAAATCTTGCTTATTTGGGGAAGACTTCGAAAAAAAAGTTTGCATCCAGAAGAATGCATGAATCACTTTCTAAATCACTTTAAGTCCTCTTTGGAGTTCAGAACGGAACCAAAATGGCTTATCGCGCCACGCAAAAGTGCTTATCAGTTCATTCCAGCCAACTTCAGAACCACACCCCCGAAACGCGCTCTTTCCTACTCTAATTTATTGATTTTTAACTTTCAAAATCTGTTTCCAGGAATGAGGTTTCTACCTCATATTCTCTTTTTGGCTGTTTTTGGCCTAGTGAACGGCTTCGAGAATCTTGATGTGATTGAATCGTGCCAGAATGGAGGCTTCAAGGCCAGCGCCAACTTGTGTAATTGCCCACCCTATTTTTGAAGGTTTTTTTATTGCTTGTTAAAGAATCAATGAACTTTGAAAAAAAGAGGCGAAATCACCCAAAGTTTTTGATTATACGAAAGTAAAAACTGTCAATAAAATGCCTGAATACCTTTTTAAGCTAGACAAAACAAAGTTTTTAGAAAGAAGTCCATATAATCGTCTAGCCGGAAAATTAAATTAGAAGACAAAAAATTTGAATTTTACGTTTCAACAAGCTCCCTAACATTGAAATTAGGCGAGTGTATTTCGAACATAAATAAAAAAATTATGAAAACAGAAGGAAAAATGTACTGTGTACCGAAGATTATCAAAAAAAAGTGCTTCCTCAACAAAAAACTTTGAAAAAAAATCCTTTTTTGAGCTCGATTATAATATTAAGCTCCGCCTATAAAGGCGAGTTAAACCAATCAGAGAGCGAGCCACCCACAGAGTTTTTTCGAATGACGTCATTGTAATTGACATTCAAAATCTGAACAGACTAGGCTGAAATTCGCCTCGAGACCTTTTCCGATTATTCTATGCTTCTTGAATCACCACATGTAGAATTCCAGAGTATAAAATAACTTAATAACATCTCATATAGATAAAAGCCAAAAGTTCAAGAAATAATATAGGAGATGATTGTTCGAAAATCGCCTGTATCAATGGAGGATTTGTCAAAGACGGCGATAAAATATGTACCTGCCCCCCTGGCTACGCTGGAATTCATTGTGAAGCAGGTTTTATTTTCAAGTTGCTGAACACTTAAATGAAAAAGCTGTTTCTAGTTCAAACAGCAGCACCTTCCTGGAATCCCGCGGCCATTTCCAACACTTTCAACATTATCAATTGCAATATGTTTACCTATTATTGGGGTCAGGAAACTTACAAAGTTGTTAATACGGTGAGATTTTAAAAGGATCAATATGAAGTTTTGAAATTGCACTCATTTCAGGCTGTTGTCAACCATCTAACAGCTTATCCCGGTTTCTATTCTAGTAACATTTTCCTAGAATCAAATGACACTGAGTCTTTGGATTCCAACGATAACCCGCTAACCAACGGTAGTTTGAAACTCAATTTATATGCACTCTAAAACAAAAAAATTCAGTCGGATTCGATTATACGGACGTTGGAACATTGGGAGAACCAAAAGAAGACAAGTTCTATTCGTGTTATCAGTTGCCGATCTATCAACAAATCGTACGAATGGTTCGAGGTATTTAAATGCTCAAAAATTTAAAAAAAGCTCTGATAAATACTCACATTTAGAAAAGTCGCTGACTCAAACGACCATCACGATAATCACGCAGCACCCACCAACCGATGACCTGTTCGACATCGCCAGGCAAACTGTGGCTGGATATCGTGTCAAAGTGAAAATTTGCACATAACTACACCTAAAAATAGTACTATTATAGTTATTTTAGTCAAAACGAAATGAGAAAAAACAGAAAAATAAATTTCAGACTCGAAAAAAGGCAGCTTAACATGAAAGTTCGCTCCAATGAGGAAGCCGCCAATTTGAAATTTTTTTCCTTTTTATTCTCAAAAACTAATTTTTATTTTTTCGTTGGCAGTTTTAAACTTCAAATTTATTTTCAGATCAATGTCGTCTTCATCAGTGACGAAATTTTTATGGACTGCAGCGGTCAACAAGATTCGGTTATTTATCGAAAAAGGGGAAATTAATTCGTTATATTTTTAGATCGCCAAGATGCGTAAATTCGCACAAGGAACCGGTGGTATTTTTGCTACTGTCAAGTTGGGAAGCACGAACTTGGACAAGGTTTCAGCTACAAACGTTATCGAAGTTGAAAAATATGATTTTCAGCTCCTTGAAGCGGTTTTCGCCAGCCATGTGAAGTCACAAGTTGTTGCGGCAGGCAGCTGGGACACGTGCGATGGAGCTGTTTCAACTCTGCAGTTCACACAGGACTCGTTATTCAGCGCTAATCAACAATACTACTTCGTTTTTGAAGGAGGTAAAACCAATTTCCTGGGACAACAAATTCCAAAAATGAACTTAAAGGGTTAATTAAATCAGATTCAGCTTGATGTTTCAGATAACGTGAGGCCGGCGCCAAGCGTTATAAGCGACTGCAACTTGAACCTCCAGCTCAATTCGCTGTCCTTCGACAAGCGAGTCCGAACTTTCGCCACGAATATTTCCACGGCTTCTTGTCCTCTTCCTGTCAATGCGGATGGTCCTTGCACTGCTAAGGTTTAAAAAAAATAATAATTGATTTTAATCGAAAAGAAAAATAGTGAAAGTGAGGTAAGCAGTGGTTTATTCGAGTTACAAGAAGTATGTAATTTGACGCGAAGGGGCGTGGCCTTTCTTCGCTCTTCATCAATTAGGCACTTTCTCGTTTTTTTTTTTTGTTGTGTCAGGACCCATTTTTTGATGATTCAAGAATACAGCAACGTATAAGTCTTCATTTCCCATTTCTATATCCTTTCAAATCTCATTTTGGCCGGTCCAGTACACTGTAGGTTTAAATTGTGCATACACCAAATGGGAAAATGGCCTAGTATGGGAACCGGACGGACCCCTGTAGGTCGGATCTGGTATGAATGATTTATTTTCAATAGTTCTGCACATCTTGAACCCCTTTTCGACGCTTAGACGGTCAATTTCAGGTGTTTGCTCCAGTGACAACCGGCCTGACACCTCAAGTGTACTTCTCCTTTGTTGAAGACGTCGTTCTTGACACTTCCAGAACTGCTCTAACCGAAAGTTGGTTTTTTTTTAAACTGTTCGAACCCCAAGAACTCGAGAAACAGTAAAGTAATGAAAAATTCAGAACAAACTCTCTACCCGGTCGTGCACGTCGACAGCAGCGCCACTGTGGGGATTTTTGGCAAAGTTCCAGAATTTCGGAAATTTATTTCAGACTCCACTGACCTCAGCGACCTTCCTCTCGTCTTCCTCCCCAACCAACTTGTTTTTGCAACAAAGGACGGCTTCTTTTGAATGGGCTCCGGATTCGAATCAGGCATTTCCGAAGATTTTCTCGTCGATTTCATGAATTTCGATACAGAATGCGACAATTTGCGACGCGTCGAAACCAGCTTATATGAAACTTCAGTTTAGTGTCAACACGGTGGTGATCCAAAGATTCTATAGGGTCCTCTGTTTTGAGGGTTTGTATTCGTACTTTTTTTGAAATTTTGGAAGATTTTTTTAATTTGTCTGTTTTTTTATTCTTAAAGATTCGAGTCTTTTTTTACCGTTTAGATTTTTGATAAAAAAAGACCACATTCAATTGAGCTAGTCCCAGGAGCACGAAAATCGGAGGTTGAAAAAAATAAAATAAAATTATAAAATAAATAAGAGAAATATTGATTGAAAAAAATGAAAAGACAAATTTAGTTGGAAATTTCGGAGTTTTTATGAAATTATTTCAATAAAATTAGTTTTAAACTTGGAAAGAATGTCAACCTTTTTTGATTTTTCTTAAGCATTCAGAGTCTAGAAACTCCTGAAATTGATGAATATTATTCGATCTGAAAATTCAATAATTTTTTTTTTCGATTTTATTCTGTAGTTTTTTTTTTGCTGGATTAGTCACATTTTTACAATAAAATTGTAAATTTAGAAGAACTGGTTCATTTTTCAAAAAAGTTATAATATTTATTCGAAAAAATAAACCGAAAGGTGAAATTTTAGCCATGGTGCCATTGTCTTCTTCCACAGTGGAAACTACCATTGTGACGTCAACAGCGGCTCCCGTGACGTCACCAACTTCAACTATGACGTCAACAACTCCTCTTCCGACAACAACAACTGTAGCTATGACGTCAACTAGTTCCGAATCGACGACGACAGGACCTGGCACGACTCCAAGTCCCAGTAAGCAGACGAAGAAATTTCGAAACCAAAAATAAGGGGGCGGAGTGAAAGTCCATGACGTCACTTGGGAACGGCGAAGAAGTAAGAGCGTGAGCAACAGGGTATATTAAAGGCGCAGGCGGTAGCATTAACTTGGGTCTTGAGAAGAATCAATTTTCTCGCCCATGGACGCAATTTTTCTGTGTGAGAGCGCCGAAGGGCTTACACAGGACACACGACACTTTACAGAAAAATTAGGCAAGGCGCCGTCAAAAAAAAAACGCTGTGTATAGTCTGTTTAGATTTTGAATTTCAAGTCTTTGCTGAAGCTCCGCCCCCTAATGGCGCGATAAACCAATCAGAGAGCGAGCCATCCACAGAGTGTTTTTGAATGACGTCATTGCACTTGACATTAAAAATCTGAACAGACTATAATGAAGAGCGCTAGCCTTGAATGAGCTATTCACAGAAAAGATCAGAAACTGCCAAAGAGAAAGAAAATTTTGGTAAATTTTTGCACGAAAACACTCTGAATTCCGCTTCCGTAGTTTCCTGATTCAAAAGATGTCCATTTTTTGCAGCCTGCGCCCCGCTTTTCGGGCCAGCCAAGGACAAAACCTTCAGTTTCGCCTACGCGACCGACGTCGCCGTCACGACGTTCAAACTCGCCGCCGGATTCATTTCCAACTTTGTCGAACCCTCGCCTTTCAAAAATTTCGGATTACTTCGTTTCGACGCCAATGATGGAGAGGTCTACAACGTCTCCACTGATACGGGGTTCATTTACTTTTTTTCTTTAGAGCAGTTTGAAAAAAACACTTATAGCCCATCCCGCGTAAAATTATTATTTTTTCTGAAAAATACCGTATGCCGAAATGGGTGCACTCCGTTTTAAAACCCTTTTTGCCGTTTTTTTAATAATTTTTTCAGAGAAAAGGGCAAATTCTGTTTTGTATCAATCAAATCACTTTTGTGATGAAAAAAATAAATTTTATTATTTTTTTCAGAATTTTTTTCATTTTTTTCTTCTCAAACTCAGAATCTAATAATTCTCTTCTTCAACATTTTTCAAGAGATGAAGCTCTTTTTCAACTTTTTTTTTCGAGTTTTCTCCTATTGAAACGTTTCCTTTCTATTTTCTCCCAAAATATATTTTCTTCTTCAAAATCAATATTGGAATCCGAATCCAGAGCCTACGGATCGGCCCTTCAAACAACGTATTCGGTCAACGCGACGATCGCGAGAACGGACCTAACTTCAGATGTTATCACGCAAATTACTGTAAGCACTTTGGACACCCTGGAATATATAAAAGAACGATTTGAGACGAAAATAACGAAGAATATGACGGAAAACTCGGCGTTATTCGTTTTCATCAATCGTCTACCCAAAACAACGGAGACATTCGACAGCTCGGACTACACGAATCGAAATATCAAAGTTGGTTTTGTAAATTTTGAAGTTTTTTGATGATTTTACACGGCTTTTTTGTTAGTGGAAGGAAATGTGAAACCAAAAACAGGGTGTGCCGCCGTTCCCACGTGACGTCATGGCAAGTATTTCGGCTCTAAGAGCGTAAAAAACAGGGCATATTAAAGGCGCAGGTCGCCGCATTGCCAGAAGTCTTTAAGACGAATCGAAATCTCTCTACATAAACGCAATTTTCTGCGCGAAAGCGGCGCAGTGCATGCACATGACACGACACTTTACGGAGAAAAAGGGGGCGTGGCGTCGTTGAAAAACGCCGTGTTTAATAGAGTTTCAGAGGCTTTTGATAGCTTTATTCATTCCAAAACCTTACAAAACTTAACTTTTAATTTTTTTTTTGTCGCTATAACTTCGCTTACAAGGATTAGAAATGAAATATTTAAGTTCAAAGAAACTTCACTTAATCATTCATGCGTAGATTTTTTTCAATTTAAAAATAAAAATTTAGAGAAATCTTATCGTTTTTTTACGAGATAAGGACATCTGATTAGGAAAGTTGCTTCAATATAATCAAATAACCAAGATTTAAAGTTCTAAATGAAAAATTTGGGCGCAGGCTTGTTCTGCGCCATTTGGTTTTAGGCTGAGTTGAAAAAAAAATAAGCGTTATGATAGCTTTTTCTCTATTTTGAAGATATTGTAGAAAACGATTTTTAGGATTTTTTGAAAAAAAAACCGAATATCCACACTCGGCTATGGATACGGTAGCTCAAATGATTACGGTAAAAAGCTTCGAAAGTCTATATCTCGGCAACAAATTAATGAATCTCAATCAAAGTTTGTCACAAGGTGCAAAATAACTTTATTCAAATCTTAAAAATCTAAAATCTCATTTTTACTAGTTATTGCTCATATTAGAGATTTTTCCCGACGGGTCTGCCCTAATTAAGCCCGTATTTCTTGAGTTCATTTGAGAAAAAACAGCCGTGAAAATCTGAGACACAACTGAGCTAAAACGGTCTTCAGCTGGATAGACAGGGCCAAAAGTTCTACCAGCCCTGACTTTACGTTTGGTTCCCCTCATCAGCATGAGAGGATCAGAAAATAAAGATTTGACCTGGATTTCAAAGCTGTGGAAGTTCAGATCTTCACGATGATCAGTTCGGCGGCCCTGAATGAGCAGAAAGACTCGCTCGGTCCGTCGAGTGGAAATGTCTTCGACCTGATGGCCGCCCTCACCAACGGCCACCATATCGTCGCCGACGATTCCATCACCTTTGACAGTCAAGGAAATCCCACCTCCACACATTTCCAGGTCTGCTGAAGTCGGTTTTGGAAAATTCGCCATGTCACCTTGTTTCTTAAAGGCATAGGGGCAGTAAAAACGGGGTTTCAGGTGAAAGCAGTATCTTATATAGTTTTTCATTGCGAATCGAACTGAGTACTCAAAAAAAATTACAGATGTGACCAATTTTGAAAAAAAAAGCGATTTTACTTTCCCGCCTTTAATTTTGAAAAAAGCTTTGGATCGGTATGCAGAATTGTTTACGGTAGCCGTGCACGCGATGTTGCGGACGTCTCATTAGACTCGCATTTTGTGAGAAATAACCGGAAATCTGCTTCAAATCAAGGGTTTCTTTTTTGAAAAATCGATTAAGAAAACAAAAAACACACAACGAAACACAAATAATCGCAATCCCAATCGAAACCTGTGTAAAATCATCATTTTTCACCAGAGAAGCATTTTCGCGATCAAAGTTTGCAAATTATACATGAATAGAAAGCTTTTGTGACGAAAAGAACTTTAGTGACAACAGAAAAAATTGAAAATTGAAAGAAACGAAGAAAAAAGCGAAAATCCGGAATATGGCGAAGCCTGTTGTCCATAGAGCAACTTTACTGCGAAGCGCCCTTTTCGCGGGAAATCAAACTTTCTTTTCTCCGACTTTGAGTGATTTTTTTCTCCAAAACTAGGAACTCCTGTACATTTCCAAGTTCAGCGTTAGATTCGCAATTAAAAACTCTACAAAGTACTGATTTGAACTGAAACACCGTTTTTTACTGCCTTTGCCTTTAAATTTCTGAAAACTACATATTTTCGCTTAGGGACACTAAATAAGCAGCTCTAAACTCAAAAATAACGCTTCAAAATTTAAAAAAAGGAGCCTTACTTAGAAATTCCCAGAGTGGTCACTAGAGCGGCAGCCTTAATTTTGTAGGCCTTACCTTCACCTTTAGACACTGAAGCTTGCAAAAGTTGTAACCCTCTAGGGAGCGCTATTTTGTCTACTGTGTGGGACTTTCTCCTCAACCACTATAGTGACCACTTTGACATTCTTGAGTAGCGACTACTTACTCAGTATTTGAGGAGAGATGTGAAAATTTCAGAAAAATAAATGAATCTTGAAATTGTTTCGAGTGTCTGCGTCTCTCTGTTCCCTCACCGACGAGGTCAGAGAAACATGGAAATAGCACGTTAACATGAGAGACACGCCGAGAGATAAGGAGGACGCAGAGAAAAACAACAGTTTCAAGTCACCAAAAACGGAATATAGAAAAGGAAATGTAGGAAACTAGGCATATACAGATCTTCCAAACGCTCCTGAACGACGCAGCCAGCCAGGAGCTGATGTTCAGCCGCAACGTCCTCGGTAAACGCGCCGCCCTGGGAGTCGTCCAACTCGGTCAGATCGATCTGACCGCCTTCCAAGGCAACGTCGACGTCGTCGTCACCGCCACCGTCGCTGTTGATGATCGTCAGTTGGTTCTGGAATATGTGTAGGGACCGCAAAGCCACGCCCCTTTTCGCGATAGAAAAAGTGGCTTTTTTTTGGTTTTCAACTTTCATTTTGTTGTAGTTGTAAAATATGTGGAACTGGCGAATAAAATTTGACACACATGTACAGAAAAAGCTTCCTCTTTCGTTTAAAAAAATATTTCACGCTTTTTTTGATGCGTTCTCGCGGAATGTCGTACAAAAAAACGTGAATGGAACTAAAAAAATTTTGTCGTTTTTTTGCTTTTTTTCATGTGTTTTTTTAGGTCGAACGCACTCTTTCTTTTTTTAAATAATGATTTTTGATTCAAGTAACGGTAATTTTAAAAACAATAAAATAAAAAAATTCGTCTTTGCCAAAAAAATTTTTAGGGAGCGCCGAAAGTCATAATTCAAAAATATCGTTAATAAGCGAATATAATCGAGTTTTTTTGTTTTTTTCAAAATTTAGACCATGGTCTTACTTAAATTTTTTTCTCCACAGCACCTGTGCTTGAAAAAAAGTTGTTTAATACGCAAAAAAATGCTCTTGAAACTAGAGAAAAAAATTAGCGGCGTTTATCACACAGAAAGCGGTCGAACGCAGGTTTTTTTCAAATGATTATATACATTTATTAGTAAAAAAATCTTTCAATTAAAAAGAATAAAATAAAAAATTCGTCTTTGCCAAAAATTTACGGGGCCGTTTTAATGCAGCGATCGTTAAACGAGGCAAAAAGCACTAAAAAAACAGTTTTTTCGAAGTGAATTTCCACGAAACGTTTGAGTAAAGATTTGCGAACATATTCTGATAAAAATAGCTAAATTACTTCAAGTTTTTATTTTTGAAATAGGCAATCTGTGCTATTCAAACGGCTCAAGGGTATGGCGGATGGAAGCTCCCCGCGTTGGACCTAACAGCTTGGCGCAACGCGTGCGCTCCGATTTTTACATTTTGAGGTCGCGAGTTCGATGCCCGCAAGCGCCAGTTTTTCTGTTTTCTGGAAAAATACCGACTTTTTTTCGGCAAACTAGCTGATGAGCATCATTTTCAGCACTCTATTATGATTTGTTACATCATAATAGACCAGTATCAAAACTTGTTCTAGAAGAAAAAAATCGAGAAAAAAATGTCAAAAAAATGGATAATACCAAATTTTTCAGTACTAAAAAAACATGGTGCGCGGCGCGCCACCTTTTCCGTCATAACTTTTTTTCATCCTCAATCTTTTTTTGAAAAAAACTAAACGGTTCTGAGTTTTGAATCGAAACAGCTATCGAACCATACAAAGCTCAATGCTGAAAAAGTTTTTTTGAAAATTCGTCTGCGGTCCCTAAATATGTGGATGAAAAAAGTTTACTAAACAAAAATTGAAGCTTTGAAAGATAGAGACCTTTTTTTGAGGGAGTTTTCTTTAAAATGAAAATTGGCTAATAGAAACGGAAAAGAGGTATTTTCGGATTTCAGCTGTTCAAAATTTCATGTTCTAATGTAGGACGAGTTCAGGGAAAACGGTTTCTTTGAAGCGCGCCCGACCCGAAACGACTTGCGCTCTTTACCATCAGAAATTATAATTAATGTAGGAGTCTCTGCATTCAATAAAAAAACTGCTTCACATTTTTTAAAATTATTCGATGTGTTTGAACTTTTATAAGGAAACGCCCGAAAAGTTAATAAGTAATAAAAAAAAACTATTTAGTGGGTTAGAAAGCTGGTGGGCCATCAAAAACGGGTCCTGACACGATAATAAAGAGATAGTGACTGGTTTTTGGAGAGCGCAGTCAGGCCATGCCCCCCTGAGATAGTCGTGAATCGGCTATAAGAATTGATCCTTCAGGTTTTTGAGCAAGGAAAATTTGAAGAATTACAAAAAACGACAAAGTTTTATTCAACAAAAAAATCCTCAATTTAGAACTGTCCCCCCTGATTCCATCGATAATGACTCTGGGAATCAGCGGAACGCCGAGAGTTTTGATCAATTTGCTTCAAGGAAATCTGGTATGAAACTGTAATTTCGAACCATTTTCTTCCACATTTTTCTAGGGTCAATCCAACTTTTTCGTGAGAAGAATAACTTTGGCCGGTGGCAGTTTGCACACAACCGTTCTGCAACTCCAACCAGCCTCAAATGGCCAATTTCCAGACGTTCTAATTCGAATTTGGGTCAAAAGGTTCAGTTTTCCATTTCATACTTGGAAAGAGATAGTTCCAAGCAAGAAGATATAAAAAATCGAGAAAAATGTACATTTGAAGCAGCTTGCTTTGAGAATTCATATGGAGATGTTGCCGACTTTTTGACTTGACATTTTTCGAATTTTTTAATTTCGAGAAAGAACTCCTTTCAGACAATGATAAGATTAATTTTCTTGATTTCAAACATTATGAGAAAATGTGATAAATTAGCTCAAGAATGTGGATTATCAAATTTTTTTTTGGAAATAAAGGTCTAGAAACACAAAAATTCGGTCAGATTACCTTCTAGGTATCACTCAAAGATTATTTTATCCCATATTGAATTTTTTTAATTGATTTGAGACATGAATTTATTTTAAAGCCGAAATTGCGTCCTGTGATTTGGAAAAAAATCGAACTAAAAATTTATAAACTCAAAAAGAACAGTGGAAAGTATGACATTTGTCAAAAAAATTTTTTTCATAACAAATTTTCATTCTAAAAATCTTGAACTTCAATAAAATAGCAAAGATTTTTTTCTCAATTTCAAAGTGAAATTTGAAGATCGGCTGTTGAGAGTTCCGCCAGTTATGTTGATTTGCAAGGAAACGACGTTTCGAATCCGGACGATGGTCAGTTTCCAAACTAAAGTATTCATTTTATGAATGGAAAAATTCAGTAAATGGAGCCGCGTTGCGTCTTTTGCTCCAAGGAGGCAATCTGAATACGGTAGGTTTCAAATCTTGCAAAAAAAAAAAATCTACAGAAGTTTCTTATAATCACCATGATCAAGAAACTGAGTTCAGAGAAAAAAAAACCAATTGAAGGACTCGAAAAAGAAGAAAGAAAATTTGTAACATGTTTCATGTAGCTAAACTTTGAGAAAAAATGTATTTCTAGGCCATTTTTCAAATCTCAAAATGTGCTGAAAGTTGTGGGTGCTTGAATTGGAAAAAAAATATTCGGCCAGTTAAATCTGGCTTCACTTTTATAGTCTGTGTACCATTGACTTCAAAATTACGCGAGTTTCACAATAACCGTCAGAGAATGAAAAAGATAACTGGTTTTTGGAGAGTCAGGGATAAAATTTTGTTCTCCGGAAACAATCCAGCTAGCTAAATTCGGATCCATTTGTATGTTTTCTTCAAGAATTTTAAAATATTTTGAGGAAAAAATGACTTTCTAGACGACGATCCGGATCTCAAACTGTGCCGGAAGTTCTGGAACAAAGTACGACGCTAACCAGTTAGCCATCCTTCCACAGCCTGGTTTTCCAAAAAATAGGAGTTCAAAGAAAAATATGTGTCAGGAGCAAGTTCGAATTGTGAGAACGACTACTTCTTTGCCCCGTACTTTTGCGACAGCAACGTTGGAACGGACTGTCTTCCTGGAACGGCCGGAAAGTATGATGTGCAGGTATGGGCGGGAAGTTACGGTAGAATATCATCATTAGGCGTAGAAAAGTCTGAGAGAGGGAGGTTGAAAAGAGCCTTCAGAAATTTGGCTGTTCTTTCAGAATATTGGTTTGTGTAGGTTCTAATATCCTCCGAGAATTCAAAAGCTAGGAACAAGAGCGGCCTGAAGAGACGCCAGAGAAAGAGAAACTTATAGTTAGGGACCCCAGATCTATTTTTCGAACTCAAGCTAGCTTCTCTTTTTTGTTATAAAAATCATGACTTTAACATGTAGTATGCGAAAACAGAAAAGAAAACGAAAAATATTAAGAATAAGAGGAGAAAAAATTATTTAAAAATAATCGAAAAGCAAATTTTTTTGCACTGAAAATTTGGTTTTGCAAATTCTCATGCAATCGGCGCGCGCTCTTATTTTCAAGGGCGGCACGGTTTCATGAGCCAAAGTGGAAGGTTTTACGAGCTTTAATTCCAATTTACCATCACTTTCGTCTCAGTGAGTGCACAACTACAGCCTACAGTGCTCTTTGAGCATCATGAAAATGTAAATTCGCCAAGTTTGATTCACCTTTTTTGTTGAGAAAATTTCTTCGGCGACCTTGAATTTTCGATTTTATTGCTTTATTTGTTAGAAAATTAAAAACTCTCATAAATCGCGAAAAGGGGCGGGGCTTTGCGGTTGCTACTTATAATTTTTTGACGTCTTTCGAGACTGTTAACAAAATCAGTAGGGTTTTGTTGGTTCTACTCGTAAAACCATGAAGAAATCTGATTCAGATCGTCTCGCAGAACTTTTCGATGAGCCGCTCTTTCACCTGCAGCAAGTCCGCTACACCTGCCACCTGTGCTCAGAAAGACCAATTGGGAAATAACGAATGCCCCGGCGATCCGCCATACAAACATGGTCTCTTACCAGCAAGAAATATGGAAAATTGAGTCAAATTGAAGGCCCAACTGGACAGGTTATCGACTGCTCGGGCAATGGCCAACTGCTATTCCAGTCTCAAGATGGAACGACCCCGGACGATTACGCAAATCAGTACATTTGCAAGTGCGATCCCGGCTTCACTGGGCTGTCTTGTGAAGTCGGTGAGTAGAGGAGAAATCAAAGGCATTTCGGCTCCAAGAAAACCCTTATGGGGTTGATATTGTATGATGGAACTCTTTGACACGATTCCGAATATCTACTTGAAATTTTGCAAAACTTTCTAGTTTTCAAGGAAAATGCGTTCAAAGGGTAGGTCGTAGATCATTTCCGCTCTGCGCAGGTGTATACAGGCCACTCAGTTTTAAGATAATATAAAATTAGTATTTGATTTTTTTCCTAAAAACTTTACTGTTTATCTCTTTTTTTCGTAACTAAAAAAAGTTGAACAAAACATAAGAAGCCGGGCGACCCGGTCTTTGGGTCTTCATGAAAAAAAGCCTGCGCGAGCTTGGGCCAGGCCGGGCTTCGAAAAATCGTTTATTTCATTACAAAAACTTTCCCCGAACATTTTTTCTACATGTTGAATCATAGTTTCTAATAACCCTATGAGAAAAAATAAGCAAAAACCCCACTTTTCTCGTTTAAAAAGCGAAAAATCCAAAATGAAGAAAGTTTGAGCTTTTTGGGCCGGGCCGGCCATTTTTGCTTGAAGCCCTTTTAAGGCCGGGCTTGGGAAATGTCCGGGGGGTCGATAGGCTGACGGGCCGGCCCTCGCACAAGCCTGGGTAAGAGAAAAGCCTCTTGAAGTTGAGGCATTTGCGCTCCATTAAGATAGAATACATTTTTTTTTGATTCAGTCGTGAAACTCGAAAATTCGAGCCTGTCAGGGGTAAATTTCGGTTTGAAAACACTCATTTATGTCTTTTCCTTTGCCTGACAGCTTTACAGTCGCTAAATTCAATTTTGATTTTTTTTTTTCAAGGTTGAATTCACTTTGCGGCCTATCGAAGAATACTTCTTGATGCCAGTCGCAACCCTAAAGAGCTCACTTGAATCTGAGGTTTAGGAGTATACATAATAAAGTTTTACAACAGTGGAGTTTGGCAATAAATAGATATAAAAAACCCGTTTAAAGGTTGATTTACCAGTAAGTTTTCAAATACCTAGGCTGGTGAATGAACAAAAATTCGGGAGGGAGTTCATTCCGTTTAGACTTTCAGAATCTCGAATAAATAACTGATCTGGCCTAGTTCCGAGAAATTCACCAACTTGAAGTACACTGGTCAATCGGCGTACCCTCAAAAATAGCTAAAGGAGTCCACTTTCAAGCTCATCGGGATTTGCGTGCGGTCAATCAATAAATAGCATATAGAGGCTAACTTTCTGCTTTTGTCTGTGTGCATTCCGATACTATCCCTATGCCATTTGAGAGTGCTGACGAAGCTTTAGAAGTATGCTGCCGAACAGCACCCTTACCGCGTATCCTATTTATTGAATGACGATGTGGATACCGATTGACCCTCATAGAAAGAAAAAAACCCTTCTCATCCAGTTTTTTGAGGCGTCTGCGACAAACCGAACACGGATCCGCTGAACATTGACAGCACCTACAGGACGTATACTGTGGTGCTGGCGTCGAATGAAATAAATGCGTCGCCGCTTGCTCAGCTCCCAGACTCTGGCAGCCTTTTCGGACTCGCTGGAGCTTCTCAAAACCTGGACAACATTTGGAAATACCAATTGATTGTCTATTGCAATGATGGAAGTGGTGAGTTGAGAACGGACTATGGTCCGTTCAGATTTTGAATGTCAAGTTCAATGACGTCATTCTAAAAGGCTCTGAGGATGGCTGGTTATGTGATTGGTTTATCGCGCCATGAGAGGCGGAGCTTTAGCGATGTCTTGACACTCAAAACCTAAACAGCCTATTACCTTAATTTTTCCGTTTTGAAAGGACAGGGACGAGAAAAGTAGTATAAGTGGCTCTAGAAGAACAGTGACAAAAGTTCTCAAAAAAGAAAAGCTCAAATTTTTCTCAGATATTGTTGTTAGGGCTTAGGATTCTACAGCCCATTCCGCGCCAATTCGTCGCGGTTTTCATTTGCCACCCCTTCGAAAAGCTTGTCTCTCTGCATGAGCCTTTAATATAACGGAAAATTTTGTCTAAATCGAAGGGAAGCTTCCCAAAAGGGTTCTGTAGCTCGGAGGAAAGGATTGAAAGATCACGAAGTTTGAAAAAGCTTTTTAGACTGTTCAAGATTAATTTTCTCACTCTAGTCTAGCGAATGTTTCAGCTCTATGCTGTTAGTTGCATTTTTCAAAGTATTTTATGTCATATCTTATAAGGTTTCCACAGTATAGCATTGAAAAACTTGAACGGAAACATGGAGAAAAGGGCTTTTTTGGACCGGAAAAACCTCATCATACCTGTCTTAAGCCATTTATTTTTCAAGGTAATCCAATCGAAATACTTTTCCAGTGAACGTAATTTACTCCGGAAGCAGCCGTAGCGATTTCACCAACGCGTTCGACGTCGGAAGCGCGGCTTGCAATCCATCTAACGACCAAATCGACCTCACTACGATGTTCCAAGTTGCGGCCAACGGAGTCGGCCGGAATGTTCGCGGAATCATCGTATTCTACACGGAAGAACCCGCGATTCTGAACGTCACCCTGAACAACTTCTTGAAGATCTCGCAGCAGTACCAGCAGCAGGTCGAAAGTTGCTCTATTCTTCATTTTACTCGGGGCAGGACTGTTTACAAAGGTCAATCGGGGTATGCACTTCGTCAGTCGATAAATAGGATACTCTGTGAGAGTGCTATCCGGCAGCATACTTCTAAAGCTTCCTCAGTACTCTCAAGTCCAGCTAGTATAGGGATAGTGTCGGAGGGCACATAAATGGTTTTGACAGAGCAGAAATTGAGCCTCTGTAAGCTATTTATTGATTGACCGCGTGCAAGTTTTTATTTTGCAAGTGCACACTGTTAGCTGTTTCTGTGGATACCAGTGGAGAACATTGTCTTAATAACAACAGTGTTTCGAACAGAGGTGGAAGAAATGAGGGGCCCTCCAGGGCGCAACATGCCCGCCTCAGCCATCAAGCCTCTGAGAAGAAATGAGCCGCGTCATTATGTGTCGATGGCGTGTAATACCACATTGCAAAAGTTGGGCGAAAATTGTCATTTTTGTTCATTTTTCATTAAATCGTGGATTTTGCAATTTTTAGTTATATTTGTTCTTTTCTTTAGGCGAAATGTTCCAGATTTATGGTTACGAACCCGCTGACTAGTGAGAGAATAAATTTCCGTCGCCACCAAATTGGAAATTCAAAAACCTTGTTTTAAAGCTTCGAAAACAACAATTTTACAAGATTTTAGAAGATTCCGATTTTTGCGCGTTCTTTTCCTTCCAATGGCGTTTTTTTGCCATCGCGGTTTTGGCCCAGGGCGCCCTGGGCAGCGACTTATCAAGAAATGGCCATGGCGGCCTACGTCGGTTTAGAAATGTAAACGTTTGAAAACGCTTAGGGGCGCCATTTCTCCACCTCTGGTTTCGAAGATGTAGAAAAGGAGAAATTCAAAAAAAAAACCTACGGGGAGCAACTTTAGTGACCACTTGAGTGGTTCCTCAAAAACTACTTGGAGAGGAAACTTAAACCACCTTTATACAAGCCATTATTTTTCCCTATAGCGGTCGATATAGGTGTTAAAGGGATCTAGTAAGACTATTTGGACTCCTAAAAAGTTCATTATTTTCTAGCCGCTAAAGTGAACACATTTTCGACTGCTATAGAGACCACTTTTCAATTTATTCAGTCTTCAGAGTAAGACGAAGAAAATCTCTGCTGAATCATGGTATAATCGAAGAGTTAGTCGTCGGCGCGGGTAACGATCCACAATAGTTGTGCAATAAGTCCCGGCGTGACAGCTAGTGTTGGGAGATAATGTGGAGACCACTGAAACGTCAAAACCCTAAAGTGGTCATTGAAAATTCCCCCAGTGGGTTATGGTCCGTTTTTGACAATTAGCCTTTTTTTTTGTGGAAAAGAACATTTGGAAAAAAAAAAGTCGAGCAGAAAAGTGAGAATTAAAAAAGAGGAAATAGGGACGGATAAATCATAAGTGGTCACTTTAGGGTTTTCTACTTGGAGTCTCACAAGAAGAGTCGTATTAAAAAAAAAAGTTCTAACGAAAAAACTGATTTTGTAATTTCTCAAGTGGCGACTTGATCGGTTGAGTGTTTCTTTGTAAAAATTTGGTCATGGAAGGTGTAAGACCCCCTTTTTGCTTTTCGAGCTTTTGAAGTGAACGTTTTGATTACATTCAATAGTTTTCCTCATTTTTGAGCAAAGATGTGACTTTTGAACATTTCTTGTATTTTCATGACGTTCTAGCGACCTTTCGCGTTAATTTATGAACTTGGATTCTGAATAATCTCTCGAAAAAAATTACGTTCAATTTCACAGTGAGCAGAGGCAGTTGTTTGGCTTGGAAAACTTGGATGTAGTCTCAATAAAAGAAGATGATAATTCAGATCTTCGTTTTCACGGCCGGCGACGCGGCAACAGATCTTCCAACGGATATTCGCTTGGCTGCGCTTTCCACCGGAGGAGTTGTCATGCAGTCCGAACTGGGTTCCATTTACCCTGTCGGTGATAAAACGGTGATTATTGTGATATTTCCGGGCTTTTCAACGCATTGAAATGTTTAGTTCATCCCTGAAATGTTGTCCAGCTCGGTCTCCACTTCTTTCATCAGTAATACGATGCAAGCCAGTTTCGATGTAACTATTGACCAGCCGTCGTGGCTCCTCGTCGGAAACGTCCTCCAGACCAGCATTTTGATCGGTTTGAATCTTCTCGAGGCTCAAAAAGAAAGCTGGGAAAATCTTCGCTCACAACTGTCTCCAAGAACCTAACTATTGCCACCAAAACAACTCAATGAATTTTTTTGAAAGGAAAGTATCGGATTAATCGATCAAATTTTTTTAAATACGTTTTTCTAATTTTCAAGACTTTTTTTTTCGCCCCCAGCCCCTCTAGGAACCACTCCGCCTTCGAGAAAAAGTTTCTTTCAGACGGCGCTCCTCCTCCGACCACTTGCACCCTGGTTTCATCCAACAAAATTTTGATGTGCAAATTGACGACGGTCAACAAAAAGCACACGATTTCCACCCAAGGAGCCCATTCGACGACGTGGACTGCCGTCGTCTACACACTTAACGGCGTGACTCCCGTCGCGAAAATCGTCGCTCTGATGTCCGATGACAGTTCTACGGCTGTCTCCACCACTGTTGGAGGTCAGGAATGGGCAGACCATTTTAAAGTCATGGGAGCAGTAAAAAATGCGGTTTCGGTGAAAGCAGTACCTTGTAAAGGTTTTCAGGGCGAATCGAAAATCACATACATAGATGAATATTTTAAAGGAATCTCGTTTTTGTTTTCCCGGAGTAAGGCGAAAGTGTCAAGTTACGGTACCCAAAGTTTACGGTAACAAAATTCATTGTTAAAGTCTGTTCTTCTGCTCATTTTCCTGGGTTTCGAGCCAGTCGCAAACATATTATGAGGATTCTCCATTTCGGACTTTTTCAGCTGGCGGCACTTTGGCTGTTCACGTCCCAGAAGGCTACACTCTAGCCGCCAATTCTGATTTCCGAGTCGCTCAAAGACAAAATTGCCTCCTCAGCTTCACCGCGTACAATGTATTCCAACCGTTCCCCGTCGGTCCCAACTTTGTTCCGGTTTCTCGATAATTTCGTCTTGATTTACCTTTTGATCGATTTTCAGGTAACCCTGAAGAAAGGTGCGACCACGCTGACCAGGTATTTCGTTGTGGCGACGTCATCGGAAAATAGTAAGCGATTTTCAAGGAATTATAAAATTTCTTTGAAGTATCGAGTCAAAGTTTGAGCGATGCAAACCGTCCTTTATTAGGAACAGCAAGCTAAAATGAGTTTCAAAGCAATAAAGGAAAGAAAAAATGAACTAATTGAACAGAAAATATATCTAGCACATCCCTTTTGAGTCTAAAAGATCGAACGTTTCAGCTGATTCCTCCTTAGATCGTTTTTGTCGTGGAACTTTTGAAAGAATACTCTGAAAAGCCCCATTCCTCGAGTTTCAGTTTGTAAAAACGGAGGAACGCCTCTGCCTTTGGCTGGAAACTGTCTCTGTCCCGACGGTTTCAGCGGTCCGGACTGCTCACAAATCCATTGTGTTTATGGAAAACCAAACGCTTGGAATGACGCTTGCAATTGCGAAAACGCCTTTGGAAGATCCTGCTCCAGTGAGTTCATCAATCAAAAAACCGCAAAAAAGCGTCGTTTCCAGGTACAGCTTCGTTCGCCTGGTACTGATCTTCTCTTTCCTCGCAATTTCAATAAAAATTTTTCACATTTCAACGCACACAAAACAATAAGCAAAAAAATTTCGACCACGGCAGGATTCGAACCTGCAATCTTCTGCTCCGTAGGCAGACGCGTTATCCATTGCGCCACGCGGCCAGGTGACTCGGAGACTGTCGATTTTCCACATGTTGCCACACGAGAGTGCTGTTGAGATGAAGGTGATTTACAGAGACGCTAGGTTTGATTTTCACTTGAAGCTCCATTTGGACGTTTTTATTGTTATATTAAATTGAATCTCTATTATGCTTGAAAGTCATAGAAACCTTTGAAAAGAGCTTTGGGTACATATCTAGGACGTCAAACATCAATGATCGCACATGAGAAGCGAGAAAAATGCTCTTGCAAACAGGATTAGTTCCTCTTGGCCTGCATTCAATGATATATTTTTCTTTTTTCCAAGATTTCTTCCTTTTTGGCTTTTTGTAGGCTCAATATTCCTTTTTTAACTGTATCGAAAGTTGATTTTTCATGTCATGAGGTTGGAAAACGCGGCGAAAACTCTGTCTTTTTTAGATTATTTCAAAAGGCCGCAATAGCTCCTGGCTTCAAAAGAAGAGTTTTGATAAAAATATTTTTAAAGTGATGTATTGATGAAATACAAAAAAAAACTGTATTTTCCTTCAAGCTTGCTTGGTTGCCAAAAATTCTTTCATCATTATCGAGCTCTCAAAAGCATCATGGTTCACTTTGCTATCCGCATCTTGCACCCGGCCGCGTGGCGCAATGGATAACGCGTCTGCCTACGGAGCAGAAGATTGCAGGTTCGAATCCTGCCGTGGTCGAAACCTTTTTGCGTTATACCTCGCCACACAAAGCTTCATTATTTTTTTCTGAGTTTCAAAGTTTGACAGCTTCTCTTTATTTTTTATTGTTTTGAAATCAAAGTTCTGTTTGGAAATTTGTTTAATGCAATTTGATCTATGTTTATCTTTGCGAATTTTTTTTTGACTTGGTGACCTACAACCAATAAAATCATTCGAAATGCCCAGATGATCACGAATTATCTTTTCCTCGCTTATCAATTCTTCGTTATCATTGGCCTCACTGTAGAGTAGCGTCCTTTTTTCAAAGTAGTGCGGAAGTTTTTTTTTTCGTCTGCAAAACACTCGTTCAAACCTATAATTAATCTTTTCTCACATAAAGCATCAATATCCCGCCCACATATGGGAAGAAATTGCTTAAATATCGAAATATTGTTCGAGAAGTCGTCTTGACATGAAGGAAAACACGCGAAATGTGGTCGCCAAGAAATTTCGTGAGTTTTCTGATTTTGTTTTTTTTGAGAAAAGCGTTTTTTTTTCAGCTCTGTTTCATCCGTTATCCAGGAGATTTCACATCATTTTGTTGCTGATGGTGAGGATTTTGAAAATTTCGAGGGACATTCGTTGGAAATCGCTTCTATTGTTTTATTTTTAATTTTGGAACCTTTTTTCAGCTCGGATTCAGCTGCACTTCTTTCATGCGAATGCACATGGCCATTACGATGACCTGTATGATAAATTCGACGGCTTTGGCCATTGATGACGTCATCGAGACTAGGAATCTTACTGTAGAAGAGGTATACTGTTACTTCGCTTCATTTATCGATAATGCAAAGAAAAATTTGGTTTTTAAATTTGGAAGTTTTTTTGAACAGAAAAAGGTGTATCTTGATTATATCAATGTTATTTAATATTATCAAAACTTCCAAATTTCAGATCGAAGCTGTTTCCAATGGAGAGTGTGTAGCTGGCAGCAATTCCAAACGCGTTGTTGTGGATTACGGAGTTTTTCCAGATTTATTTTTCTTAATATTTCAGTCAATCTAGGGTGATCTCGTATGGGACGCACATTCTCAGAATTTGATATTCTCCGGAACTTTTTGGGGCTCCATTTTTACCGTTTTGCCTTCAATGTTCATCATTCAACGATTTCCGCCCAGGATAGTCATGCAGGTGGAAATTTAGTGGTTTTTCGAGGTTTTGAAACCAAAATTGAACTAGATAACTTGAAATAAAGGGTTCAAGGCTTCTGCTTCAAAAACTCCCCAAAAAAAAGTTCAAATCTCCTCAAAAAACGCAATTTTCAGGCGGCTGTAGGGATGTACATAATTTCAACACTTTGCACCCCATTTTTGGCCGAAAATTTTGGTCCCTTTTCCGTTTTTCTCGCTCGAGTTTTTATGGGTCTTGGAGAGGTGAGAAAAATGTAGCTTCGAAAGAATTCTGGCTTTTTTCAGGGCCTTGTATTGCCTTCAATCAATGCGATTGTTGCGAATTGGTTTCCTAGTACGGAAAGGAGTACCGCTGTGTCGATTTTCACAACTGGGAATCAATTGGCAGGTTTCTGGCTTGGTTTCATTATTTTTCAAGTCAAACTTTGTTATTTTTTAAAAGTTATTAGCCTTAATAAAGAAGGAGATGATGTTGAAAACCCTAAGAAGGAAAAAAAAACGAGTTGCACGCAGAATAGTTTGAAGCGTCGCGGCTGCGTTGCGGTTTTTTTTCCGTGACCTTAAACTGCTGTTTCTCTGCGCCCTCCTCGTCTCTCGGCGACCCTCCAATGTTGACGTGTTATTTTCATTTTTCTCTGGCCTTGCCGGTGAGGGAACAGAGAGACGCAGACACTCGAGAACCGTCAAATCGCGGTGAACTGACTATGAAATTTTAATGTCTTGTGCTTTCAAGAGCAAGCCGTTTTTAGTCGGGTTTACTTTTTAAACGAAGTCGAGACCCTTCGAGCCATTCTAAGCGTTTTTCAGGTGCTTAGGAGTAAAGGAAAATTTTCGATAAGTCTAACTTTCTATAATTTTTAAAGTTCAATACGAATCCAAAACTTTTGTACAGCTTTTCCCTTTTTTTTCTGATAAAAAAGGGGGTCAAAACAGGACTGTTAATACTGAATCAAAAATTTCAGCTCATGAAGAAATTTCCAACCATAAAATTTAAAAAATTCAGCCGCGTTTGGCAATCCAATCGCCGCCTCTTTATGCGCATCTTCCCTTGGTTGGCCTTCAATTTTCTACGTTGTCGGTTTGTTTTCAAGTTTTTTTTTTCTTTTTTTTTGAAACACTGTTTTTCCGTTCTATTTTACAGGTATAACATCCACTATATGGTCCATTCTGTGGTTCTTGACCTCCACAAATCAACCATCAAAATGCAAAGTGATGAAAAAAGCTGAAAGAGAGTACCTGGCACAGACAGTCGCCACGAGGAGCAGCAAAAATCAGGTATTTTTCATTTTATCTCAAGGAAAGGTGAGTTCTCTGTTTTAACCGTTAAAGCTGAAAATATAGCCGATTCACGGCTAGCTTGTCACGCTAAGGGGGCGTGGCCTGTCTGCGCCCTCCACCCACCAGACACTATCTCTTTCATTATCGTGTCAGGACCCACGATGGCTCAAGCCAGCCGTAAATCAACTATTTAAGTACAATGATCTCTTACCCCCTTAGAAAGTTGAAGTGAAGATCTTTTGGAATTGTATATTGCCTTTTTCCTATTTTCTACAGGTTTTACCGCCTTATTGGGGTCTTTCTCAAACTTAACCTTTGGAAATAAGTTTCTATATTTCCAGAGATCTCAACGAGTTCCATACCGGAAAATCCTATCGTCTCCGGCTTTCTTGGCCCAACTCCAGTGTCATTTTGTTGTCAACGCCAATTTGACTTTGTTCCAAATTTATTTGCCTTCTTATTTGAAAGACGTCCTCCACTTGGGAATCATTGCGGTGGGTTTGGAGTTTTTGGATTTATTCGATAAGAAATATTCGAAAGTCGGAGTTTTAGGGAAATGTTAAAGGAAAGTTTAGGTTTTTAAAGTTTCTTTTTTGAACTATTATTTATTTTTGAATTGAAAAATGACTAAAGTTTGTACAGATTTCGGCAAATTTTCAGGCCTTTTTTTACACCTTTTCCTTGGATTTGGAAGTTTTTGAAAAAAAAAAGTTATAGTCCGTCCACCGCGACTTGAAAGTTTTCGCGCGTCTGCGTCTCTCTGTTCCTTCACCGGCGAGGTCAGAGAAACGCGAAAATAGCGCGTCAATAAGAGAGGGTCGCCGAGAGACGAGGAGGGCGCAGAGAAGTCCTCTCAAGTCGCGAAAAACGGACTATTTATTGGAAAATCTGGATTTTTCAAAAATTTTAGCTTCAATATGTGCCTATTTCTTTTCAGAACGGTACCTTCACAGCTTTTCCAAACGCTCTGAATTTCATCTCAAAAATCTTTTGGGGAATCGGAATCGATCGGGCGAAAGAGAGAAAAATGATAAAATCGACGGTGGCTGTCAAATTATCACATGGAATCGGTGACTTATCATATATTTCTTTTTTCATGATCGAATAATTTCTAGCAAGTTATGGGGTCGCTTCTTCCCTGATTGCTGTGGCTTATCTCCTCGACTGCTCGAATCCGACGACGGCTTTCTTTGTTTTCTGTTTCATGTTGGTTTTTTGAATGCACTCTTTCAAATTGTCTGGCAATTTGACTAGGAATCCTACACCACAAATTTATTTAACTTTTTCAATCTGATCCTCATTTCAAGGTACTCCACCATGGGAACTTTCGTCAGCGGCTTCTACACCTCTCTATTATCTTTGGCCCCAAGGTATACGGCCACAATGTCTTCCATGTCCGTTTTTGCGGCCATGCTTGGCCGACTCTGCACTCCGGCCATCGTTGAACTGATCAAGAAACATGTAAATCAACTGATTATCCCAAAAAAAAAGACCTGAAAACCTCCAGGGAACCTTGGAAGAATGGCAAGTTCTGTTCGTCTCAATGTCCGTCATGGCCTTCATATCTGGAACAATCTTCATTCTTTTCGGTTCTGGTAAAACATATCAACTAGAAAATCTCTCAGTAAGACCAATTTCCAGGTGAACAACAAGAATGGGGAATGGAGGACGAACCGAAAGAATTGAAAAACTTGGAGCAAAGCCAACCTTTGGAAAAATGTGCTGATGAAACCTCCGAAACCTCCGAAGTTGAAATTTTGAAACGAAGGATACGAGAAGACTCATTATGTGTATAAAGTATATACGAGTATAACTTGAATCGCAATTACCCACAATAAAAATATGTTGCTTAGCGTACTGTAACTTTCTTGGCTGTTGACACCTCGGCGCACAAGAAATTTATCGGTTTATTTACGCGACACGTTTGAAACCCGTCTTTTTTCATTTTTCTTTTTATTTACGCATCCACGTGCACTGGTGTATTATTAAATATTTTCCCGCATCACTTGCGGAGTTTCATTCAACAAGAGGCAGGTTCGTGTCCCGAGAATACTTTTCTTTCCAAGCAAACTCGATATAAATCTTATTTCTCCTCGCCGCTGTTTTGTTTAAAGTTTGATCCTTTTCAGTCCTTTCTGCCCTCAGTCCATGTTTTCACCTCGAGCGGTTTTACGTTATCTGGGATTCTCTTGGACCGTTTGCTACGTTTCTTGCGTTCTCTTAGGCGCTCCGATTTTTGCCGACACAACTGGAACGGCCATTTTAAGTGCGGTTCTGGTCGCCTTCATCGTTCTGCCGATAGTTCTGCTCGAGAAGAGTGAAGAGCATTTCGACGAGCTTGTGATTGGTCGAAGGTTGGTTTTTAAAATAGAAGAATTATAATGAAATATGAATAATTGTAAACGAAAAAAAAAAAATTTTTTAGCGTTGTTTTTCGAATAATCCGGAAGCTTTGCACGTTTTTTTCATATTTTCAATTATTTTTAAGGGTTTTCGCAACTTTGTTAGAGTTTTTGAACTCACACTTTTTGTCACCTGATAGAACGATTTAAAAAAAATTTTCGATGAGATTTTTCACCTCGGTTAAACAAAAGTAAGCAGAAATTATTATTTTCATTATTATGTTTATATAAATCTATTTTCATAACAGGCGAGAGTAAAGGTTAAATCGTCGCAAAAAAGAACTATTTCAATTATTTACTTTTTTTTATTGTTCAAGTCTGAAGGAAAAAAATCAGATATTTGTGCAGGACGGCGACAAACGCCGAACGCGTTGCGTTCTGCGTCGCGGTCGGAGCGATCGGCGGCGCTTGGCTCGGCGCCTTCGTCATCCCCTTGGACTGGGACCGCTGGTGGCAGGTTCGTAGGTCAAATCACGTCATGGATGACGTCTTACATGCCTCGTTCAAAATGTCGGGAAACTCGAAATGATCCCTGATTCTCCAACGTTTCTGTGATATTTTCTCTTCTCTAACGGTCACCCCATAGTTAACGCGGTGTTTTATCCTCGAATAAACATTATTTCTTTATAGCGCTATCCTCTCCCGAACCTTGCTGGTAGCTGCGTCGGCGCCTTCTTTGGACTGCTCGCCGGCGTCGTTCAGTTGATCTTCTCCAGGAAACCAACCAAAATCAATTAATCATGGTCCGCCGCATGAAATCGTTGGCCACCTTCGGCTCCGGTCCCTTTGCTACTGGCGACACCGAGGGTTCGTTTTCTGGGAAAGTTTGTTGAATTTTGAGGGAAAGAAATTTTTAGCTAGAAGGTATATAGCCTATTCCGCGTCAGCTTGTCACGTTTTTCTTCCCGCCAAGAAGACCGTATACCAAATTAGATCAAATTCCTGTTTTTATAACGGCAAGAAACAAAGGTCTTGAAGCGAAAGTTGGTTAAATTTGACCTGGCCTTCTGGCGGAAAGAAATACGTGACAAGCTAGCGCGGAGTGGCCTATACTCTATTCACCGCTAGCTTGGGGAAGAAACGAGGGGTCTGATTTCTCATTTTTTTGGGATTTTTCTCCACTTTTCTTGTGAAAAAAAAACTATCAAAAAGTGGCTAAACCAGAGGTAAATTGATTATGAAATTTTCTATTCAAAAATCATTTTCGGAATTTTTAAAGGAGCATAGGGGCACTTTCAAAAAAATGTCTCGAAGCGAAAAAGCTTTTTCGAGTCGCATATGAAATCTGCGCCTTCAATGGCAAATTTTTTAGAATTTTTTTTGTTGAGCGGGAAAAAAAATTTCATTTCATACAGTTACAAAAAAAAGGCTTTTTTTCTGTTTATCAAGATTTTTAATTTTTCTCTCAATTCAGGTCGATTCGGCCACTATGACTACAACGACGTTCCCAAACTTCTCGCCATTTTTTTCGCCGAATTTGATAATATTAGTGGTCCTGCTTTAAGATTTCAGGTGAGATCTTTTCCAAGATCCTCGTTGATTTTTCTTTGAAAATGTTCAGTACCCATCCCAACTCGTCACAAAAGAAGTCTTCCAATGCTGCTCGGCGTCGATTATTCCCAAGGCGGATCTTTGCAATCGCTCCGTCAAGTGCAACCTTAAGGACTATAAAATTCTTGGATATCCGATTGGATTAGGTGGGATTTTCTGAAATAAGAACGAAAAGCTGGAATGTTTTCAAAATACTAGAATTTGTTCGTCTAGTCCTTTCTTTTCTGGCATGAATTATGGTCAAATTTACCCGACTCCTAGGCGAAATGAGATGTTTCATTAGCAAGAAACACAAAGTCAAACACGCGCCACCTTTTTTTCTTTTTTTTTCTGCTACGTTCAAATTTTTCCAGAAGACTTTTTAAGCCTTAGTTTTCGATCTAACGTTCTTTTTTCCAGCCTTTGTTTGATCATTTTCAGAAATTTATAGAAAAAGAAGAAATCAAGAGAAAAATAGCAGCATTTGCGGCCTTGGAACACCTTTCAGACAAATTATAAGTCATTTTGAAACAAATATAGCCAATTCCGCGCGAGCTTTTCACGTTTTCCTTCCGCCAAAAATACCCTATACCAAAGTAGATCAAAATTGAGCGTCTTCGCTTCAAGACCACTGTTTTCTGCGGTCTTTTTAGCAACTTTGTAGAGCAAAAGTTTGTGTTTACGATAGATTTTTTTTTTTGTTCATTCAAAAAAGATCTCGCGAAAAAAAGGAGTGACTGCGAAATGGCCGCTAAAAGGGTTCCGTTTTGCAGCTTTTATTGAGTTTTTTTTTTTGATGGGCTAAAAAGCCTCATACACAGTCACTGGTAAAAATAACTCTCAATCAAATAAAATTTTCGTTTCAAAAGTGTCCAAAAAGGGTGGTTGAAGGCCGATGAAAGGACGGAAGAAGGCATTAAAAAGGAAACCGTAGCCACCCGTTTAGGAAAAATTAATGGAAGCCTTTTGATCCATAACGGACGCTCAAAGGACCCGTAAAGGGTTATCTGGTTTTGCCTATGAGTAGATTTCCAATGAATTTCAATTTTTTCCCGTGGTTGACCACGCCGAAATCTACTTATTTCGCTTCTCAATGCGACCATAAATTCTAAAAGTCTTTCATCAAGTAATTCCAGAACACGGTTCCTATGACCGAGGCTCGTATTGCTGTAATATGTGTTTCGTGGTGGCTCGTGACTCGACGGCGGACAGTATGTACGAGCCGATCGTTCAGAAATGCGCCGAGTACCTCATCGAAATCGAACAGGTCCCTTTTCAGCCCATGTGATACTTTGAAGAGCATTGTTCAGATTCGATTTTTCTTTTTTCAAGGTGTTTGCAAAAGTAAAATTAAAATTTTCTGTCCTTCAAAAAAAAATATTAATTTTGAAGAAATGTTGCTCCACTGACAATTTTCTTGCTTTAAATTTCAATTTTTGATAGTGTTTGATAGTGTTCTTTAGGAAAAATAATAAAAAGGTTCAAATCGACTTTTTTGAATATGGAAAATATGTAGAGAAGGCAAAAAAAATGTTGAAAAATTGAGAAAAGGTATCAAATATTGACGAAAAAGTCGAGTAGAAGTTTCAAGAAAGAAAAAAGTGTCGACTAGGTAGATGAGTTTACTCTTTCAAATTGTTGATTTAACTATTTCTTGAACATTCTGTAATTTGATGAACGTGTTTCACTTGATGAGGATAGCTTTGCTAAAATCAAATTTCAGATTTTCCCAATCTTTAGATTTTTTCAAAAATAAAACTTTAACTTTCATCTTATTCCAGTTTTTTCGAATTCGAACGTTTTTCCAGGAACACTGGTACCTGACGGACAAAAATTTAAAAGCAGGCATCCCGGAAATTATCAAAAGAATGTACGATAACCTGAGTACTAGAGGTTTTTCCACTATTTTCTCTGAAATTTGAATAAAACTCCAGGAGAATGCATCATTGACGTGCCTGACGTCATCACCATGTACTTCAAGCTTTGCCCTTCGTATCGAGGAATCGAACCGCCCGATGTGAGTTGATGCGCAGCGAATTGGAGATTGATAAAGTTTATTTCAGGTCAGCATTTTCATGGTTCCCATGTTCATTCGAGAAGTCAAATTGACGAATCATGTTCTGGAACAAATGGACGTCTTGTCACAGAAGGTTTCCGGCTGGGAAAATGATTTTTCGGACATTTTTTGAAATTTCATAAGGTTCCCTATAGGGTCATGGGAATATTATAAGAAAATATATTGGAAACTTTTCAAAATTATGGTAAAAATCAAAGGGGAGAGCGGTTTTTTGAGGTTTTTTTTTTCTCCGAGATTCTGAAGTTTAAAGCGTTATTTGGCTCAAAATTTTTGCAGCGAACATTTTCATTTCCAGTAATTACTGAAAAACGCTAGAGTGGCCCCTATAGGGGCTCTTGAAGGCTCCCTTTTAATGACCTCCTTAGCTTCCTCAGAAGCTTGTGAAAGTGGTCACTCTAGGGGAGCATTCTATTGGTCCCTATGCGTTTTTTTATCTTTCGAATCAGGATAAAAATCAAGAGACCGCTATAGGGACCACTTCACTTGAGCTCAAGGGTCGGATCCCCATTCCCTCTAGTGACCCCTCGAATTTCAGCACCCTAAAAAACATTATTTAGTCCCCAATAGGGACTGTTTTTTCCTCTCTAGGGACTTAAGAATTATTCATCGATTTCATTGAGAAGTTTTTTATTTTTAGAGGTCTATATTCGAAATTTAGCACTGTAGAATTACACACAACAATTTTTTTATCTCTCGATTTTTCCATAGAGTTTTCATGAAGTTGAAGACTGATTTTTTTGAAGATTATCCCAATGATTGATGGAATTCGAACTGGAAAAGAAATCGCCAACGAGGTCGGCCTCGATCCCGATTTAGTCGCCCGATGTGTGAGGTACCCTTTTTTTAAATGTTAGATGGTTTCAATGTTTTGGGCCGTATTCAAAGTCGTTTTCGAGTTTGTGAACTTGATAGTTCTACTACTCGAAGAAAAATTTCTTTTTGTTGCCTTTTTCAGAATTTTTCCAAGCTTTTCGTGAGGCTTATAATTTTTCAAAAATTATACCTATTTTTTAACATTTTTTTGAAGATTTGTCTAGAATTTTTTTTTGGAATAAGGTTACAGAAAAAAATAACTGAACTGGAAAAAAAGAGCCTTAAAAAGTTATTTCGTTTAATTCTCACTTAAATAGCTTCATAAAAAAATCTTTCGAAAAAAAAATTTTTTTGATCTTATTTCTCTGAAATTTAACGAAGAACCAGTTTCTTTCCGAAATAAAATAATAAAAAAATAAAAATTATTCCAGAAACTTGCATTTCTACGAATGTGTCAGTCTGGTCCCAATGTTCCTCTATTCGAATACCTATGTCGCGACTGAACGAATCCACGATTTTTACCTCAATCCTACTGAGCAAGAGGTTTTTTTCACTATTCAGATTTTTCGACTACAGTACCCTTTCGAGTCGATCAATTATCACGCAAGTTGAGAGAATAATCGAAAATTTGTCTCGCTATTAAAGGATCATAACCTTTTACGATTAAAAAAATCGACACGAAAAGTTACTGTAGCGGAGTTAGCTGATTGGCATTAAGAATCTGAACGGACTATATATTCAGTGATTCTAGGAATGTATGGAGTTTGTTCGCTTGCCAGAGGATCCCGACGAGCCCCTGGCCATCGAACCCAAGTTTTCCGACGTCTTCCGGTTATACTTGAGCATGAGGGTTGGTTCTGATTCATTTTTTGGTTCTACAATAAGTCAAGAATCATTCAGGCTCCTTTGAAGTTTTCATAATGACCAAATGAGTGTTTTGAGTCCTGGAAAGGGAAAATAACCTCAGAACTGTCAAAAAATTTCAAATTTGCGAGTATTCGACGAGAAAATATTGATTTTTTAACACCCTGTTTGTAGCGAGAACAAGATATACAAAATTGTGATTTATTTTTCAAGTTGCATCGGGATTAGAACTGTTTGAGAAGACTGCAAGACCGATCAGTTCGAGTGATGGTCAATATTCGGAAAAAAAAACAAAATCAGATAAATTAAAAATTTTATTCAAATCATGGGGCCGTCCCAGTGCGCGTTGTGGGCGCTTCGAGTCAAACCCTGTCTCATCAGCAGTCCTGATTCAAAACCTGAATCACACCCATAGTCAATTTTTATTATTTTTTCACTTTTATTGGTTTAATGGAATTTTTTCACAACTATAAAAAGTTGAAAGATCTTGAAAAACTGTTAAAAAAGGAGAAAAAATGGTGGTTTGTGTTTGACTTCCAGTTTCCCGCCAAAAAGCCGCGTCGCGTACGCAGCGCGTCACTCTTGCCAATCTCCTCGTTCAAGCCGAAAAGGATTGACTATATTTATGCGAAATATTGTGATAAATGAAATATCAAGTTTTGTAGTGCGGAATGATGTTGAGCGAGTGGGTGATGGCGATGAGACCGAGGGACCTGGGAATAGATGAACACCGTCTCGTCCAGTTCGGAATGCACCATCAGTTCCTCCGGAAACTGTCCATCTACCCCGTCTGCAAGGTCGCCAGCAACCATAACAAGTGGGTTTTTATCCATTTCGCCGTCTGCATGGTTTCTTGTTATAACTCATCCCTTCCGTATGTTGTTTGTCTCCTTAAGCTTTTCCTTAAGCTTCACCGACAAGAAGAACAAGCCGGTGGAACGAGCCAAAGGGTGGAACGACCGACGGTGCTCCAGCTACGGATGACTCCTTTTTAGGAGCTTTTTTCTTCGTTTTTCCCTAGTCTTCAGTCTCTTCTCAATTTTTAGAAATCCTTTTGACTTGAAAAGTTTTATAAGAACTAAGGGATTTTGAAGAGGTCCCTTTAGGGTTTCGTTGCTTTAGGGCCCAGTATAGGAGCATTTTTACGGTCCCTTTAGGGCTCTCTGAGCTGTCCATTGAAATTATAAAGCTTTAGAACCTTAATGAGTTCCACCTCAAAGTCCCTTAGTAACTCGGTTTTCTTTGAAAAATCGCTCAATTAAACCAGGAGCCAGGAAAAAAAAAGATACCAATAGGTGTCCTGATTCGCTGGAGCACACTTGTCGTAAATGAATTATAAAAATTAGTTTTCTGGTTATTTTTTTTTGCAAAAAAAGCTTTGTTTTGAGTTTTTTCCACTCTTTTAGAGTCTGCTATAGCTTCTATCGCCATTTAAAGCCTCTATTTTACAATTTCAGTGTTTTTCAACGTAGTTGAACTTTTTTTTCTTGTTTTAACATCATTATGACAGATTTTTGATAATGTGATTGTTTTGTTTGTTCAATTAACCTAACATTCCATGTTGGATTTTCTTCGAAACTGTTTATGAATAAATGTGTGTTTTTATCTTTTATCATTTTTTTTTGTGGGTGTCTGTTGAGAATACCTAATATTTTGCACTCTATGCTCCCGATTTACAGGATCTTCGCCCTGTGCAACGGCAAAAAGCCGCTGGAAGAGCTCGCCCTGGAGCACAACCTTGAGCCGGAAGTGATGTACGACCTGCTCAAGGAGACCAACAACTTTGAGTTCATCATGAAATAATCTAATCTCTAATCAGTCAACTAACTACGTGTAAACTACTTGTTTTTTTCTCTGTGATTCTACTGTTATTCATTATTTTTTTTTTGTTGTATCTCAGTATGGCCATAAACATTTTCTTAAATTTATCACGGAAAAAGAAAAGAACGCAATTTTTTTGTTGTTGTTGTTGCTTAGAATAAAAACCATGTCAGCCGCGAATGGTCAGAGAGGAGGAGGAAGAGAGAAAGAGAGAAAGAAATGAACGAGAGAGGAAGAAGGATTTGGGAGGGACACGTTTCATTGGGGAACTCACACACATAGAATGGTTGGATTAATCTCTCACAGGGAATGCCTAAGGAAAAAGAAAAGGATGGGGCAGGGTTCAAACCGGGGACTGTGGGACTGGTATGAAAAGGGAGTTGCAGCTTCTTCTCGAAGAAATCAAGATAAAAGCTGCCAAAGCAATAAAAAAGAGAAGTAGGAAAAGTTTGACCGTTATGGGGTCGAAAAAACTCGACCGCGGCTAATTTTTCACCCAGGACGAAAAGAAATGGAAGAAGGCAAAATTAAGAGGAAGAATGACGGAACAGGATGAAATCACAAAAAAAGGAGGATGAGAAGGCAAAACGGGAACCGAAACGAACAAATCAGGGGGGTAACATGAGCAATGTGATAAGAAGACGCGGAAGATGGACACGAATGGGGGGGCATTTTGAGAATCGAAACAATGGATAACAAACAAAAAAGAAGGAAGGGGATACATGAGAGAAACGGACGGCAAAGGAGGGCCAGGGCGCGAAAATCAACTCAATTTCAGCGAATCGGCTGAAAACTGCTCAATATCCGACAAGAATAAATAGGAAAAATAATCAATTATAATCATAAGAGATGTTTAAAGATGAAAGCGTCTTGAATGGCTTTCTAACCAACTAACAACTAAATATCTAAAGTTAGAACCCAAGAACTAGCGGATTATTAAATTTCGAAAAAGTTGCGGCAACAAAAAACCAATTACTAAAAGAAACCCGCTAAGCTTTGGGTTCAAAAACGAAAAACGAAGAAAACGCAATTTTCAACCAAATAGAAATTGTACAAATAATCGCTATAAAATTCTCTTCTTTTTTGGTAACTAGGCTAAAAATACACGCATTCAAACAAACAAAGGGGCCGGGATAAGATTAAAGGAAAACATTGTTGAAGAAAATTTCGTCGGAGATTAAATATGAGGGGTTGGGGAAATCACTCGAACAATGCTTCACTCACACGCTTTCAGGAGATTTAGAACGGGAAAAGTCGGGAACGATGGGCGGAGGAGGAAGAATGGCAACAGGGGGCGAATTTCAACGGAGAAAAACGCAGAATTCGGTTTCTACAAGATGGAAACGAGATGAGGAACGGAACAGAGAGGACAAGAGGAGGGACCAGACGACTGAAATGGAATTATGGAAAAGACGAAAAAAATTGAAATGGATCAAGCAAACAAGCAATTTATAGAGAGGGTGCAAAACTACAACGAACGAAACTCTATTCAAAAGGAATTATGAAAAAAAAAGCGACTGGAAGATTTCTGGATGAGGCGAAGGAATTTAGGAGAATTTCCAATCGCCAGTTCCAGAAGGTCCTTCTGGAGCTGGAGGAGCTGCGCCTGGAGCTCCGAATGCGAACTCCGAGCTGCTCGGGACGGCCATGTGGCCTTCCTCTTCCTCAGAGCTGCAAAATCCCAATTTTGTCCTCTATCATTCAAAGAAATATGAAGGAAAAAGCTTAGAATTTCTAAAGATTTTTCTTTCTTTTTGAACCAAATTCTCGAACCTTGGTAAGATAGGACGGACGTTTTGAATCAATGCTAGTGACCTTTTTAGTAGCGTTAGCCCCTTAAGTGATCCCTAGAAATGCTCAGAAAAGTACGAAGCGCGTCCGGTTTTCGTTACCGAGGTTATTTTTCGAACTAGGATATTGGTAACACGTAACGGACGTTCTCTGGACGTTTTCGGACGATTCTAGGGATCACTTAAGAGTGCTGAGGTTACTAAAGTGGTCACTAGAAATGCCCCGACACGTCCAATTCGCGTTACCAAGGTTATTTTTTTTTTCGAAAAATCCCAAATCTTTCAAAGTTTCTCCTTAGAGCGCACATGCACAGAGGTCCCCCTGGCTGATTATAGCTTAAATTTCCTAGCGAACTTTTAATGAGGTTCATTTATTGGCTAGATTCAGAAGATATAATTTCCACATTCTAATCTACTTCTGGAAGTTATAGAACTTTCAAAAGAAAAAATTTGATAACCGTCTTCACTATTTTAATTTTTTTCAATGCAATTTTATATATTATTCTGTGCATCACATCATTTTCCTACCTGAAGTAGGTGTCGATGATCTCGAAGGTCAGCTTGTAGATGTCCTCGTTCTCGTGGTTCTGCAGGCTCTCAATCTTGTCCAAGCCTGGAAAAAATTCAATATTTACACTTGAGATGGACAAAACTTGGAAAAAAATCTTTTTTAAATAATTCTCACCTCCACAGCGTTCAATCTCGGCGGTCACCTCCTCGGTGATGGTTCCGGCCATCTTGAGAATGTTGTTGATTCCATCAAGGACGACCTGGAAACACATTTCTCATAGCTCACCCAACAAAACTTTTAAAAAAAATGAGCCTTACAATTTCATAGATTAGTGGTATTACAAATTAATCTGAAACCTCGCAAATGAAGAAAAAATTCTTTTTTACCAAATTTTTATTAACCAATGTTCACCCTATTCACTTATTCTTTCAAAATTTTCAAACCTGAAGGATCTGGGTCTCCTTGCAGTCCAAAAGGCTGCAAAACGGGCGAAGAACTCCCATTTTGACCATTTGCTGGACCTGATGAGGACGGCCAGAGATCGTCACGTTGGAAATGGCCCAAGCGGCTTCCTGCAAATTTCGGAACATAAAATTAACTTATTCTACTAAATTTCGGTGTTGAAAACAACATTGAAAAAGCTACGGAATTTTCTCTAGGGACAGCAAATCGGTTTAAGAAAGCGTTGATAACTTTTTTTCAGAGTTCGAATCAACTTTTTTTATGATAAAAAGATTCCTGGAGTGGATTATTCCAATCAAAAAAAATATCTACTGACCTCGTTTTTTTCTATAGTTAAAATCATTTTCGCTTGAAAATCTATGTACAAATCCGTCTTTTTTTAAAATTGAAGGTGACTGGAAAAAGTTCGAATTGATAAAATAAGAACTGATTCTTCCATTATTCATTTTTGCAATCTATTCTTTTTCTAGACCTTCTGAGTTGGATAATCTCCACGGTCCAAGAGATGGATGATCATCGGAATGAGTCCGGCGTCGAGGACGGCTTGAACTTGCTGAGCATTGCCAGCGGTGATGTTCGACACGAACCAAACGGCTTCCTGAAAGCTTAACATTTTCATTTTTCTGATGTGTCTGAAACCTTGTTGATCTTCTCCTTGTAGTGGGCCAAGAGACCGGGGATGTACTTCAGAACGTCGCATTCGAGGACCAATTGCGTCTGTTCGTCGGTTCCCGTGACGATGTTTCCGACGGCGCGGAGGGCGGCCGTCTGCACTTTTACGTCGGTGTGGCCGAGGATCGGCACCAGGTGAGCCACTACCTGAACGTATCAGGTATAAAATAATCTTATTGGATTAAAGAGTACAATAGAACTTTCAGGAACACTAAAAATGATGAAAGCCCTCAAAAATTCACTGCATTTTCCCATATTTCTCAATCTGAAAGATCCATCTCAATTTCGTATGCACATCAAAAAAATATATCCTTCAAAATTCGTGTGAAATGAAGTTTTCAGAGAAATGTAGACGAACCCCCGACTCGATGACCATCTGAATCTGCTCATTTCCGCCGTCGGTGAGGTAGGACAAGGCCCAGACGGTGTCGACGAGGATGTTGATGTCCTGGTGATGGATGAGGAGAGCCAAGGCCGGCAGGATGGTCTGGACGACTTCGTGACTCGGCGCAGGGTCCTTGGAACGGCACAGGTTGACTATGACCCAGGTGACGTTGCGGAGGAAGCCGATCGGGATGTCGGGGATGATGAACGAGAGAAGCGGCTGCAGGATTCCCAGCTGGAGACAGTAGTCGCGGAAATGAGGTCCGTCGCCGATGATGTTGCCCAGGGCCCATACGGCCTGTTCGCAGACGCTCATGTTGCCGCAGGAAAGGAGTTGCAGGAACAGAGGCACTGCACCGGCGTCCACCTGGAAACATTCATTTTGAGCTGAATAAATTTGGACTTTATGTAAAGACATATTTTTCGATGGTCGCTCTCATTCCGAGGCTTCCACCTATAGCACGGCCTTTGGGCCCCAGCTTCAAGATCCGCTACATTCTGAGCTCATCAAGGCAACTGGATGAAAAACGCGCAGAACAATGTCAAGAATCGTTAGACCACGCTTTCAACTTGATCAACTACACGTTCGAACTTCTAGCTCGCCTAAGGCGGTTATTCGTGATAGCTTCAAAAGTGTTCCAGTTCCGATGCTAGAAAAAACCTTCCCAATTCGAAACTCGTTTACAACATGTCTCTCAAGGTAGCAATAATATTTACGTCCTAATAAAAGCAAAATTTATATTTTACCAAGAAAAATGTCCAAACTACCGTGATACGACCAGCTATCTTGAACAGACCCGCTACACTCGAAACTTTTCATCTTTACAGCATTTTTCTGCGGAATCCTGTTTCCAGGCAAAAATTTAACTCAAAAACCGTAAATATACGCAGTCGACCACTATCAAAGAGTTTTTGAGCAAAAAACATCGGAATTGTGAAATGTATCGATTTTCTTTAAATTTCTGCCAAAGCCAACTTATCTTTTAGCCTTTTTCTGAGCGAAATTCCCAACTTCTCTGCCTAAGCCACAGCTCCTGCCGCCGTTTGAACACAGGTTAATCAATGAAAGTCGATTGCACATGTGTTCTTACATTAAAGATGCAATAAAAATTTTTTTTTGAAAACTCAACTTGCAGCGAATTCAGTTTCAAAACGAATCCTACTTTGATATATTTTGAAACACAAATCTCTTATTTAGGAATCTTTTTTTTTCAATCTTTTTGTTGAAACCGGATTCAATACCTTTTGATATCGTTTCAACTATAATGATAATCTTCCGTTTTTCACATCTCTCAAAAATTATTTTGTTGTTTTAAAGACTCAATTGTTTTCCGCAAAACTTACAACAGCGCGAGTTTGCTCCGAATTTCCCGAGGCGATGTTGGTGAGAGCCCAGGCGGCCTCGAACTGCAGGTTGGGGCTGAAAATTGAAGATTTTTATCATAATATATCCACTCAATTCCACTACTCTGAGGAGGAGAGACAGTTGACCAGGACCGGAAGAATTCCACTCGAAATCAAGTCATCGATTGGCGGGTTACGGTCAGATGAGAGCATCTTTCTGGCCTAAAATATAAAGTTAGAAAGAAAAAACAAAGCTTTTCCCTAACAAATAACACGAGAAAGAGAAAGAAACCTCAAATGGTAACTCCTTTTTTAATCTACTAAGTTAAGTTCTTTACAAACCTGTTGGACAGCGGCCAACTGAGTGGCTGGATCTTTGGAAAGAGCCGCCTCCACAGTCATTCTGAGCATGCTCTCGTCAAATGGTCCCGATTGACCGGCCGACACTTCTACGTCATCTCTGAATAACAATTCATTGACATACACCATTTCCAAGTTGCAGTTCAAAAAAAAAACCAACTCTGGCTTCAGGTTTCGGCGCTTGGAGATGGCCTCCTCACGTTTGTCCTTACGAATCGAGATAATCTAAAATAACTACTATATTTTCTTGATTTCTCTTTTTTTCAAACCTCCTCAGTTCGCTTTTCCTTCCCAAGTTGCTCCTTGGCATTGTTTTTGTACAGTGCCTGACGGTTATTTCCGCTCATTTTCTGAAAAATGACTTTTAAAAATGAAAACTAATGAGAGTGTGAACAAGAGTCGAAAAAAAGGGAAAACAAGGATATTTACTATAATTTCACAAAGTTCTTCAAAAAAGAACTGGAGGAAATACATAAATTTTAGAGAGGAAAAAACTGGTTTGTAATGAGAGGCGCAATGCCTAAAAAAACTTCTTCCGTGTTGCGCGAGATAATCAAAATTGTTTCTACAAAGAGGAAGCACCAAAAGACTTGATAAAAATTAATGGAATTTAGGAAAGGGAACACATTTCCAAGGGTGAACGGTTGGTAAACAGGATGAGCAATAATGGAAAACTCTCGATCGAAGCGGGTTTCGTCGAAACGTGACCGCCATTTTACCGCGTTCGCGTCGACGCTGGAGCACACATTCCTTTCGCGTCTGTTTCAAAATCCAAAACGTACTTTTTCACGGCAAAACGCTAAAAGCTTCAAGCTTCATTTCAGAACTGTAGAATTTTGACATACTTATTAGCTAAGAAGTGGTTTTTCCATATAAATCGAACATGAAAATGGGAAAGCGGTACTAACTTTAGGTTTTCGTGACTATATCGGAAAAAAGCAATGAAATTAGTTAAACGTGAATACTCGAATGGAAAAAAGAGTAGAAAAGAAAAAAATTATCCCAAATTTGAAATGACGGCCGTGAATGCAGCTCGCATGGCCTGAAAAACCAAATGCGGCAGAGCGCAGTTTCGACTATTTTTCCTATCTTTCAATTTTTTTATTTAATTTTTTTAAAATATCTGCGGTCATCGTTCAATTTATCTACGTTCTTATATACGTTATAGCGGTATTTATGTTCATATAAACCCGGAAATAAGCTTTTACGATAAAACCGTGCGGTTTCGGTTTTTATAGTTACCATGTGGTTTCAAAAAATAAAACAATTCATGGCGAACTACACACTTTTTGAGCTTGTTCTCCCCTTTTCAAAACAAATACTGATCTCAGTGATTTGCAGGACAGACCAGAACAATCTGAAGTGACGTCTCGCGCCAGGCGAAATGCACTTTTCGGCCTCGAGCTTGTTGAAAAAAGGCTAAAGAACATCTTGTCTGTTTGGCGGACAATCTTCGTATTGGCACGTTTCCCAGAAGCCAGAATTTTTTGTTCCAATGGCCGCCAGAAGCGCAAAGTACGTTTTCGCGCTCTGGGAAAGATTTTAGTTTGTATTTCTACAATATGGAACCTAGCTAAAACTTCGCGGTTGCTGAGGATGATTTTGAGACACAGGGCGGATTTCTATTGAGTAAAAAAAGTTTGGTTTGAAAAATTGTTTCCCACTTTTTTTAACGATGAAAAGTTACATGTTTTCGGTACGCTATTTTTTTAAAAAGGCTCTTAACTTTAAAAAAATAAAAAAATTTATATCAATGCGAACTTTTTGAAATTGGACGATTTATCGAAGCAAATGACTTAAAATGGAACTTCAAAAAAATAAAAAAATCAAGCTTATCTAAATAAGCATGAACCGCTAAAAAAAGGCGGTGATAAAGTCAAAAAAATTTTTTTATATTATGCTGTTACTTTTTTTCCATAAAAAAATAATACTATTTTTGAACAGTTTTATTCCCTCTTTTCTTCATTTATGATGCCGCTTTGACGTTTATCTTCTCAATCCACTCGTCCATTCCATTTCAAATAAACCCATCAAAATATTGTGATGAAATGATCCCACGAGGAGTGGTCCGGTCAAAAAGAAAGAGAGGGAGAAAAAAAACAAGAGTTCCTGTGCCGCGAGGAAAAAATGTCCTCCTTGAGAACCACGGGCTAATCTTTTCAAGTGCTCCGACACTTCTACAGAGCACACTTTCAGAGTGTCCAACAGGGCGATTTGGTTCAGAATAACCACTGAGAATATTATTTGGGCATTTTTTATCGCTTCATTTAAGATTGAAATGTAAAAAAGGCGCCAAAAAGGTTCATTTTATGATTTAATTTTTTTTGAACCAATTTACTGTAGTTTAAAAAAAAAGTTATAGATAAAAACAATTTTTCTTGATTTCGAAGCTATTTTCGAATTCTTACCCAATCTTTGAGATCAGAAGCCTCTCAAAAGTTAAAAACCACTGAAAGCTTTTGTTCGATTTCACTTTTTTTCAAATTTCAAAATATAAAAGTTTTTCCTTTGATTCCAAGCCGCCGCACAGCAATATTTGCGCTGGGGCGAACACGTCGCAAAACAATCGCCAGCTTCTTTTTGAACACGGAGACCGTAATAGGAACCGTCCCATTGTCTTGTCGGTTCCAAAAAACGGAGGAACTTGATGAGAATTTTTGGAGAGCTTCACGTTTGGGAAATGAGCTGAAAAAATCAATGACTGATTGGTTTTGTAGGAGATCACCTTTAAGGTTTTTTCCAGTCTTGTTAGAGTGGAATAAGTGCAGAAAATCGAGAGTTTCCTTACAAGGGAGGTCATTTTACTTTAGGGTTAGGAATTTTCTGAAAATACACCTTGAAGCGGCACAATAAAGTCCTGATAGTCTTAACCTGTCAAATTTCCCAATTTTTAAGAAATGAGGGTTCAAAGCCTCAAAACTGGCTCTTTCGACTGATTTTGAAAGTTTTCTTTGACTTTGAGGTCTCGAAACTAGGAATTTGTGCAGGCTGACTGTCAGAATCTTCTTCTGGTACATCGAGAAGTCTTCTGGCCAAACTTGAGGGAATTCTCAACTGCAGAGCAAAATTTCCTTCACTATTAGTATTTTTTTATCCTTTCAAAAAGTTCTTTTTTGAAAAATTGGAATATAAAAAAACTCAGAAAAAGGCATACAGAAGCCGTAATAAAACCAATTCTTTCATTTGAAAAAAAAAACCTCTTCAAAGATTCCATGATTCAGATATAACACCACTCTGAAAAAAACATAGAACATAAATTTTGATAAAAACCACCAGTAGTCCCAATAAATGACTCATTGGATCCGCGCCAAATAAACGAACAAATATTTGGCCGAAAACGTGAGTCAACTGATAATTTCCGTGTAGCTCGGCGGCTTCAGAAACATGGACCGGTCCTCTTAAAGGCCGTGAACTCGGCGTTCTTTCGATCTGACGTCGTTGTGATTCATCGAGTGGATCCGAGTTTGGGATTGAACATGTGAGAAAAAAAATTTAAGAGTTTGTGAGAAGGCTTTCAGTTGATAAATAGTTTCTATTAACACCAGCCCTCAGTCTTAATTTTGTAAAATAAAAGTTGAAAAAAACCCAAATTTTACTGAAACTTCTTAACTTGGCGAATGACATTTTTCAGGATTTTTTTCAGTCCATGTCAGGAAAACGTGCATTTATAGAAAAAAATGAAAAAGTTTAAAATTTTCTATAAGCCAATAATTTCAAACTTTTTAAAAAGGTTAAATTATGATATTTTAAATGGAAATCGTTTTTCAGGATTTTTCTAAAAAATGGATTAGATTTTTTTCAATTTTTGGTAGGGCTTTTTTTGTCACTTTTTTTCAGCTAGTGGATCTTTGGTAAAGCTAAAATTAGGGTCTACTTAAGTAGATTTTTTTCTTTGATAATTCCAAGTTCCCAGAAGTATTGTTAAATTTTTTTAAATTTTTCGATACAAGTAGAATGAAATTCCGATCTGAATTTTTTACTTGACCACGTTTTTTTTCTCATTCTGCTCCAATTTATCCTTCAAAAAACGAGAAAAACCCAGCAAAAACTGAGAAGAATCAATAGCAAAGCTTCTCACGCCGGCCGTTCATCAAAAACGGTCCGGCAAACCAGAAAAATGGAGATTAGACCCTATCGCGAAACGATTCAAAACACACCCAAACGCACTTTTTGGCCCTGAGGACGGCTGAAAAAAGCAAACAAAAAAAGAAGTTTCGCGCCATCGCTTCTCCGGAAAGTGGGCGGGGCTTAGGTACGTGGCCCTCCGGCGCTTCCGGACCGTCTGCCATCTGTATAAAACGGCTTTTCAGCCGCTTCCGGCATCATTCTTTTTCTTCTCAATTACTAATTCTTTTGATTCTATCCGATTTTTTTAAAAAAAAAGCTTAACTTAAAAGATTGTACAACTTCGCTCTATAAATTATTTTTTTCGGCTTTTTGGTGACTTTAAGGTCTATGTTTCATGGTATTTCATGATTTGATAAGCTTTTTGACCACGAAAACGGGAAACAGGAATATAAAGATTTGCAACTTTTGAAACGAACTTTACCCTTGTGGGAGATTCCTTAAACAGTTTTTTTGATTTCTGATTTTTTATGCCTTTCATTCTAATATTTCATTACTATTATTGTTTTTACTCACTTTTTCGTCTTTATTTCAAAAATAAAAAGAATTTTTACATCTAGTTTATACTTCAAGATTTCCGTTCGACCCTTGTTTTTGACTTATTCTGATGAATTTTCCGTAATATATTTATTTTTTTATGAAATTCTTTCCCTTGTAGGAAATAAAAAAATGTACAAACTGTTGGCCCTTGTCCTTCTGAGCGCTGGCGTCGCTGCTCAAACCGAAAATTCCACGCCTTCGACCGTCAATCTTCGAATCGTTTTTCAGCCCGATGATAATCAGAAAGAGGTATTTTTAACGGTTTTAAGCTTCGATTTGAACCTTTTCTGCTTTTGCTTATCATTTCATACCTGAAAAATTGGCTCAACCTTCTAATAATCTTCCCGAGTTTTCATCATAGTTTTTTTTTTTAACAAAACTGGCAATTTTCTGAATACTTCTCGAAGAAGACTCGCAAATTTTCGAGAATCCTCCAAAGTCTGATTCGAAATTTTCACTAGGTTGCAAAAAAGCTAGTTCTCTAAATTTTTCCAAAAATCGCTTCCAGAAAATCTGCCCCACCTTTTCTGCTTTTTTTTATATTTGATTAAAATCCAAGTTTCCCGTTTCAAGATTTGTTTTCAAGATAAGGGTTTTTTTAACCGTTGGAGTTAGTGGAAATATCTGCTTGCATAGTTATTCAAAAAGAAAAAAATCAAAAAAAAAAATTCGAAAACCCTCTTTTATATGAAGCTTCATCTCGAAACTCAACTGATTGAAAAGTTCCTTTGAAAAGTCAGCTTTTCCTCTCCCAGATAGCAATTTCAGTTTGACCCGCCATGCGTAGGAGACATTTGCGAACCGTCGCCGCTCCTCAGTCCAGTGGTACGGTATTTTTGCTTCTCTAGTACAGTATCCCCAACACGCTTGCTTTACAGTAACCTTCCCCATTCCAAGCCTTGCCGTTCTGGCATAAATTCACTGTTTCAATATAAATTTCGAGCAAACTCCAAGGGATTATTTAAGGGCCTTGAAAGGAAAACAAACTTCGTTTAAGCTTGAAAAGGTGCAAAAAATTTTCCTACCTTTTCAAGAAAAAAATATTTTTTTAATCGTGTTGTAAGAAATTTATCATTTTCTTCTTTTTCAACACCTTTTTCTCTTCTCAAAAAGGAACTTTTCAATAAAGAATACATGAAAAGGTATTTTTAAAGCCTTTTTCAGACGCTCTTTTTAAAACCCCTTTGACAATGTTACAATATTCATTCAAACCTTTCCAAAAAGCCCAAATTTCGTTTTCTAAGCCTCTTCCCTGCACGAGCACCAACTGCAAAGCTGCCGACAGCAATCTGATCACATTCAAACTCCCGCTCAATTTGGCTCCATCAACGCCAAAAGCGGTAATTTGTTCTTTGCAAACATTTGAATGTATCGATGAAAAATATTGCACGAAATCATCCCGAATTCACCTCGACTTGCAAGAAAATTCCACTTTTCCTCAAAGTTGCATGAATTTTGAAGAAATTTAAAGAGGTCAATAAATGGAATAATTTAGAAAGTTCAGGCTTCACCTTGCGCCTCAGGAAGTTGTGCTCAGCCACAACAACCTCAGGCAACTTATAAAGTGGTGAGTAATTTTTTTAAAAAGAAGAAAAATCTCTTGATTTGAGTTGGAACCGATCCTGCTAGTAAGTAGGAAAAGCAAAAAAGAGAAAAATGTAAAACTTTATCTTGAAGTTTCATCTTGAAACTCAACCGGCTTTCGAAAATCTTGTCACTCTAAATTTTTAATGATCTGGGAAAGTTTTTAGTGGCCACTATAGAGGCTCGCCAAGGACAACTTGGAGAGGACACTAAAGTGGCCACTAAACCCACTTATATAGGGGCCACTATTTTCCGTTTTAGTGGCCACTTCAGTAGTTTTTCATCCAGTATTCCTTCCAGTAACTCTGATAATTTAAAAGCAAACAGATTGGACCAGTTATGTTGATCCATTGACCCCTAAAGTGGCCACTAACCTTTAACCCCTTAAGTGGCCACTAATTTGACTACTACAGTGGTCACTGAAACGTCAAAACTCTATAGTGGGCACTAAAAATTTTCCCAGTACTTTGTCAAAAACCCACTTTTTATTTTCAGTTATCACTTTTTTCTCGAGTTCCAGGTTATAAAAAGTCCAAAATTTCGTGAACCGATTTTTTCCCTTTTTTAAAATGTAACCTGAAAAAAAAACTCAAGCTTCATTTGTGAGATGAAATGCTCTTTTTCTATCATTTCTTGAAATTTTTCAACTTCGTTGGCGTGAAGTGAGGGAAATAATTGATTTTTTCAGCAAGCTTCTGCCTCCTGCGCCAGCGGCACCTGTGGACAAGCTGTCCAGTCCTCACCTGTAAAAATCGATTGATTATCGATTAAATCAATCAATAACTTTCAGACAACTGCCGCTCCTTTGAACACCCTCAACTTGGCGAACATCGTCATCAAAACAGTTCCAGTGTGTTTTCAAAAAAATAATTATAAGAGATTTTTGATTAATTCCCAGGCCACTTCTGGATCTCAGCCCACGATCACCGTCAAATCTGCTGATTCTACTTATTCTTCTTCAGTATGGAGTTCGAGAAGATTTTCTTCATTTTGCTGAATTTTCAGAATTTCGTCTCTTCTCCAAAAATTGTCTCTTCTCCGGTAATCTCGTCGGTCAGCAACAATCAGCCCATTTTCAAGATTGTCAAAGCGGTAAGATCCAAAAACTTTGTGAATTTTGTATTTTGCGGTCAGATCATAGGTTGGGTTTCCATTTGAAACTACTGAAGAGGCCACTATAGAGATTCTCTATTTAGTGGCCACTTCAGTAGTTTTTCATCCAGTATTCCTTCCAGTATCTCCGATAATTTTAAAACGAACAGTTTGGACCAGGTATGTTGATCCATTGACCCCTAAAGTGGCCACTAAAAACTTTAGTGGTCTAGTAGTAGCACTGAGACCTCTATAGTAGCCACTAATTTTTAAACCCTTGAGTGGCCACTAATCTGACTACTATAGCGGCCACTAAAACGTCAAAACCCTATAGTGACCACTAAAAACTTTCCCAGGATTGTAGGGATCCCTCAGAGTTTGCAAGACAAACGGAATAGTTGTTACTCTTCAAGTGATCACTACAGAGACATTAGTGGTCACTGGAGTTGTGCTTCTACCTCTTTAGGCATCATTTTGAGAAACAGACTATTTTTTATTTGACCCTCTGAGTGCGAAGAACTAGGTTCTTCCAACGGATAAGCCATAAAACTATGTATCAACTAAGAAGTTCTTTAGGCTCTCCAAACTTTGAGTTTTTAAAAAACTGGAACAATCTTTGAACTATTCATTATCCAGATTGATAGGTATCGCCATTTTTAGTTCTCACTTGAATTTCTAAGCAAGGTAATTTCTTTTCTCGGTCCTGAAACTCGTCCCGAGAGTTACTTTATGTACCATAAGAAGATCCAGGAAGTCTCAACCTGCACAACCTTCTAGTTTCAGAGAAATAAGAGGCTAAAGCTCAAAAATGGCTAAGGGGATTCCTTGACTTTGAGGTGTCCTTTCTCAAAAACTAGGAAGACGTGCAGGTTAAAACTTTTTAGATCTAAACCAGGTACCTTAAAAAGTGTACTGTCCAGTCTTCAACGTGAAATAAAACTACATCCCTTGTTGGTCAAACATTTTCCAAACTGACTCGATTTGAGAACTCCAACGGGTTCTACAACAGCTTCTCGAACGGCTGCTCTTCCCCGTCCTGCTACAACCCCCAGCCACGGATCATCTACGCTCCACGGTACTTCTCGGCTCCGTGCGCGGCTCAGAACAACTGCGGCTTCCAACCCAGCCGCGTCTTCTACGCCTCGAATTCGATTTCCGGTGGAACGACTTCTTCCAACAATGGACAGATCGCCGTTCCGGATGCCATCTATCAAAATGGTCAGTTTCTGATATTCATTAGAAAGTTAAAAAAAAGAATAAATTAAATAGAATCATGCGTTTTTCCCTTTGAAGTTGGCTATTGAAAATTGGAAGATTTTTTTTTTTGGATTCGTGTTGAAAATAACTTTCGAAAAAGCTCAAAATTTTTAAGCGCAGAAAATTGCAGAAAAAATATTCAAACTGCGCTAATCAAGAAAAATGAACAGGATTGTGCTTTAAACATAAGGTTTATCCTGTCTAGTTAACTGAAATAACTTGGAAACGGAAAATGTTAGACTCCGCCCTGCGCCTTTAAAACTTCAAATTGAGGGGAAGATAGATGAAATCTTGAATTTTGGAAGTTTTGAGAAGGAGAATTCCGACAAAAATTCATAAAATATCAGAGAAAGAGATCAAATTTTGAGTTTTCGATGATTATTGTGTGTTTTAATGGGATCAAAATATCATAAGACTCATCAATAAATGATAAAACGGACGAAAAAACCTTCAGGCCGCCGAGTCCATGTCCCCCTTCGCACCCCAACCAAGTACGACAACGGAAACCCAGTTTTCAGCATTGGAAACTGAACAAAAACCTCAAAATGTCAACTAAATTGTCTGTTCATAATGTCTTTTTTGTTGTCTTTCTCGACCAATTTAATATTTTTAATTTATTGGAATTTTTCAAAGATTGTTATAAAAATAAATGTTTTAACGTGAGAAAATATTTCATTTCTACAGCAATCATGTCGATGAAAAAGGTGAAGAAGAACAAGCGAAAGGAGAACAGAATCGAGGAAATGTTGCGGTGAGGAGAGGAAAAATATTGGAAAGTGAAAAAAAAAGAAAATTCTGGAAAAGTAGTCTCTTCTCTTTAAGTGGTCACTACAGAGGCGGAAGTAGCCACTAGAGCAGAAATTTTCCCTTCAGTGATCACTTGAAGAATATCTATATAGTCAATACTCGACAATTTTCGCGTGTCTGCATCTCTCTGTTCCCTCTCCTGTGAGGTCAGAGAAACATGAAAATAGCACGTATACATTGGAGGGTCGCCGAGAGACGAGGAGTGCGCAGAGAAGTCATTTTCAAAGAAAAACTGACTAATTTTCAAATTTTCTTGAAATGTAGGAAAAAGTATTTTTTTTTTCGTTTGTGTTTTCTCTGCCTGACTTCTCTGCGCCCTACTGATATCTCACTTGCATGATCGAGAGAAAAGAGGGCTCAGAGAAGCCAGACTTTTCCAACCTTCTTGGAAAGATGATCTTATAGTTTCTTATCATTAAAAAAAGAAAGACGATTTTTTTCACTATTTAAAAAAAGATATAATAAAATTCTTTTTAGGCAAGGAACTGCCGACGACGTTTCCATGCTGACAGGAGGTGCCGATAATCTTCGAAAAGTTGAAACGCAATTTGTAAGTTTTCAGATTATATAATAACAGTAAAGCTCTTTAAGAAGTAGAAAACATTTTTGTAAATTTGTAAATTTTATAATAACAAGAAGGGAGTAGGAAACCCTTCAAAGGCGGATTTTTTTAAATCAGAATATCTTCTTTTTTTCAATGAAACAGCTTTGTCTTGTAACGCAATTCGTAAGTTTTTAGTTTATATAACAACAAATAAAGGCTTCAAGAATAAGAGTAGTGCAAATTTGATAGAAATTTCATAAAATAGTAAATTCTACAATCACGAAAAACTACTTAAACGAGTAGAAAACCCTGCAAAAAGTGATTTTTCAGAATCAGAATATCTTCTTTTTCAGTAAAAACGAAAATCCACTACATTTTCGACGTTTTTTCGAAGATTTTTCGTTTGAATCCTTCATTCTATCACAACATAGCTTCATCGATATCATTTTTTTCCCTTTGATCATTTCAAATTCCAGTTGGAAGAATCGACAACACCTGGAGAATTGCAAAACGAAGGTCCTCAAACAAAACTTCATTTTTCGACTAGAATTGTGGGCGTGAAAGGACAGGACGAGGAAGGCGATTTGAGGTGAACAAATTTCATTTTTGATCTCAGAGGAATTCGCAAAATCACTTTCGAAACGGAATTTTCCTAATCAATAACCGACTTTTCCTTTTCGTTTCAAATAATTTTTCAAAATGAAGTTCTCGGAAAAAAAAAGTCTCAAGCCCGTATAGGGAATGGCTCAAAGTGTTGCGGCTTGCTCAAATTTTTTCTGTTGCTAGCGCGTAAGTTGTTTCAGGTCGGTCGCGTCTTGAAGCAACACAAGGAGCCATTCCAAACGCGACATTAACGTTTTTCCCTATTCTTTTAGAGAGTTTCAGAGCTGAATTTCTGTTAGTTCAAGATTTACTCACAATTTTACCTTCAAAAAAAGAAAACAAACTTTTTTTAGTTTTTAAAAATGATTTTTTTGGGGAATGGAGACGTACACTTTTTCTTAGGTTTAAAATAAATGATTCATCAGGAAAAAAATCTTTTTCAGCCGAAATTTTTTTCAAATCTTTGATGTGTATATATTTATAGATATATTTTTTTAATTCTGGAAAGTATTTTTTTGCAAAAAAATAATAATGATGTTTTTCAGTCAAGCTTACCAATTCATCTTTCCTCGCGTCATTTTGGCCTTGTCAGCAGCGACGGCAATTCAATTAATCGGCTGTATCTTCACTGTTATCTTCTTTTAATTTTTTTTCAAAACTTCGTTTTGGAATGAAATTTTTTTCACTCGACTCGTCAAACTTTTTTTTTGTAAAAATCAAGTAAATTCAATAACCATTCAGCAGAAGTCCCCATGAGGCTTGCGTCCGACTAAAAACGGTTTCCGCTTGTAAAGACTTGTATATTCTTGACACGACGCACGAAAAACGTCTGTAAAAATTCCTTCTCGGCATTTTTTGAAAAGAAAAAAGCAAAGTTTCAAATTATTCTTCTCGTCACTCTTTAAACTTTGAACTGTATTATCACAAAATCTAGCGAAGAGCGAATTTTCCGCAAAAACCGCAGGAAAGTCGAGGTGAACGTGTTGATTTTAATCGCTGGAAAGGGCAAAAAGATGGGTTTTTTTTGGGATTTCGAGGTAGTTACACCTTCTCCGAAGGCGTTGGGATCGATGGCATCTCTGTTGGTTTTTCGCGTGTTGTAAGATTTTTCAAACCTTTCGGAAGGTATATAAACGTTGGGGACTTTCCGAGAGACACAAACATTCGTTTTCTTCTTCTTTTAACAACTTCTGATTCTATATTTTATTTTTTTAATATGTGTTCATTTCCATTGAATCTTAAGAAAAAAGTCGAAAAAATTTGATTTCTCTACATTTTGGAAAATTTCTTTTCAAAACAGTCTAGCTTGTCTTTACTCTTTCATCTCTACCTCTTTCAAAAACTTGCCGATGAGGGAAAAGAGAGCGCAGACAGGTCAGACTTTTCCAAATATTAGATTAGTCTGTTAGAAATAAACTTTCTCGAGCCTCGGTAAGGGAATCCGGAAGTTTCTGAGCATTTCAAGTTATCACTTAAGAGTTATGCCGCTAAAGTGATCACTCAGAAACGTCCGGTTCACGTTACCGAGATCCGAGTTGGGTTTATCGATTCAAACTTCTTTCCCAAGCTGAAACTCGGAGTTGATCTTCATTTTTCGCGATACTTTAAATTAAAAAATTCCATTGGGTTCTATCTATCATGCTGAAAAACTTCCAACCTAATGTTTTCACTCCACAAAAATAGAAATGAGCCTGAAACTCCTCGTGAAAGTCGCCAACGTGGCCAGCGTCGTGACCATCGTCGGCTGTGTCTTCACTCTTCTCGTCTTGGTCTACGACATCAACCAGCTCTACGAGGTCACCATGGAAGACATGGTCGAATTCCGAGTGAGCTTCTGCCTTCTCATACACGTCTAGAACAATTATCTTCAGTACACATCCAACGGCGCCTGGCTCGACATGATCGAAGCGACCCAATTCGTCCAGCCACCCAAGAACGTCGCTCAAGTCTTCGGCCGTGCCAAGAGACAGGCTTCCAAGTGCAACTGCGGAGCCGCCAACTCTTGCCCTGCCGGTCCGGCCGGACCTCCCGGACAGCCTGGAACTCCGGGATTCGACGGAGTTCCTGGTGAAGCCGGCGTAGACGGTCACCGTGGCTCCGCTGCTCAGGCTCCTTCCATCATGCCTCCCTACCAGGACAGCAGCTGCACCCAATGTCCAGCCGGAGCTCCAGGACCCGCGGGACCAGACGGACCTGTCGGAGAGCCAGGACCCGACGGACAGCCTGGATATCCTGGAAAAGCCGGCGCCGATGGCCTTATCGGGCCTGTTGGTCCTGCCGGAGACATGGGATACGCTGGAATGCCAGGCGAGATCGGTCAGCCAGGAGCTCCTGGAAAGAACGGACAGAAAGGGCATGGCCTTCCCGGAGCACCTGGACCAGTCGGACCACGGGGAAATCCTGGAGCCGCCGGCGCTCAAGGAGAAGCTGGAGCTGATGGAAAGCCTGGAGCAGTCGGACCAGTTGGAGCGCCAGGGAAAGATGGTCAGACCGGACCTGATGGGGAAGTTGGAGCGACTGGAGCTGCAGCTGCACCAGGAGCCGATGCTGGTCAGTCTTTTCAGTACTTTGATTTATAACTAATTAATTCCTCAACATAGACGGTACAAAAAATAGATCAATCTCATTCAAAAAATCTCATTTTTCAGGCTACTGCCCGTGTCCCGACCGCAGCGGCGGCTACAAATATTCTCAAGCTTGAAAAAATCGATTTCCTTTTATCTGTACAAAGAGAATAAACTATTTCTCTTCACGTAATAATTTATTCAGTTCCACTGAAATCGCAACAATATTATTACAAATTGAAAATTTACAGACATTCCTAGAAGTTTAGACATTGCGCTTCAGGATACGGCGGTTGTAAGGGCAGCAGGAATAGTCTGAAAACATGTATTTTATGAATCTTCAGATAAAATAGAAAACTCACCGATTCTGTTACAGCACGAGGCGCTGAAGTAGGCCTGAAAATTTGACTATCGGTCAAAAAAATGGTTTTAATTTGCTTAAATCAGCTTAAAGACTGACTGGATTGTTTAAAGGAGCATAGGCGAATTTTCTAATGGTCTCAAGACGAAAAATCGTCTTCAGTTTGATTCCTGACAGCACAAGACTTCTGCGCATAGCGCATATCATCTTCAAAAAATATAAACCTTGAAAATTTTGAGCCTCTATAATCCGAAAAATTAATTCAAAAAAGAAGGGATGAAAGTGTGCTCTAATGACAAAAGGATAAAATATCAAATTTCGAAAAAGAAACTCAGAACTTTGTGGTATTTTTTTCGTCATATGATTGGAAAAGCATTGAGAAGTTGAAACTTGAGCTGGTTTTCATAGGCTTTTTTTTCTCAAAAATTTTACCCTTGACGGAGAAGGAAGGGGACCGCCGCAGAGAGGTCCAACACATGGAGGAAGGCCATATTCGATCTGGAAAATAGAAATGTATCTTCTTCATGTTTTTAAGAAGGTCTCACCGGTGGTAGGAGTGGAGGACAGTTGCATGGAGGCGGAGCGCAGCCGACACAAGGCGGGGGTGGACAAGCACATGGGGGAGGCGCGCAATTACATGGGGGTGGTGCGCATCCGACGCATGGCGGTGGTGGACAGACGCACTGAAAATCGGCCTCTTCCTTTTTTTAATTGCAAATGACTCAGAAACGGATGGTCTATTGCTCGGTTCATTTAAAAATCCAACAAATGGCTATTTTTCATCAACTTTTCAAGCAATCTGAGATACCCAATTTCAGCAAAAAAAAAATTCTGAATTTTTTTCGGGAATACTGTCATCATAAATTATCAAATGGCTCATTTCACGCAAGAATCTTACCGGTGGCGGGAGTGGAGGACAGTTGCAAGGAGGGGGTGCGCAGCCGACGCAAGGTGGCGGAGGACAAGCGCATGGAGGCGGAAGAGGCGGCAGCGGAAGCGGAAGAGGAGCGCGGAGAGGGGGACAGTCGCAGGGAGGAGGGGCACATCCGACGCATGGCGGCGGTGGACACGCACAGTTGTTCGGAGCCAGCAGAAGCTGAACATTCCGATAAAATCTTCCTTTTATGGAGTTTATTTTTTTCTTTTAGTTGGGAGTTTCCGAGGAAACTCGATTCAAGTGATGATTAGAGCATCTGAATTTCAGAAAATAAAATAAAAATTCTTAAGTTATGACATCATAAAAGCTTCGAAACTTTTTCTCATAATCTGTGAGATATTCGAACTTTGAAGTGTCATAACTCGCCAATTTTGAGAACTAATTATCCATTTCTGTGTGATTTCTTTTCACAAGCTTTGTTCCCGAAGCTTCTCACAATCAATTTCAATTTCTGAGCTTTTCATCTAGTATCTAAGAAAAAGAACGGGTCAAGAAGTTTCTAACCAACTCCACCTCGTGTCCAGAAGCTTCAAAGGATTTTCGTTTGATATCTTCAAAAATAGGCTTCAAACCCTGGGAGGAAGTGGGGGACAAGGAGGACCGCCATAGCAGGAAGGCATTGGCGGCAACGGGGGCAAGAACTGGGCAGAAGTGCCCGCGACGAGTCCGACAACGATCAAAGTGAGCATGACCTGAACAAGATCATTAGATGATTCATAACCTTGAAAAAAAATGTTACGGTTTCATATGGAGCTGAAAAAATTCCTAATGAACTTTCAAGACGAAGATCAAGTTTTTCGAAATTCTCAGAAAATGGATTCAAAGCTAGAAAATGTGCACATAAGCAGAAAACTTCGTCTTAAGCCTAAATAAAGACATTCCTTAAGAGACAAAAAATCATCAGAGAGAAGCAAAAGATTACCCCTCAAAATCCAGGAATTTTTTGACTTCAAAACGGAAAGAATTCGAAAAAGATACTTCGCAGTAATTTGCAAAAAAGGAAAGAGTCGATAGAAATCCGTAATCAACCTTTTCCCTACAAAAAACCAGAAATAAGCTAGACAGACGGAAAATTCCCGAAAAGCCGCGTGCCGTACACGTCCGTTTCGAGTCCTTTTATACAAAAATTTCCATGGGTGGAACCTTGCCGCCACTCCATTACGTCGTCGATTGCCGCGGTCACACGCGGCTCGATCCGGAATTTTTTCTGCGCTCCAACGCGACACGTCGATTGGTCATCCTAAGCTTCTGATTTGTTGCTTTTTCAAAGTTGAAAATCCCTAACAATTCAATTAAGTTAGCCTTCCGGTAATGCTTAGCATTTCCACAAAAGTTTGATAACTCTGCTTTTTTACTTAGTTAATTCACGCAAGACTTGAAAAAAAACCTTATTAAAAAGGTTCGATTTACAATAATATGAAAGGAGCTTTTGCTCATTTGCTTGCTCAAGATGTTTCATTTCCTTATTAAAACACGCCTCAATAAGTTCAGCTTTACTTATTCGAGAGTTATCTTGGGACTGAAAACAAGACTTCAAATATTCAATAAAGTTAGCGAAACTTCATGGAAAAAGAAGTTGGTTGAAAAACTTTTTTTTGAAAAAAATCTCTTCGAGATCAAGCTTTTTTCAACAAATTTTTTGAAAATTATAAACGTTTTTAAAAAAATTCCTTGCAACGTATTCATGACTGTCAGCTTTAATTCCACTCGAAAATAAATTTCTCTAAAAATGAGAGCACAACTACTTTTATTGTAGAGTTTTTTTCGAAATCATTTTTCGTGTCCGATTCTCCTAAAAACTAACCTTTTTTCAAATTTTCATAACCTCTAAATATCTCTCGAAAAAAACAATTTTTTTGTTTTTGAAAAAAATTAGACCGAAAAAAAGAACTCATTTTGAGTTGCAAACATCCTTTGCTTCGCAATAAAAAATTAATTCATCATCACTTGGTTTTTCCGATTTCAAAGTAAAACTCAGTGTTTCAGAACAAAACCTGAAGGCAAAAAGTTGATGACATGCCAAATCTTCAAGCCGTTCTTTTTTTTTCAAGAACTACCGGCTCTCAACATTTGCTTGTACCTTCTCAGCTTTCAAGTCCAAGGGGGGAAAAAAAGGGAATAAAATGTGGGTTTTTTCGCGCCTTCCGTCAATGTACAACAGGCCATTGAGAATGTTTGGAAAAGACTGACGTCCGGTGAACGGACTACAAACATACAAAAATCACTAAGATCATGTTTTCTCGGAGTCGCGATCGGAAGGTATCGCATTTCTGACGAAAAAAACTGACCATCCGAAAAAAAAGCGTGGATGAGATGGATTAGAAAAAAAACTTGCGCGACAAAAAAAAGTTGTCTTTTCTTCTTTTTTTTTGCTGTTCCTTTGATCTTTCACTGACTCTTCACATTTTTCCAAGAAGAAAAATTAGCAAAAAAAAGTTTCACCAAAAAGGATTCGAACCTGCATCATAGGTTTCACAGTGCAAGGCCGCTAGCCACTACACCACGCTGCCTGATTGCCGCTGGCGTTAGCAGCCGTAATACAATCCCTTCTTCCATCTAATGCAATTTTTTGTGCAAACTTTGAGTCGCCATAACTCAACTAGAACCAAAAAAGCGCACTTTTTTCAATGTCTTTGGTTTCAGGGTGTTCGAAAGTACCTATACACCAAGTCCCATCAAATTTGAAACGTTATGTTGTACCTGTGCTCTCTTGATCTCTACAGGAGCTATTTTATTTCATTTTTTCTTCGTGTGAGAAAAAAGAGGGAAGACATGTTCTACTTCTCCCTGCCTTTGAGTAACTTTTAAGATTCGCAACTTGCCAAACAACATCTTTTAGGAATTGAAATTCAAGAAAGCTTGACACCCTTATAATTTCCTGTTTTTTTAAAAATATCGGCTTACATTGAAATATTTTTCCGTTCCAGTTTGATTTTAATGCTTTCTTTTAACTCTAAAAAAGCCTCGAGGTCTTCCAGAGAAAAGATATTCGCTCGAAAACTGATTAACTTGACTGATTAGCTTTCAAAATCTTTTGTTTGAGTAAATTGAGAGCATATGGAAATTCTAAATTAATTCACTTAGGTTAAAACAGTGAAAGATTTGGATCAGTACCCAGTCAAGCTTCTTCACAAGAAAAAATCTACAAAATCTCTCTCTTCTAGGCAAAGTTGGAAGGAACCTCCGAGGGTCTATAAAGGCTCCATAAAAATGTTCCTTTTAGTTTGACGAAGGCTCCTTTTTTGCTGCCTCTACCTTTTTCCACCATTTCTTGAGTCTTCAAAGTTCTAGAAATAATGGAAGGCTCGGTAAAAAAGACTCTTTTTGCAGCCTTTTTGCTGTCTTTTTGCTGCCTTTCTGCTGCCTTTTTTGAGCCTCTCCCTTTATTCGGCCGTTATCCACCGTTCCGACTTTGCCCATGAAAACTACTTGAACAAAAGCTGATAATAACAAACATCTGAACAAAACTCAAAGTTGTTTTTGGCTCGTTTTTACGGAACCAGGTGCTCAAGTTGGAGCCAATGTGTCAACAGGCAAATAGACGCGTCTGAATTGTTGGCTTCCGATTTTCGAGTGCCCATTTCGAGCTTTTCGCGTGTGGTCAGTCTTTTGATGACGCAAAGTTTGAAGAACCAACCAAATTTCGTTCGTTTTTGTCGGGAGCCGAGTGAAAAAAAGTTCCGAAAAATTGAAAACTCTAGGCCAAACAAAAATGATCTTTTGAACTTTCTTTCACAGCAAAGTTCATTTTCCATAAAAATTTTCGAATAGTCGCATAAGACCTTTCATTTCATAGGTAAATATCCTTCTACTACTAAAATCACATCTTTTGGGAAAAAGCCTGAAATCCTAGAAAGGCCCATTTTTTGGCTATAAAGTGGACTTTTCTCTAGTTTTTAGCCTAAGTCCCCGAAAATGGAAAGTTATGCTGATTGAACTTCCAGAACTCTCATTGGAAAAAGAAACCCAAAGAAATGAAGAATTAAAACTAAATTATTTACCTCACGAAACTTTCTTACAGATGTCGAAAAAAAACTCACAGTCACCAAAAATTGAAGCGAATAACCATCGAGGTTGAAAATCAGAGCAGCAAGTACAGGAAGTAGAAAATTCCACATGGCTACGAAATCAATAACTCTGGTCTTTTTCGTCGCTTCCAAAGCCATTTTTATGATCATTTTTCTTTTGAAAAAGGAACATTTTTTCCATTTTTGAATTCCAAAAAATCAAACATATCCATTTGAAAATATTCATCACAATGGAAATGATGAAGGTGAACTGAAGGTTGCTAGACGCCTTTGGGGACTTCTTTCTGAAAAAAAAGACTAAAATTTGTAGAAACTTGGGAAAAGAAAGAAACCGTCATCGTTCTTGAGGCAGACTTTTCCGTTTCATTATTATTTGGGGGTCCAGCGATCGAAATCGGATCGGCCTGGAGAGAATAATGCTATATAAATCGACGCTCATCATTTTTTCAGTATAATTTTTTTGTTGAGGAAAAATGGAAAAAAATTTTTTTCTTTTTAAACACATTAAAAATCTGATATCTCTCGTTTTCAAGCGCTATTTTCATTTTTAATAACCGAGCCAGCGAGACGAAAGAGAGCGCAGACAAGTCAGACTATTTCAAGTTGAAGCGACTGAAGAATAGACTTCAGAATATGTGAAAAAAAATGATGCGCAGCGATTTTAAATTCCATTTCTTTTCATTCAAGAAAAAAAAAGACTGCTCAATTCGCTGCGCATCAACTCATTTTAAAAATAAACCTTGAAGAATGCCTCGGCGTCTTCCCAAGCGGCTGGACCTTTCTCTTTCGCGTATTTTTTCTGAATTTAGATTTTTTCTGGTATTACCTCGTATAAAAATATTTTCAAGTTCAGTCAGTTCAAATATTTGCAAGGTGGCTAAAGGAGCACGGATGTTAATTTCCCCAAGGTCTCGAGGAGAAGAGCCATTTTTCCTGCCTTTTCCATTCCTGCGCAAAAACTTTGCCTTTTTGAAAACCCGAAGTTCAAAAACAAAATGTATGAAAAACTGACCGCCGACTCTTCCTCAGTGGCAGTTTCCCAGTCGTATCGACTGAGCGGCGTCACTTTCTCCGCTTTCATAATCGTCAAGAGCGCGTTGTAAAATGCCCTACAAGGAAAAAGTTTGGTTATTCAAGGATTTACTGTACAGTCCGTCCACCCCTACTAGACTTGACTTTCGAGTTCCTGCGTCTTTGAGAATGTCAGAGTGGCCCCTATAGGGGTCAGAAGAAAAAGCAGCCGCTAGAGGGGACAAAAACGTGCTCTTTATAGGGATGAAATTCAACCACATTCGCAAGCTTTAGTGCCCCCTATAGAGGGAAGCAAAGGGGTCCCTAGAGGGGTGCCTTCAAGGGCTTGTGACCACTCTGGCGTTCCTAGGTCTCTCTGTTCCCTCATCGGCGAGGTCAGAGTAACATAAAAACATCCCGTTAACATGAGAGAGAGACAGAGAAACGAGGAGGGCGCAGAGAAAAACAGCAGTACAAAGTCGCAGACATAAAAATTTCAAGTCTTTTTCGAATTTTAGTAAAAATGAAAAACTGACCGCCGACTCTTCCTCAGTGGCGTAAAAAAAATTGGTTCAGATTTTTTCAACATCTCAGTTAATTATCAAAACTTGTATGTTCACCTTTTGCCTTGTAAAAATAATTTTGATCTACGTTTCTAAAAATAATTTTCACTCACACATAATCAGGCTTGGCGTAGCAATCTAGTGAGCGCAGATGAGGTGTAATGGCTTGCATGCAAACTGTAAAAAAAGAAGGAATTTATCGTTGGAGCGCGTTTTCTTTATGAACTAATTTAAATAATTTTTAAATATAGTGTCTAAAAACTCTTTAACCATGTCCTGTCAGGAAAGAGCGGTAATGTTGGAGAGTATTCCACTATAACTAATAAAATAGAATCCACACGATATTTCCCATGCGAAAATGAAAATCTTCATCAAATTTGAACTTGGAAAAGAACGATGAAACGCTAAAGTTAGCGCTTATATCTAACAGACCAGCCTAATAAACTACATTTTTGGATTATTTGTAGTAAGTGAAAGATGCATATTATTTTTCAAAAGCTCTCTAGGAAGTCTGGAGAACTAAATAACTTCAAATCCATCGAGCTTTTCGTTCTACTCAAAGAGCAGGAAGATGAAAATTAACTAGGCATGTTGAGCATGACGTCCTTGTCGTCCATCGCGATTTTCATGCCCTCAATCTTCGACTTTTCTCGTTCGTGCTGCCAGGGAAGGCCGCCGTTGAACTCGACGAGCACGTAGAGCAGGGACCAGAGGTCGTCTTGACGACCCTGTCGAGAATTTCAGAACCAGTTTTTTTTTATTTGAAAAGCCAGTTTTTTCTTTTTCTAGTAACGCCAGAGTGGTCTCTTTAGCGGTTTGGAAAAAAAAACCTGTATACCTAGGGACCGCAGAGCCACGCCCACTTCGCTGTTCAAAAAACTTCGTCATTTTCGTTGCATTTTGGTTCTTTTTTTATATTTTAAAACAGTTTTCTTGTACCGATTTGGGAAAAAATTGGGGAAACATACAATCGGCTATGCTTAACAATCCTACATAAATGAAAATACTGAAAAAAATGAGAAATAAGAATGTACGACGACAGTTTTTTTAAAAACGCATTTGTGGCCGAAAACGGATAAAAAAATCCCGTTTTTTTCTTGAAAGTTTCTGGGCAACCTTTTTTTAATTCTTGAATATCATAAAGCAACTAAAAAAACGCATATTCTGGCAAAAAAATAAAAAAATTCTATGGTTGGCCTCAAAAAAATAACGCAATTTGAAAATCACGATTTTCGAAATTCCTTATTTTTCGAAAAAAACGCAATCGATAATTACTGATTATATTTTTTTAAACGGTTGTTTGCAGTTGTTTGCAAATTTTAAAAAAATAGAGAACTAAGTGTTTCATCGATTATATAGTTTATATGAAAGCTTAAAATTCCCGTTTTTTTGTAACGCTTTGAAAACGGCCCAAAGCGTTTTGGGCAAGTTTTTTTATTTCATAATATCAAACATTAGACATTTCTCTACAACATATCAAAAAATAAAAAAATTCCTAGGATGGCCCGAAAAGTATGGTTAATTTAAACGCTCGAAAGTTATTTTTAAAACTGCGCGTCGCTGGAAATCTGCAGACACCGCGAAGGCCACGAAATTTTTCGAAAGCGTGAAGAAGGTTTTTTTAAAACTATTTATGTATTCTATTCAAGTTTTTCTCATTTTTATTGTGGCTTTATAGTTGCTTTTTACTCATTTCATAATTGGAATCTTTTTTTCCTATATCATTATATCCATTATAGCAGCGTGAAAAGTATTAAATTTCGCTTTTTACTCAACTGTTTTTTTGAATTTTTTTGAACTTTTTTTGAATTTTTCGAATGTCAAGTAAAGAATTCTAAAAAAATTGTCTACGTACACTCCATGTGGACGCACAAACTTTAGAGAAAAAAATAAAAGAAGTAGAAAATCAAAAAGTAAAACGCTTTCGCCTTTTTTTAAAAAAACTCTCTGAAAAAAAGGACTTGGTGATTATTTACATATTTTTTTCAGTAAATTTCTTAGTAGACTGTTACATTTTTCAATTCGGTTTAATGCTGTTCGTCCTTCGCAGAGGTCTATTTTTGTCGGTTATTTTTCTTTTTTTACGAAATGCATTGAAACCTTCTTCAAAAACTCGCTTTTCAACAGCGTGAGTGCTTGAAGAGTAGGCTGATATTGAAAAAGAGCAATATTCAATATGAAAACTCTAATATTTCATTTAAAACTTCTAAAAACTCAAATAAATATGTTTTCGAAACGTCTCCTGCGTGAATTAACGCACAGCAAGGAGCGCGCGGCATCTATAAACACGCCCCTTTTCCTGCGACCCTGACGAAAGTTTCTACACAAAAATGGTTCCCCCGATTTCGCCACTTTTTTGCTTATAACTTTTTTCATTTTTCATATTTTTCTTTTCTGTTTTCGCAGTTAGCTCTCGATTGCCATCAGCTTTCTTTTCATATAGGTTTCAACTTTATATCACTGACTTTGGAAATTGGCCTGCGGTCCCTATGTATAGCGGACTCACTAGTGCTCCCCAGAGGGCTCATACTCAGGTTGGGGTCTGACTTCTAAGGCCCTTAAGCCTAAGAGGTCCCTATAGTCTGTTCAGATTTTGAATGTCAAGTGCAATGACGTCCAAAAACACTCTGTGGATGGCTCGCTCTCTGATTGGTTTATCGCAGTATTATGGGCGGAGCTTGAGCGACGACTTGACATTCAAAATCTGAACAGACTATACAGTGATCTTTCCATTTTTCAAACTGGTTTGAAAATTAAAAAGATGTATAGCGACCCCCAGCATGCTCCCCTAGAGTGGCCACTTTTGCTTTTTGGGGATTGACCTATATTTTCTCTTCATTTGAAAACCTGCTCCTTCTTGAAGTGGACGTTGGGCGAGCAGTATCGCAGAGTCCCGCGGAACTCGGCGGTGCCGCGGGCGCGACGCGTCACCCACTTGGAGTCGCGTTGGAAGGCGTAGGCCCGGGCCAGGCCAAAGTCGAGAATGTGGACCAGACGGCAACGGGCCTGGTCGTCGGGCGCTCCCATCACAAAGTTGTTCGGCTTTAATTTATCAATCAAAATGGGTTATGGAAAAAAAAAAACGGCATCCGCCATGAATTTAAGGCTGAGCAACGACTTTGAAAAAATTGGCGAGAATGGGAATTTTGTAAAAAAAAAAGGCGCGCAGCCGTTTTAGGTCTCAAAAATTATTTTGGCTTGCCTCCGCTCTCCTTGTTTCCTACTGAAGGTTTTTCCGTGCTTTCAGACTTCTTATTCATAACTGTTTTTTTTTTTCAAAAATTAACTAAATATTTTTCGAGGAATTTAGTTAATATTTCAATACCTTAATATCTCGGTGGACGTAGCCGCAATCGTGCACATATTTGACGCTAAAAATATTTATTTTAAAAAAAATGTATCAATAAAATACACATTTTATAATTATATATAAAACAAAAAAAAAGCTCACAAACCTGTAGAGACATTGAATGCCGAGACGACTCCAGGTGCCGCGCGAAAAACGTTCTTTTCCATTTTGGCAATTCAACTGAAACTTTGTTAAAAAAGGGAAAACTTTCAAGGGCAAATGAAAAGTAAAATAATAGGAATTTGAGGAAAAAAACCCGCCATTTTGTAGAGCTTTTCAGAAAGCTTAAAACAGACTACAAGAACACAAAGTGCACTTTTTTTGAAAGAAAAACGAATTAAAAGTGAAGCAGAAAAAAGGAAAAATGAAATATTGCGCAAAACAGCAGAAAAGTTGCTCTATGGACAAAGAGGTCGTCATTTTTTCGTTTTTGATTTTTTTTTTTGTCTGTGTTTTCTTTTGCTTCTATTTTTCCTGTGGTTCCCATAAATTGCACTGATACAATAACTAAGATAGAAGTTTAAATCAGTGCCCATTAGAACGTTCCCTTGATGAAAATTTATTTTTTCAAATTGTCAGTCAAGAAGAATTTATTCTCTCTATTTGACTACATCTGTTTTTTTCTCCACACCAACGTATTTTTCTCCAAGTTAAATAAACTTCACAAGTTTTAAGTACGTTGAATGGCCTTGATTAAGGATATATTGAACCTTGAGCGCTTTGAGATTCTCGCCGAGTAATGTCATGATCATGTAGCTGAACTTTCCGCGTTTAGCCGCGTGGAAGTAGACGGGAATGTGAGGCTTCGGTCCGCTTCTGTTCAAATCTCGAAGGATCAGAATCTGAATTCCAGTATTCATTTTGAAATCTCGTCTTCTTTCTTTGAAACCTCGAGTTTGATCGCAGATCCGCCTTCTACTTCGTTCGATTCCGCTTTCAACGCCGCTTTCTCGTTAGTTTTCAAATTTTGTACCTGGATTTTGAAGGTCAAGGTGTCAAAAAATGTTGAAAAGTTACCATGTACACCTGTCCGAAGCCACCTTCGTCCAGTTTTTTCTTGATTACCCAATCGCCAAATCTGAATTTTGGGAGGTATTGACAGGATTTTCGTTCGGCGAGAGTAATTTAAGGAATCTACTTTTAAAACTACTGCATTAAAGAAGTTTTTCACCAAAAATAGCTCATATTTCTGTGCGAAAAGCCCTTTCTCTCCGAAAAATTCTCCTCAAACCAACTTTTTGCCATCCTTGAAGCGAATATTCGCCATGACATCTTCTTCATCGGGCATCTTTTGGCACAGCAGAACCGTCGGTCAATGTTCGACGCGCAATTCTTTCAAAATAACTACCGAATCCGATTCGCTATAGATCTCTTTGACGTCACGTCCGGTTTTTAATTCGAGATTGGTCGGCATAGTTTAATTTTAATGAGAATTTTATTTATAAAAAAGGCAAACTCATTTAAAGCTCCCATTTACACTATTTGGAAGTCCAAAAATCCAGAGGGTCGTCCAAAAATGCATTCGCACGGCGTTTTTTCGACGACACCACACCCACTTTTTCTCCGTAAAGTGTCGTGTGACGTGTGCATGCACTGCGCCGCTTTCGCACAGAAAATTGCGTTTATGTATAGAAATTTCGATTCGTCTTGAAGACCTCTGGCGATACAGCGGCCTGCGACTTTAATATTCCCTGTTATTTTCGTTTTTAGAGCCGAAATACTTGCCATGACGTCATATGGGAACGGCGGATATTTTGACTCCGCACACCGTGTTTTTAGTTTCGTTTTTTCTTGCACTAACAAAAACGCCGTGTTTACTCAAAGATTCAATTTCAAGAAAGAAAAACTTTAATTTTGAAGAAACGAAAACTTTTTCAAGAATATGAAAACGTTTAACAATTCAAATCCTTCAATAATTTCACTTCCTCTCGAAAAAGATCATCTTTATTTGAGCTCAAAAAGTTTATTGATTCAAATAATCCTTGGTGCAGATGTCGATCGTCGGCTGGTAGATCAATTCCGTTGCATTGAGACCCCAGATAAAGTCCAGGTGATTGAAATGCTCCAGGCGATTATTTTCCTATGAAAAGCTCAATAAATCAATAAAAATACATAGGCAATACTAACGATAAGAACAGAAGAGCTCAATTTCGGGAGAAGATACGCCAAAATGTCTTTCTCATCGGCCAACCAATCGTCCGGGCTCCAGTACAAGTAAATTTGAGTTCCGGCGATTTTTGAAAAGTCGTATTGGGGCGGAGTCGCCTGTAACATGAGCAAGAAGTTAGGTCAAGGGGAAGGGTTTTTGATATACGTTACTTTTTGTGTTTGCGATGTTTTTTTTATTGGTCGCCCTGACTTGAAACTTCGTGGTCGCATTTGGAATGGCTCGAAGCGTCGCGGTCGCGTTGCGGTTGAAGTTTGCTTCCCAATTTTATCAGACTTCTTCGAGTTCAAAATTTTTCGGAAATCTCATTTTGAGAAAACCGCTACGCAGCCGTTACGCGTCCAGCGTGTTCAAATGCGGTTTTGAAGATTTTTAAAGTTTATTACATCCCAGTTTATAAACTATTATTGCCTGAATCATTTGAATAGGAGAAAAAACTGTCCTTCTCTCTCTCATTTTTCAATAAAACCTGTCCATATTTGGCCTTATTTCCCTTGGTGCCAAAATTGAACATGGGAATCCCTCCATGTTGAACCATTTGAAGCCAATGAATCATGTTCTGAGACGATGTACCGGCCGGCATTTGAGATATGTAAACTGGAACTCGGGTCTGGAACATAACTTTTTTTAAAATTATTTTTGTTTCTTACAGAGACCCAGAGTGATTTCTGGGGTCTTTTTATTCAATTCATGGCTTCCAGGTTGAAGATTTCAGTCTTGATTATGATTTCCTTACTACTGAATGTTTTAAAGCATCCTTCTCGCAAACAGTTTTACTCAAAACCCTTTTTTACACAGAGATACTTGGACTTGGGGCAAAAAATTGAATTTTAAAAGATATTTATCGTTTAGAAAATGATAATGAAGCGATATTCAAACAGAAAAACGGCTATAAAAAATTTTTTTCACGGATGAGTTTTTTTTTTCTTCAATAATTTCTACCAGCGACCGACTTTTGAGTATTTGCACAAAAAATGGGTTCAGAAAAAAAATTCCTAGATCTACAAATTATGTCACTTTTCCCTGTACCTCATTCCACTGATTGCTCTCCGGGCCCCCGATTAGGAAAAGGAAGTTGTCGCAAGTGTCCGCCTCGATTTTCATTCCGCCACAAACGTACTCCGATACCATTTTCATCACATAAAAGTCTGGCAGGAAATCGCCGCTTCCAAAAATGGCGTAGTAGGCCTGAAATTGAATGAACCTAGGTCATCACTTCTTTTCTCTGTTAATTTTATTTTTTTTGTGCCAGTTTTAACTATCTTCCTTCAAAACCTCTTCTCAAAACTTTGACCGATAGTTATTTTTGAAAAACCGCAAATTCTTCTCAACGCCAGCATACTTAGGAGCGCTAGAGTGGTCCCTAGAGTGGAAACCTTTAGGGCTTTGTAGGTTCCCCTCAAGGGATCACCTTAGACATCTTATAGCACTGAGCTTGCAGAAGTGGCCACTCTAGGGAAGCATGCTAGTGATCGATCAAGTTTTCACTGTCTTCTCAACTTTCAGAAAAAAAAGTTCAAAAACCGTTATAGGGACCACTTTAGGGTCTTACATGTCAAATCCGAAACTGCAATAGAAACCACATAAATTTTAGGTTGTATGAAAAAAAAGCCAGCAGAATTTCGAAAGGCGACTTTTTCGTTTTTTTTTTCGTATCGCTAGGAAATTTTCCGACGAATCCTTTTCCGACTTTTTTCCCTTATATTTTTCGGTTTCTTTTTCAGATACGCCACGCCCCAAGCTAGCCGTGAATCGGTTATACCCCTCTAGTGACCACTCTGACGTTCTTCAGCACTTTAATTTTCACAGTTTTCCTGAAACATGAAATAGTTCTCACATCGAGTTCCAAACTGAAATGATGAGCCAGATAAGCCAAACCGCCTTCGATATTCTTCACGGAGCTGACGGGAGCGTAGGCGAAGAATTTCTTGATCTGAAAAATTTCAAATTTCTCTTTATTTTCCGGGAAACTCAAACTTTCTTTGAGAACTGTCCGCCATTATCCAGCGACAATTTGGAGAACATGGTCAAGGTTCCTTGGGAATGGCCAACGTAGTACAGAGAATCGTGTGCGGTTATTTCCAAGACTTTATCGATCATCGCTTCCAAATCGAGAGCACCCATTTCATCCCAACTACATGAAGTCAATTTCAAGATATAAAAAAACCATTTGATAAAGAAACAGAAACTCCAGAGTGGTCACTAAAGGGGCCCCCTTAGGGGCTCTTGTAGATTACTCTCAAGGGGTCCCTCCTCTCCTAGAAACTAAAGCTTGCAAAGTGGCCACTCTAGGGGCGCAGGTTAGTGACCTTTTCAACTTTCATATCTGACAGAAATTTGAAGAACCCTATAATGTCCACTAAAGCTTCAGGGACTTACGCTTCTCAAATTACACTCCTATAGGGACCACTTAAACTTTAGCACTCCAGGGAACACTATTTTGCCCACTATGGGGTTTTTTTTTTCGCTAACCCCTATAAAGACCACTCTAGCTTTCCTGGGTAACCCAAAAACCGATATTGAACATCAAAACCAACCTAAACCTCCAAAAATCGTTATTTTTGGGGCTCAAACTCGTGTGATTCTTGCTGTAAGTGTTTCCTCGCATATTGCCCATCCAAACGTCGAATCCAGCATCGGCAAACATGTAAGCTTAACTAATTATTGATTTATATTATTATTTTTTTCCTAATTAACCTGCACTTTGGCCTGGAAGATTGCCAACGTAATGACTGCTATCGCCAAGAAGTCCGTGTTGCAGGAAAACGGCAGGCTTTTTTCCATTTGGCCAGTTGGGTCCGCTGTCTGAATCCTAGCAAGGTAAAAACATGCATTATAGAAAAACAAGTTATCTGAATCTTAACAAGCGTAAAAACTAATCATTAACATAACAGTTTTGAAGCAAAATCGATTTTTCGGATTTATTCACAACGAAATTTCTTCGAAAAAGACATTTTGAAAGGTGACTCATTTTGTAGAAACTAATTCGTTAACTTTTAATTTAAATATATCCATTATTTTCATAAATACATACGATTCATTCAAAAACTTGAAGAAACTCGGAAAGAAAAGAAAGTTTTACTTCCACTAAATCTACACAACCCGACTCTTATTACCGCGCCCCTATTGCAAAAAAAACCGCGCCACAGTTGCAATAAGCCACGCCCACTGACCAAATCTGTCGCCGTTTGGAAAACGCTGTGTGGGGCGTAAAACTGGCTTATTGAAAACCAAAAAATAAGTCCGAAAAAAAGAAAGAAGAAAAAGAGACTTTTGCCATTTGGAATTCGGTGCATCGTCAAAATGTAGCCATCACTCGTCACGGTCGTGTGAGATTCCACTGGATACCCCCAATATTTGATGATTCCCATCTACAAATAAGAACGAAATAAAAAAAAACTTTTCTAAAATTTCAAAGTTTTCAGATGAAAAATTCTTCAAAAATCCCACCACATCCATGAAGATTTCCGGGTCCAAATCTTTGGCCGAAGCATTTTGAATCAGTGCTAGCAGTACGAGAACCAGAGCGAAACCCATTCTCCAGCCGAGTTTGGTCAAAAACTTCTTATCAAGGTCGGAGCAAAAATTTTCTGATAAAGGGACACCTGCTTGATAAAATTCTCCGATTTTGTACAAAACGAGCATTTGACAAAGTGGCTAACTTCCTTCTTCGAAAAATTGATTCTATCAATTTCCCTAACTACAAAAGAAAGATCTCACTTCTTTCTCATCTTATTTTTTGCCCGCTTCAGTCGCGATTACAAATAAATTTACTCAATGCACACGGTCAATAGGGCCCGCCAATCGAAAAAAAAAAATAAATAATCATTGAATCAATCAGAAAAGTCGAGAGAATTCGAGCGAAAATACACGTTTCAAGAAGAACGAATAAGACCAAAGGAGACTAGGGACTGTCCCAGTGCAATAAGAAACAATTTGCAGGTGATAGATCCAGTCGCTGTGAAAAAAAAGGAAGAAAGCTAAAGAGAATGGGATCAAGGGATAAAACGCCGGGATTCAAGCAAAACGCAGCCCTTCAAGTTGTATATGAAAAGTAGGCGGGGAGAAAAAAAAAGAAAATTGAATAATTTATTTTTTAGTGGTAACGACGTGAGGAGTGTAGTCGGGATTCTTTTTTAGGATCACCAAGCCTTCCAAATAAGGCGTCATAGACAGATCTGTAAAAAATGAATAATAATGAAATCTATTCTTGAAAGTAATTCACTAAAAATTTTTCAAAAAGATCATATTACTAGAGAGTATGGAAAAAGTTGAGACACTAGACGAAAAACAATCTCTTTCGTGTTTGGGACTATCTCAACGTTTCATGCTCTCTAGATTACAATTTTCGGGCTTAATTTTTATCCTTCATTTTTGTTTTTGAATATTTTTGGAAATTGAATATTTTTGGCACCCAACTTTTTTGTACTATCTGAAATAAAAAACTGAAATTTTTTGCCCTTAAATTTGTCAAGCCAAAAGTTCTTTGAAAACCAGATTCGAGTTTTGAGATTTCTGCATATAATCTACCCAGAAACATTATGAAACTTATAAAAAAAGGTTCAAATAGCGTTTCCTAGATCCCAAACTCACATTCATCATTGGCGAGTTCGGCACGTTCTCCGTGGGCCAACAAAACGGGAGTTGTGTGAGTCTGGAAGCCGGTGATGGTCTTCGGCTTTCCCGCCTGCGCCACGACGTCCACCGCCTGTCCTACGCGAACCGACACGCCAACCTTAAGATCATTTTTGAATCATCTGTACGTAAAACTAAGTCAGGCGTTTGTCAAATCATCGATTAAATTTTCAAAAATCTCATCTGAAACCTCTGAATTACCTCGCAATAAGTTTAAACCAACTTTTCAATAAGTTTGAACCAACTTTTCAAAATCATTATCTCCTTCTCGTAGAAAATTCCAAGCCCCGCACTAAATATTTCCGTTATTTTATGGTCTCAGGTTTTCTATGAAAGACACGAAAAGGCTTTACAACAAGAAACAAGTAATTTTGTGATAATTAATACAATCTGATCCTAAAACATTTAGGCAGGATTCAAAGTTTCGATTCTAACGGGAACTCCGGTTAAGGACGACCTGCAGCTCGTTGAAAAAAGAAAAACCTACAGAATATTCCGATTTCAAGTTACGACTTGTGCTGAAGTTGAATTCTCTAACAAAAACAGTTACTTTTTCAGCCTTCTCAAAGCTTCTACTTGAAAAACCGATAGAAAAATACTTAAGACTCAATTTTGAAAAAACCATCTTTTCAAAATTTTTCTGCCTGCTCAAACCTGCTTCAAGTTGCCAGGCTTGAGCTCATCCTCAACCAAGGTGACGAGCATTCTCGGCTGCATGGCCAGGACCAAAGTGTACATGAGATAGTGCTGTCGGTTGTTCAAGATCTACAAAACCACCAGATGATCAGGGAGTCTTGAGGTGAAATACCGAATTATTGGCGTCCAAGAAGGCGAAGCAGATGGTGAGGAGGGAGGCGACGGCGCTGGGCGAAAGGAGCTGGCGATCCGAATGCCACGGGTTCAGGGTCATGGTTCCTTTGCCCATGTGGGTCAGGCCTTGGGCGATTCGGACCAACATCAGGGAGACCTGGTCCTTGTGATGGTAGCTGGCCAATTGGCGGAGCATCGCCACCAATCGAGCATTGTTTGTACCTGCTCCGACCTGTAAATTGGAATTCTATGTAGAAATACTCAAAATAAGTACAGTTAGAGTATAAACGACTTTAGAGAGAATCTCTCAGATGAAGGGTCTGACCTTATCATCTTTCAATACTGGCTCAGAGGCTCGTGAGGGCCTCAAGTGCCTTTTATTTATTTATTTCAGGCTTTTATGCCAATCTTCCCTTCTTTTTTTGTACATGTTATTTCGTTCTGCCTGTAAATAAATTATATTATATAAAAGGGTAAAGAAAAATCGGAAAGAAGCGGGAAGATGCCAAGTTATAGGCCGTTTAAGAGCGACTTCCTTGGAAAAGGCAGCTATTGGAAATTTTCCTGCCGTGTTGAAGTGGTTTCCCGAGGCTCAAAACTGGGAAGCGAGTGAAAAATTATTGAATTTGAGAAAATCAGTGATAATTTCAGTGTTCGAAAAATTAATTTTAACAAGGTATCTATACAGCTTTATTCTGATAAGAAATCCAACTAGAAATCACAATTTCGCCCTATATGAATGTTTTCGGCCCCCGATAAAACCTTCTTACCCTTCTCACTCGAAAAAAGAAGACATCTCAACTTTAATTTTTCGAGAAGTAGAAAAATTTCTTAAGTGTCTAAAAACAATTTAGATCAATGAGCTGAGAAAAAATCGCAAATTTTCACTTAATGATCAGGTAATGAAATTCTTTCAGTTGAAACTATTCAAATCGAGAAGCCGGATTCAAAAACTAATGCTAATCTAACCAGTAAGTTAATTTTTCCAAGGAGAAAAATGGAAAAAAAATTTTTTTTTTGAATAATTTTCTGTCAAATCAATCTTGAAACACACAAAAATCGATACAGCCATTTTTTAATAATGAACAAACTCAACAATAACTGTTGAAATATTGAACAACGTCAAGTTTTAGACTTCGCTTTTAGTCCCTCTCGAATCAAGGCAAATTCATATATCTTTCCCTAGAACGAAAACCGACCAATCCCATGGCGAAAATGGCATTATGAGCCGTGTCGGCATCGGCATCATGGGAGAACTTGCTGAGCGTCTCCAAAATGTTCAACTGCGGGTTCGACACCGACAATAAGGCCAAAGCCAACGGAACGGCTCTGTAATTTATTCCTAGCTATTATTTTTAAGTATTTTCTTTACCTGCGGATGACAGGCTCTCCATATCGGATCAGGTGACCGAACATACGAAGGGCCATCTGAAAATTTACTCTTGGTAAGTTGAAAAGTTCATTTTCTGATTGAAATGGAACATTCTTGAACAGCTAAACTGCAGGAAAAGAGCTGAAGTTTCATTTTTCAAACAAAAATTATTGAAGTACGACTTTCAAAATGTTTTTTTCAGCTTTCTTCTACTTGAAAGTACGCAAAAAATTTCAAAAAGGAGAAAAAAAAAAATGCAATTTCTGGACAATTTAAAAGAAAAACCTCAAGTATTTAAATCTCGGCAAATTTCTCCCAAAGCAAACAAAAAAATAGAAAAATAATTATTTTTTCAAACTTTCAAAAACGTCTCCTTTCTCACAGAACCTCTATTCATTCAGTACCTTTACAAGCCTTCAGCTGGAAGAAACAAAAAAATTCAGAAAAATGAGACGAAAATAGTTGTTTCTAAAGATGGAATTTTTTTATTCGACTGTTCCACTCCCTTCAATAAAAAAGCGCCAGACCTGGGATCCAACTTCTTCTCCCATGGCGATCAGACCGATGCCGAGGACGGCAACGGCCTGCTGGCTGGACAGGTCGACTTTCGGCGCGTCGGCCCCGGTTTTCTTCGGCTCGGCAGGCTTCGGTTCCATGCCGAGGGCGGCCGTGGCGGCAGCGGCAGCCGCGGCGTTCGTTCCGGACGGCACGGGGTTCGCCGGCGGGGTCTGCTCTCTCTTCGGTTTCGTCTTCTTCTTCTGATCCTCGGCGGTTTCGTAGTGTTCGGAGCACATGTGGAGCAGCTTCTGGATCTTCAGGACGTTGCCAGTTCCAGCGTAGGCGCACACGTCAAGCAGCGTGGCCATCTGAAAGATAAATCTTTTTTTTCTTTCTTTGATTCGAAAAAAACTTTAAAAATGACTTCTTCATTGAGACTGCGTCTTCTTCGAAAACTAGAGAGCGTTCAAAAATGAGAGGACGCGAAGTTTTTTTCTCTCAACACTCTCTAGCTTTCAAAATTGAAAAATGTTAGTCGCACTAAGTAGACCGACCGAACACGAGTTCCGTGGAACTGTTCTATCGACTTTTCGCTCGTTTCTGAGGGGTGTATCAACGACCAACCAATCGGTGGTTGGCCGCCTTCTTATCCTCAATGCGGGGGATCGAACCTTGGACCTTGAGGTTGGGAGGAAAATGTGCTACCGACTGCGCCAAGGTGACAACTGCGGGCAAGAGGACCAAAATTGGTGGAATCACAGGCATGGAAGGTGTACGGGCAATAGCAATATGGAGAGATTTCATGTTTTTTTTTCAGGCAACCTAATGAAAATTGAGAAAAAGGTGGATTTTTGTATAAATTTATGAAAAAAACTTCGATTAATTTTTTTCTTATAAATTTTTCAAAGTTCAAACTCAAAAAAAATTTTGAAAAAGTGCGAAAAAAAGCGGATTAAACTTTTTAAATTCTCTGAAAACCTTTGAGCTAGGGAAATGATCCGAAAAAAAGGATACGAAAACCAAAAAAACTTCGAAATTGGAATTCTAACTGATTATATTGATCAAATAAAACCCTTGGAATATTTTACTACCCGTGTTTTTTCAGTTTTTTAACAAAAACTATTTTTCCCCATATCATGCGCTCTTTCTACTGGTTGCCGTCCAAGATGACACAAATCAGACGCCTCTAAAGTCCTGAAAAAGTCTCACCATGGGTCCGAAAGGCTCGGGAAGTGATCTCAGGGTCTCGACAAAGACTTCGCTCTTGTCCTGGGTGCCGAGGAAGATCAGGGCGATGCCGAGGGCCAAGAACCGCATGTTGGGGTCGGCGAGTTCGGCCTCGCTGCGTTCCATCAGCGTCTGGAGCATCTCCATGGCGGCCGTGTGGTCGCCGGTTCCGACGAGGATCAGTCCGAGGGACAGGCCCGTCAGACCTTTGACCTCAGCCGTCGCCGAAGGACGGGTGTCCGCCAGGACCTGTGAGATAGGAAAAAAATAAAGGGAAAGGTCATGGAATTTCGGAAAATATATATTTTTTTAAACATTTTTTGCAACGAAACGAAATTTGGCCGAATTGTACTCTAAAGCCTCATCAATCAAAAAGAAGAAAATTTCTCAGATTTTTATGAAGCTTCAAAGTCCAAAAACAGCCAAAAAGCGTAGAAAAAATTAATTCGAAACTATTGGAGTCAAAACTCGTGTACAAGGAAAAATTCCAAAAATGTATTTCTGGTTCAAAAATCAGGAGGTTATAAAGCACACTCCAGCAAACTTTATTCAGAATTCCAACCAGGAGCTAAAAAACTATCCTTAAAAGGCAGGACTTTGAAATCGTTTTTTCTTGTTGATAGAATCTGATGAACCCCATTTTTCTCCTTTCTCCCTACTCTATTTACCTTTTTCAACTCGAAAATGACACCGCGCTCTTCGTTCTTCACAACAGTGTCGCGTTTCGAGTTGGCGTAGGCCAATCCAAGGCCCAAAACCGATCCGATTCTCATGATAAAGCTGAAAAAAATCAATTTTATTTCCGTTCAAAAGAACTGGAATACCGATCGGAGTGGATATGATCTTCAAGAAGAGCGAGGGCCGGATCACAAGGATCTTGAATTCCCGAAGAAATGATACCGATGGCCAACAGGGTGCCGGCCTGGAAAATAGTTCTTTTTTTGGGTTCTTTCAGCCAGAAACCTCAACAAAATATACAATTTCAATGAAAAAAAGCGTTTTTGAATTTAATTTTTCAGTTCTAAATAGAAACTAGGGAAAGTCGGGTAATTTTCGGTTTTTTTTTTTTTAAAGTTTAATAAACTTAAATTAGTGGTCTTTTTCAGGGCTATTTTTTTGGAGAGCTGTTTTGTCGAGTGTCGAAACTTTCTACAGGAGCTTTTTAAAAAGAGATTTGAAACGGTAATTTCAAAAAAATACATGAATTTCAATGCTTCCAATGTTTTCCGAAGCAAGACAACTTGAATTCAAAAATGAAATTTTTGAAAAATCCGGCGAAACTGGATTTTTAATATTATGAGTAAAGTAAAAAACACGCACCCATTTTTATTCAAAAATTACTTTTTTTCCTATGGAAAATGCCAATTACAATCGATTTATTAAATTGAAAAAAATTCTAAAACATAATCAAAAAAATTTTTTTAAAATCGATTCTCCATCTTTTTTTCCCTTAAAAATAACCTTGATGAAATCGTCATTGACGTAGAGGAATCGATCGCACTGAGACAGTCCCGAATCGACGTCCCAACGCCAGACGAGACCTTGTGAGGCGGCGGCCGTCAGCATTCCTTCAATATTTATCATCCTTCCGATTCTCTACAGTACTCTCGCTACCGTAATCCTTGTTTTTGTAGAACCAACGGCTGGCGTCATCCGTTTCAGTCATCATTTTGTCGACTCCGAAGCCACAATTCACGAATCCATTGACAAGGGCTGCGGCCAAGTTCATGCGAGACGAGTCGGGGGCAGAAGAGTTGCCGAAAGGGCCTTCAATTCTGGAGTTTTTGAAATTCCTGAGCCTCTGAAAAGCTCACGGCTGTGCTCCAAATGGGTTTTGTAGATCTGGTCAGGCGTTTTCGCATCCATAATATCGAGTTCTCGGGCCAAAGAGTGGAAATATTCGTAGAGATGAGCGTTTGAGTTCATCTCCGTAAGATCGTTATAATCGGCGTCCGAAGAGTCGTACTCGAGGAAAATCTGGTGACGGCCCAGCAAAATGGCCATTTGCTTGCGGAGAAGTCTGCAAAATGCAGTAATGATTAAAAAAATTGATATTATTTTATTTATATATTAATTTTTTTCTAAAAAAGGTTCGATAACGAGAATCAAGTTCATTTTAATTTTTCAAACCTTTTTTTCAAACTTCTTATTCTCTAATTTTTTTCCAACTGCAATAATGAAAGAATCTTCAAATAAAAAAATTTTTCATGAGAATTTTTTTGTTTTTTTAGCTTCAAATTTAATATAATTTCGAGTTAAAAAAATTTTTAAACTACGGTAAAGACGCACCGAAAAACGATCTGAACTAAATTTTTTTGATTTTTACATTTTAATGAACTTAGTTTTTACAATTTCATTTCGATACATCTTACAAATAAACTTCTGAATCATTAAAAAAAGCCCAAATAAAATAAATTTATCAAACTTTTTTTCTGATTCTAATGAAAATCGTAACCTTTAGATGACTTCTAAAAGCGTTTCCAATAACAAAATCCCTATTTAAAAATAATTTCTAACTTCAATCCAACATGAAACTGTGAACTTATATTTTTTTAAAAATATTTTTTTAATGAAAACTAACGGATCAGAAGCGAGCTTGAAAATGGATTTGATGGCGGCCAAATCGTTGCATTTGATGGCGCAACGGACTCCTTCCAAATATTTTTCCGAATTTGACATAAATTTCCATTGCGGTTCGGATCAAAATCATGTTATCCGGGTCCGGAGTCAGTGGGGCGCAGCTGAAAGTAAAAATCATTTTAGGAAAAAAATCGAGAAGAAATGAATGAAAAAAATTCCTAAGCGATGTACGTTTCAAAGTAAGGAAATAAATCAAAATTTTGATTATCGATAGTCCCTCTGCGGAACTATTATAAGCAAACTGAAAAAAACTTCATATTTCCAGGAGAAAAGGCCGAATTTTTCGAAAAAAAGGATAAAAAAATCAATTTCAATTTTTTTACAAATATAATATAAGCTTTAACTAAAAGTTTGACTTTGATTTAAGATTTCTCGAGAAAATGTTTTTTCCTTCAAAAAAAGCTCATGTAAGGGTAAAACTTTGAAAAAAATTACAAAACAATCAAAATGCGGATTATTACAACTTTTCATATAAAAAATCTAGAAACCAACCTCATCAAATAGAGGCAAACACGCTGGTGATCGACTTCTTGAACATATTCTTTCAAAATATCAAGACGCTCAATTTCAATAAGAACATCGCAAGCTTCGACCTGAAAATCAGGGTGGTGATATGAACAAAAACCGCAGGAAAACCAAATTTTAAGTTACATTTTCCTATTTGACAATGGAAAAATTTTTTTCAAAAATAAAGCTGATTGCCACTAAAAATTTTTGTAGTTCTTTTTGAAAGTTATGATTAAAAAAATCGTTTCGGACAGACTTCAAATATTCAAACTCTTCTTTTTTTCTTCTAGCGCCAGTTCCAAAAAAATCTACTAGACACCTGTAAAATTTGAAGTTTTTTTAAATAAAATAACAACTTTCAATGGAAGTTTGGACTTTCGGTTTTTTTCTTTTTTTGAATGATTATGTTCATTTTTTTGAACAAGAATCTTTTTTTGAAAACCTTTTTTTGTAAAAACTATAATCCCAATTTTTCTTTTATAAGTATTTCTCATCCCCACTGCTCATTATCTTGAATAAATAGCCTTTTGAAATCGATTTCTCGGTTTTCTCTCTCTCAAAAATCACCTCAGCATTGTGCTTGACGTGGTGGGCGACAATCAATCGAGTCAAGTTCAACAAATCCAAGCGCCTGAAAGAGTGAAGTATTCTAGTGAGGGGCCTCCTGCCAAAAAGATTGGGTATCGTATTAAACATTTCAAATTTCCGGGGCGTTGGTTAGAGCGGAGAGAAGCGTGGAGATTTTCGAACCAAAAAAAAACCGTGTGAAATGAAAAAAGCGTGACAACTGAGCCAAGCGAAATCAAAAATGGACGAAAATCCCACCGGTTAGTTTGAGACAACCACAACAGCCATTTGCAATGCTTATATAGGATAACCAAAAATTGTAGCGGGGCGGCAAAAATTAAATATTAACGATGGTAGGACATGTTTGAATCACGGAAATCAATTTTGATAAATTTAATCATTTTCTTCACAAAGATTTATCTTAGGAATTGATTTCCGTATTCAAATTTTGTTCGAAAACCCTTGTTAAAGTCGATAAAAAACCATAAGCCTCACAAAAGTTGAAAAAAACACTAAAAAGTTGTGAAAAATTGTCTTTTAAGAGCCATAGCAAGGACTTCCGAACAAACTTCTCCATCTCAAATAATTAAATCTCCCCAAAATATTCACCTTTTGTCATTTTCAGGTGTTTCAATAATTTTTTTCCATTCCTCGGACAATTCCATCGCCAAATGGCGCACATATTCATGTCCCCAGTTACCAATCGGCTCATTGGTTCCCTTAAAAATGAGAATTTCTACGTTTAAGAAAAAACTATAAGTTTTTTCACCAAGATTCTGTAGTTAATGGTGTCGGTTCTTTCGTCCGACGTCATCGCCAAAACTGAAATGATGTCGGCACACAATTGCTGAAAAAATATTTCTCTTTTTTTTTCCAAAAAAACAAGATATATTTTACTTTGACTTCCCCAGAAGGAATTTTCTCGTAAATTTGCTTCATTTTTGCGTAGTGCGGACGCATAAATTTCAGCGGCTTAGGAACTGAAGTCATTGAAGTCGTAGAGGCGCGAATCAAAGTTCGAAGCGTTTCCAAAGCGGCTCGATACAAAGAACTGTCCGGTTCCTTAAAAATTTTTTAGTTCGAAAAATTCCGAAGTAAGTTACGGATAGACGCTGAACGAGAAGGTTCAAATCTTCCTCTAGCTTCTTGTCCTCTTCGCTCTGAAATAAGAATGCAATTAAAATTTTCCAATACAAGTATTATAATACCATTTCTTCTTTCTTTTCTCCTTTGGCATCTTTCTTCTTCTCTTCAACCGTCTTCGAAAGTTCAGACTTCGGCTCGGCGGCGGTAACCATTTTGTTCTGAAATATAGTGTCAAAATCTGCTGGAAAACGAGAAATGACCAACGACAAGCAACGACAAAAGATGAAGTTTCTTAAAACAATAAAGAATCAAACACGTTTAAAGTATTTATCTGAAGAGACGCAAAAAAAAAAAACAAAAACACTGAGCCGCATTTTTTTCTTTTTGAAAACTAACTTTCCAACTATATTTTTTTGCATTAGAAAATGTTTTGCAAATGCAAGTCTTACTCGTAAACCTACCTCAATTCAGATGAATAACTTCGACAATAAGGGAAAAAAACAGGTAAAACAAAAAAAGAAAATTCAAATCTCATCCTCTTATTGAAGGCGCAGTCATCATTTACACCGCAGGCTCCCGCAGCGATCAGCCTTTCAACGGCAAATTTCAACGTGGAAATGCCGTTTGAATTTTCTCTTCGCGTTTTCTTCCTGTTTTCTTTTTAATTTCCGTTAATTATTGTAGTTTAATGGGTGAATCAGCTGCTCTATGTATGTAATAATGATTTCAGATGCGATTCTTACTTTTGGTCGCACTCTGCGGCTTGGCATTTGCCGAAACTTGGAAGACCATCGATATTGACCGAACAATCGATGTTTCTTCGCAAATTGTGAAGATCACCGCTTTGCACACGTTGGAAAACACTGGAGATGAAGCGAAAACTGTTCAAATCGCGCTTTCTGACGATGAAAACGCCCATTTGGCGTACCTTAGCGCTCAAATCGACGGAGTAAAAGGCCGTTTGACTGTGAGCAAAGATGCTGAGTCGAAGAACGGTTTCAAGGTTAGTTCACCATTGGGAGAACATTTTTTTATTTTTTCTTCTCAGATTTACACAGTAACTCTCCGCAATCCCGTTGCTAAAGGAAAACAAATCAAGCTGAAGGTCAACAAACGTCTGACCGCAGCTTTGAAGCCGTTACCCGCGAAGATCAGCCAATTGGAGAACCAGTGAGGATTTCAAAGTTTTGCGAATACGGATATCAAATTCAGATTCGTGGTTTTCTCTGGAAACGCTTATGTTCCTTCTGTTTACGCTGTTGCCACCCAAAAAACTACCGTGAAAACGACCCCATCAGGAAAGATTCTTTCTTCGACCGCCGTAAATCCACACAAGCAAGAAACTGAACGCGTTTCCTATGGACCGTATGAGAAAATTGCTGCCCTCGAATCGGTTCGTCATCTTTTTCAAAATGAGAGTTAAATTTGAACATATGCAGAAGCCCATCAAGGTTCACTATGAAAATTACTCGCCTTTCGTCGTTGCCACGTTGGTTGAGCGTACGATTGAAGTTTCTCACTGGGGAAATATCGCCGTCGAGGAATACATTGAGCTTGTTCACAAAGGAGCCGAGATGAAGGTAATTTCTTCATGCTTTTTTGGAGTTTAGAAGTTTTTTCAGGGAACTTTCTCTCGCTTGGATTTCCAACAAGATCGACGAGGACGCCGCCAACCAGCTCTCCAACAGTTCACGGTATGATCTTTATTATATTTTTGATTTTTCTTCTTGTTCGATTTGTCAAGTAGTGTTTTTTTATAGCGTCTATTTCAAACTCGAAATGGTGACAGAAATTCTAGTGATGCTTATATGTAGTTAAGAAAACTTTTCAGATCCCTCATACTGTATTTTCTATTCTTCAAAGTCAGAAGATTTTTCGAACTAGCTTAGAAGGCTGTCCAAAACAAAACCATATTTTTTGAAAAATCAGAATAATTACATGCTGAAAAAAGTTAACAAAACTACAATAAAGGATTAAACTGCACATTCCGAGATTTCTCCATTGATTGAGTAACCATTTCATTTAATTATTTCTAGACTGTCCTTCCTGCCACTGCTCGCGATATCTATTATCGCGATGAGATTGGCAACATTTCCACGTCGGCCGTCCGTGTTCGTGCTGAATCTGTTGATGTTGAGATTCGTCCGAGGTTTTATTGCAATTTTATAGCTCTTTAATATTTCCCTCTTCACAGATTCCCCTTGTTCGGTGGCTGGAAAACGTCCTACGTTTTGGGATACAACGTTCCAACTTACGAATATCTGCACAATGAGGGCAATCAGTATGGCTTGAAAATGCGTGTTTTGGACCACATTTTCGAAAACATTGTCGTGGAGAAACTCGTCACCAAGGTCATCCTTCCGGAACATGTCAGGTAAGTTTTTGTGGTTTCTGAGGGAGACAAAGAGATAGTTGATATAAAAATTGCTTTGGAAAATAGGTAAAATGGGCCAGGTATATGTTTATCAAGAATTCTCGTCATCAGTTGATGATTTTTTTATTTTTATTTTTCGAAAATTGGAAAAAGGTCCCTTAGAGTACGGTTTTGACAAGAGAAAAAAATTTTTTTCCTGGGAGAAAACTTCCGAAATTTTTGTACAATCCTCCTTGAAATTGTTTGGTTCAAATATTTATGAACGCTTTTTTTTTATAGAAAAGTGAAGGTTATCACGCCTTTCCCCATGGAAAGACTGTCCGATGAGATCAAGCCGACTTATTTGGACACTACTGGACGTCTTGTCGTTATCGTTCAGAAGGAAAACCTCGTTGCTGAACATATTCAGCCATTCACTGTATGTACAATGTCTCTTTTTATTCTTCATTGAGTTATTTCCAGCTGACCTACGAGTTCGAGTTCAAGGATATGATTCGAGAGCCGATTCTGGCCACAGCCTTCTTCTTCGTTTTATTCTTGGCCGTCATCGTCTATGTTCGCTTCGACTTCAGCATTGTTTCGGTAGGTTTTTCAAGATTATTTCAATTTTTTTCATTTGAAACTTTACATAAGGTTAGTTGAATTTTCATCTCAATATTTCGATTTCAACCTTATTTCGCTGTTTCATAACTTATGTTGAGAATTTTATAGTTTTTGTTGGTTTCAGGATCCCCTCTTGGACGCCCGAGAAAAGTTGGAAGGACGTCTCCGAGAACTCGCCAACGCTGTCGATCGCAAACAGAAACTCTACAGCAAATTGACCGAAGCTGCAGCTAATTACAAGCAATCTCGAGATTCTTCTCTCCTGGCGGTTTGTTTTAAACGTTTTAATTTAAATTTTTTCATTTGTTACATGAATTTCCAAAAGGGAAACTGTTCAGGAAGCCAAGAAAGCTTTCGAATCCGGAAGAACGACGGCAAATGAGAAGCTGAGCGCTCTTCTGGCGTCGCTGAAGAAGGATAAAAATCTCGCAGGACAAGGTTTGCGTTTTTATTCTCTTTTGTTCTCTCTCTTTTGTGTAGATTTTAAAAATTGTTAATTGTGTTGTCGCAATTTTTAGAGGTTCTCGAAGAAAAATTGAAACAATTGGAGTGTTTGATTCAAAACTTGGTCTTTTGAGGGCTTTATTTTGAACGTCAATATTGGATGAACTTCAAAGAAATCGGGGAATTTTCGCTCTAAATTTGTTGTTTTTCAAAAAACTAGTTCGAAACTACGAAAATTCCCATTTTTCTTCTGAAAAAATGTTAACCTTATCTTCAGTATGAAAATTAAGTTGATTCAAAAAAGCTGATAACAAAAAAATGAAAAGGCCAGCTTCAAATTTTAAAAAATCAGCTTCAAAGCATTTCTTCTTTGAAAATCGTTAATTTTAACTATATATGAACCAAAAATACATTGAATTTTTAGTAATTTTTTTAATAGAAAAATTTTTTTCGTTCTTTATTTTTCGCAGTTGGGAATTTTAAACGTTTCTTTAATGTAGAGAAAGAAATTATTTCTAGGCCCAAGAACTGCTGAAATACGACGACGTTGCCGCCAACAACGTTGAAACCTATGTGAAGGCCGTAGAGAAGAGCCAACAAAAGTCGGCGGGACCTGAAGAAACTCAGTTCACCAAGAAGGTCGAGGAGTCTCGCTACAGAGCGGACAGCATCCTCGGATCCCTCTGAAATACTGAAAACTCCGCCTTTTCTGCTTAATAACGCGTCTCCGACCGTTTCCCCTACATGTTGTGTTGTTTTAGGACCCTTAATTTATTTGTTTCCCTCCCCTTTTTCCCTCGTTGATTTTATATTTATAACATTGTTACCTAACATTGTGATCGTTCCCTTTTTGCGTTTTATACTTCTCTATATATTTTCATTGTTTAATGAGATGGGTATTTTTTTTTGTTAGAAGAGTCGTCCCCCTTATGTATTATCTTGTGTTTACTGGTTTTGCTCTTTACCAAAATAAAGGATTGCTTTAATTACGAACTGTATTTGCCTTTTTGCTGTTGAAATTCTACTGTACTGAAGGAAAAGAAATCTTGCAAAATATTTACCCGCCCTTGACATTTTTCTCTAGGTTCTCTCCTTTTTCCTGTTTGCCTTGTGTAAACTCTTATCGCCTTCCGTGTTTTTTTCATCTCATTTTCGAAATTTCTCCCTCCGAGTCACCTTTCATTTAGCGGATTTTCAACCTTTTTTTGAATTTCCCTACAATTTCCTCTCCTGAAATAGTGCGGATTTCACTTTTTTCAAGCGTCTAGACAAGGTTTTTTGAGTTTTTGAGGGGTTTATAAGGGTAATGAACAGGTGATTTTCATTGCTTTTGCCCTTAAAATTTTATTTTCGAAATTTTCTCTTGGAGAGAAATCGCAAAGAATTTTTTCGTCGTTTTGGGCTGGCCTTCTGGTTCAAGATAATTTCATTTTTCCGTTTTTTTATAATAAAAAAAAGAAATTTGAAATAGAATGGTGAGCCAAGTTTGCATAGGAAAACTTTGAAAAAAAATTTTGTTGACAATATTTTTTTAATCCTGATCTTTAATTTCATCCTTTTTTTGTTCTTATCATTCTAAAATGATCAAAAAAACCGTTCAAATTTCCATGGAAAAAAAGAAAAAAATTGGATAATTTACAGACTGGAAACTCTCTGAGAATCTTGAAAAAAACTGTTTGAATCCAGAAAATTTTTCAAAAAAATCTCACTTTTCAAGTTTTCCTAGTCAATCAGAGACGAAATTGGGACACACAAAGACCTAAAAAAAAAACTATGTTTTTGCTCTCAAACCTCTCAGACATGTGCAAAAAATGGAAACGATAAATCTTGCCGAAATGATGCGAAATTCGCCTCCAGAGGTCCGCCAAGAACATTCCAGAAGTGCACCTTTTGCAAAGGGTCGCTGTAAAAACCGACCCTTCCACATGAAATTTTGATGTTTTTGTTTTTGCTGAAATTTTTTCTCGTGATCTTGAACTTTTCGGAGGATTTTTCGTGCTGTGATCCGATGTTCTTTCGGTCAGAAGACACTTTTTTCGTTTTATTTTTGTCTACACCTTTTTTTCTTGCTGATTTGCTGTAGATAAAAAATTGAGGTAGTCTTTTTGATGCTCTTCTGATTTATTAATAAATGTTATTAAGAAAAGGTTTATTTTTCCGTGTTTTGAACTTTTTTTTCTGTCTGATTGTTTTTTTCTTTAAACCTGAAAACTTGCGGGATTCTTTTTGATGTTCTTTTGGTTTTAGAAAAAGAAAAGATGTCTGTACAAGATTATTTTTGAAAGCTTTGAAATTGAAAGGTGTCTTTTCGTGTTTTAAACTTTGCTCTGTCTGGTTTTTTTTTTCAAAAGTTTGCTAAAAGGTGGCGGCTTTCTTTTGAAGTTTTTTTGAAAATGTATGAAGTATTTTTAGAATTATTAAAAGATCCTTGAATCTTTTGAAAAAGTTAAACTTTGAAATAATGATAAAAATGAACCAAAATATAAATAGAGTAGTTGTTCAGGTTAGGGAAAAAAAGATGAATTTATAGCTTCAATGACAAAAAAAATAGTAAGAGGTATAAAAAAAGCATTGAAACTGGTATACAGACAATATTTTCAGTACTGAAAACTGGATTTTTAAAAATAACAGTCAGCCTTCGAATTTCTCAATTTTCAGATTTCTAAATTTTTTCAACATAATTTATGCAATTTTATTTTTCAAAAAATGCGCTCAACATAAAAAATCAATTGATTACATTTGTACTTTTTTTTTCTTCCCTCCAAAATTTTTCCTTCTTTTCTTGCTGTTTTATTATCGTTTTTTGTTCTATTTTCGGTTGCTCATCCAACTTTTTTCAGTTAAATATTGATAAATAAACTTCGCCATGGCCAAAGAAGACGTGGCCGTGAAGCCGACCAATGGGACGAATGGAACGAATGGAAAGAACGGCATCGGGTTTGTCCTTCTTTCCTGTTTCAAAGAAAGTATCGAATATTACTTTTTAATGAAGCGCTGGAAGCGTTTCGAAGGTGCTGCCCTCATTTGGTTTTGGATTTACGCTATCGATTTTTCTTCCCTTTCCGTTCCCCGCATTTGGCTTTTTGCTCTTCTGGGAGTTTTTTTCATCGAAATTTGTGGGAAAAATGGCCTTTCAAAAAAATATTTATTGTTTAATCTTTAAAAAGTCATTTATATGATGAAAATATTGAACTAAATTTTTTTAGGAATCAGCTTTTTTCAAAAAAATTTTTTTGTGATTTTTGGGGTTTCGAGAAGAACAAAATTATTAATTTTGAAAAAGAATTCTGTTATATTTCAAATCTTTTTTTCTCTTCGTAATAATTAGAAAAAAACAGAATTTTTTTAAAAAAATTTTTTTGAAATGTTTATTTTTTTGAAAAGAATCATATTTTTAGATGACATGCTCATCGAGCTCAATCAATTAACACTTTATAAATCTTAGAAATTTTTTTAAGAACTTCAGGATTTCAAAGATTTCCTGATTACGATTTGGGAGTTGCAGTCATTTTTTTAGCAAGAAGAAATTTTTTTGAATTTTTCAGAAATCTGTTCTAGTTTGTCCGTAAAATTCAAAAGAACAATTCAAAATTTATAAATTGGCTATGAATTCTTAATAAATGCTATTAGTACTCTTTTTTTCGTTGACTATATTTGGATTTTTTTCAAGAATAATCACTTTAATTGAAAAATTAATGGTTTTTATTGTAACTTTTTTTACGAAAAAAATCGCGGTTTTACTTTTTCTAAAATTAAAAAAAAGTTTTTGAAATCAATTTTTTTATTTCTAGTTTTTTTCTTAATGCTATAAGAACTTCAATTTTACCCAAATATTATAATTATTTGTAAAAAAAATTTTTTTAAATCTTTCTTGACAATTTTTTTATAAATTTCAGTTCCCGATTCCACTTTTTCTTGTGATAGCTCAAAAAGTTAGAAAAGGGAAATATATTTGAAAAAGAAAAAAATTAAAAAAATTTTATTGACCTATAGACAGATTGAAGGGGAGATGATGAGTGGAACAGAAAAAATTAACGAGATGATTGAAAAAAGATAAGGAAAAAATGGGCGGAGAATGATCAAAAAGAAGAGCATTGGGAACGATATTTTGCGGGCGACCGAGGGGCGTCGTGTCGGCGACAGGTTGACCGTTTACCTGTCCCTTGGTTTTTATCGGTGCCGTCATATCTTCTGCTGTTTTTTTGTCATCTTCTGACCTCCTTGTACTGATTTTCTGTTGGTTCAATGGTTTCTCTACGTGGATTTTGTTAAGAAAATAAGTTCCAAAACGGGTTTTATTTTGTTTAGAACAACTTTTCCGAATTCTTAGAAAAAATATGGCTTGATTTGGTCAAGATTTTTTGATATATTTTGCCTCTTCCAAATTTTTATTAGTATTTTCTTGCAAAATGTAGGTTCTGATAGTTGGAAGAGTGTCTTAATTATTTTTTTCATAAAAAAATCGGAAAATGAGGTCGAAAGATGTTTCAAACTTCTTTTTATTTTATTTTTTTCTTTCTATTCTGTAAAAGGAAAAAAAGGCCCGGAAGTCATGCATATCATCTAGAATTAGCTGAAAGAGATCAAATTTCTCGAATTAATTGGAAAAATTTTGCAAAAGCAGGTGAAAAGTTCTCTAAGTTTGCAAAACATGATTGAAAAACTTGAGATCAAAAAAATAATTTTAGCAGCTTTTTGAATTGAAATAATGTATTTGAAACCATGAACTCTTCAAAAATCATTTTTCCATTTTGATATCAAATTCTAGGTTTTTTTTAACCCACCTGTAAAATGAGGTGAACAGAATGAATTTCAATGGAAAACAGAATAAAAAAAGATGACTTTTTCTCAGTAAAAAGTTTATCAAAAAAATTCCAGAAAAAAATTAATTAAAAGTCATTGTTATCAAAAAAACTTTTTGAACTGAATCATCCCTTTAACCAAAAAAAACTTGTATTTCCTTGTTGCCATGGATATTAGAATTTTCTGCGAATTCCACTAGTTTTGATGAGTTTCTCTCGTTTTGCAGGCTTCCTTCAAAAAAAAGCAAAATTTTTCCCGAGAACAACTAATTTTCGAAGAAAATCCTTTTTCTCCTTATTAACGAAAATGAGCTCGGCAATTTATTATCCGTCTTATTTCCTTCTGTTTTTCAAAACAATTTTTTGTTCTTGCTTTGGCTTTTTGTTTTTTCGATTCAATCCTTTGTTACAAGATTTGTGGGAATATCAGTTTTATTGTTTTGTTCCGATTTGTAGTGGGAAAATGAGATTATACTACATGGCTTGTTGTCTGGGAAGCTATAAAAGCGAAGGGAACATAATTAAAAGGAAATCATGTGAATTTGAAAAATTTTAATTTTTTTTTTGATTTTTTCTTTCAAAAGCTTCATCTTTTAAATAATTTTTTCCTAATTTCGGTTTTTGAAAATTTTCCTGAACTGAAATTAGAAGCCCTATAGACATCTACGATGTTTGTTCGAACTCAGTCAAGTTATTTTCTCTAAAATGTCTAAAATCTATACTTGGAAAGTTTTTAAGCCACTTCAAAAGTTCAAAAAAGATCCCTTTTGTTTCCTTTTGATTCCTTTTGTTATCATAGCTTATCACTAGCTTTAGTTCATTTCAAAGTAGCTTTAAAGCGTTTTTCCTATTTTCCAGAGTAGTTTGAAAAGGAAAGAACGATCTTTTCTGGACCTCAACTTCTTTTGACCCTTCAATCTACTTAGAAGTATCAAATTTCGGAACATTGACGCCTTTTAAGAGTATTTGTCAATACACTACAGATCGAAGACAACACAAAGATTTTTTCAAGTGTATCGAAAACGGAAAATACGATAGAGAAGTTTTTATTGTTTGAAAAGACGCTTTTCGCTGGTTTAATGGCTCAGCTCTTGTACTATTTTTCGTTCAGGGTTTTTTACACTACTTGGTTTTTTTTTTTTGCAAAAATTGGAGAATTTACTTCTTTGTTACAAAAGTGGGAAAATAGATATTAAAAAAAGTTGTAGCTCAATTTTTTTCCGAAAAAGTTTAAAATACGACTAAAAAAAACATTTAAGAGGTTATTTTTGTGATATATATTTTTTTCAGTTTAGATTCTCGGGGTGTAAGAAATGCGTTAATAAATTTTTTTTTGTAGTTTCTTCAAAAACTTTTAGATTTTTTCAAAATCTCATATTAAAGATAGCACTCAAATTGAATAAAAAACCTTACAATTCTTAAATTCTCCGAAAACTTTCAAACATCTACGTCCAAAAAAAGTCCTCGATGTTCTTTACACCCAAAGTCATGTTTGCAGCCAAATTTTATGCGTTGCGCATGTTTTATGCAAAAATTGACGCAAAACGATGCTGGCGTGTTGGGAATATCTCAAAAAGATGCAACGTAGAAGGCGAAAAAGTGGGATTTCCTCGGATTAGACCACCATTTTCCAGGTGCTTCTCAGCTTCTTAATCTTCAATATTCGTTTTTTCATTTTCAGAACTTTTTTGGCGCTATTATCCGTCGTTCAAATCTTATATCCTTGTAATATTTTTGTCATGGTTTTTTGTATTTTAGTATCATGATACGGATAAAAGCAAAATTATTTTCTGATTGGAAATATAATCTGAGATTGGTTCGGCTTCACGTGACGAAAAAGCTCTAATACCTTCGCTCCAGGAAGGCTTACGAGAATCCTTTCAATTCCGGAAATCATTCACATTTCAGTTTTGAGGCTCCTTTTTGTTGGTTGGAAAGAAAAATCTGAAGTTTTAGTTTATTTTTTGGTTGAGTTTGAACTATCAGGTCGTTCAAATTAATTTTTGAAATGTAAGAAAAATTTTGAAATCGAAAAAGTTGAAGTTCTTGGTTTTTTGTAAGAAATCCTCTTCAATTTTCATCCAACTTCACATATTATTTTATTCCCCTGTATCTGAAGCTTCGTTCACTGACTTTTTTTTTTTCATTTTTCCTCTTTATTCCTACTTTGTAACGTATTTGAACAGAGATGGAGGCGATAAATTATGAAGCGACCAAGTTTCAATTTTTTTATTTTTTTGAAAAATCGCCAAAAGCTTGCTTTGTCAATTTTATAAGAAGAAAAATTCGTATTTCGGAGAAAAAAAATTATAAGTTGAAAATGATTTGAAAAAAATAAATTTTGTGGATTTTAAGAATTATTCATGATTAGCAAATTTTTTGATTCTATCCAAATGGGTTTTGAAATGGCAGCTTTATTTGATAAAAAAATGATCTAAGAATCATTTTTGAATTAAAAAAACTTACTTTTTTTAAAAAAAGTAATAAGAGAAAAATCATTTGAAAAAAACATTTTTGAACATAATCCAAATTTTTATTTTTGATAGACTCCCTTATTTTAAAAATCTCTTTTATTGAATACTTCTCTAGAAATCCTCGGAAAAAAAATATTATTCATTACTTTTCGAATTTCAGAGAGAAACGCAAAATGGCTCCCGTACCGGCCTGGGACAACGATCCGGAGTTGGCCGACGGAGAAACGGCCCAGGAAATGATGGCCCATAAAGGCGGTCTCACTTTCAAGTGCGTGGTTTTCCAGGATCTTGAAGCTGATAGGGAGCCTGAGAATGATTGGAACTGAGAGAAAACTAGGAAATATAGGAAAACCAGTAACTTTTTGGAAAAATCGAAAGCGTGAAGAAAGTTTTCCGCGCTTGCAAAGGAAGAGAAAATCAGGAAAGAAGAAGAAAATTGCTCTTTTCGAAAAATCAAGGGTCTTGAGAAATTTTTGCCGCATCTTCAAATGATGAGGGTTCGCTAAGAAAAAGAAAAATCAATAAAAACCGAAGGTCATCAAAATTCTAATTGTCACGATGAAAAAAAAGCAATTTTTAGCAGTGACTTAAACATTTTGATTCAAAATTCAAACCTACAGTTAAAATTTTAGTGATTTCAACGTAATGCCGGGTTTTATCAACTTCTCTGTCCACGACGTCAGTTTGGAAACAAATATCACGAGAAATATCAAAATCAAGGTTCAGCTCCAAGAAAAAAATTTTTAAAAAAAGTAAATTTTAGGCCCCACTGGTCTCTTCTCCAATGGACACGGTCACAGAAAGCGGCATGGCTATTGTGATGGCGGTGAATAAAATGTTATTTTCCTGAGAAAAAAGGACTTTTTCCAAGAAAGAAAGAAGGTTCTAGACTCGAAAAAATGCATCGTTGAAAAAAAAAAGCTATATTTTCTGGTTTTCATAGAATCAGGCTATTGAAAAGAGCAGTTTCTTTTTTTGAGCCATTCCAAGTGCGACCCATTCCCGATGAACTTGCCAGAAATCCGTTGGTTTTCGGAGGAATTTTTTTCACTTTTTCCACAAATTTTTTTCTTTAAAAAAAATAGCGATTTCGATATATAATTTGAAGAGGAGATCAAATAAAAAATTTTTGAGCTTTGGGTTTTTTTCATTTTTCATCAGGTTTAAAGTAGTACCTTAAATAGAACTTTTCTCCTTCATTCCCTCCTTTTTTGTCAAATTTTCATTTTCGTAAGTCCTCCATTTTAAGCTCTATGGAGGCATCGGAATCATCCACGGTAACTTCCCAAAGCCGGAAGATCAGGCCGCGGAAGTCCTGAAAGTCAAGGTGATCACATAAAATCCAAGATAAGATCTCAGTTCAAAAAGTCGCTTTCCAGAGGTTCAAGCAAGGTTTCGTAATGCAACCTCACTGCTTGAAGCCGTCGTCGACGGCCTACGACATGATTCAGATCAAGAAAATGTTCGGTTACACTGGAGCCCCGGTCACGGAAGATGGCCGTGTCGGATCCAAACTTATCGGTGTGAAAATAAAGAAGAATATTAGTGTTCCTATTGGAAATGTTGGTAGGAATGGTGACTTCCCGCGATTTTGACTTCATCACGATGGACGTTGCCGGCCAGAAGTCGACTCCCATTGGCGATGTGAGTGATTGGAGTGAATTGTGTGATTTTCTGGGTGTATGGAAAGTTGAACGACGGAGAAATGAGATATGAAAAAATGGCCGTTTTTGAAGATCAATCGCGCTCCAGCGAGAAAAAGAATTTTCATTATTTTTTTATTTTTTCTGTGAAAACTTTTAGTGGCCACTATAGAGGTTCTCCATTTGGTGGCCACTTCAGTAGTTTTTCATCCAGTATTCTTTCCAGTAACTCTGATAACTTTAAAACAAACAGTTTGGACCAGTTATGTTTATCCATTGACCCCTAAAGTGGCCACTAAAATTTTTAGTGGTCTAGTAGAAGCACTTAGACCTCTATAGTGGCCACTAATTTTCAACCCCTTAAGGGGCCACTAATTTGACTTCTTTAGTGGCCACTAAGAAATTTCCCAGTTTCAACAGTTTTTTTTCAAGCGCTCTTATGGAGAATTCAAATGATTGGTTCCTGATTTTGCGACTACTTCATCTGCTTTTTTTCAAAAATGATTTATCCATGGAGCGCAGATGAAATCATATTTTGGCCATTTTTGCATCCAAATCCCTCCACTAACTTTTCCATGTACCCATGTCTAACTTGATCAGAAACTTTCACCTTCCCGTTCTGTATTTTTATAACTACCGGTTTGAGAGTGTTCCTTTTTTTAACTTCCTAAATTTAATACGGTGTGATCTTCACCTGTAAACGTTATAATAATCGACTTGCATGAATTTTCAAAACGATACACAAAATTTTTATGACCTTTTTTGGCCAATACGAAATTTTTATGGCCTTACCAGGAAGTTCCTTCTGTAGAGCTTGTCTAAAAAAATCAAATATAATTATTCCTACCGGAATTTTCGATTTTTATTCATCTAGGAGCAACATTAGTTATATAAGATAGTCTAAAAAAATATTCTAAATAAACTATCAGACTCTCGAGAGTCATTATTAGATTTTTGTGGAAATGAGCTAAAAAAATGGCAGAAAAAAATGACCTCTTTTTTTCAAATTCCTTTTTTTCCCTCGAACCGGTAGTTATCCTCATGATTCTCACTGATTGATTTCAAATTTTTACCGGTTTTCAATCTTCAGGAGGTCACCCCAAATACGCCGATCACAGAAGTAAGAATTCTATCGTGGTGGTACCTGTGTTGGTGTATTGTTTTTATTTATTTATTCATTTTATTCATTGTTATCAATTAAAAAAAAAAAGAAAATAAGAAAAAAAAAGAGTTTCCAAGTCTAAAAGTTGATTTTTTCTTGGAATTTTTGGCTGCTTACTAACGCTTTTTTGATTTTGAATGAACTATCATTTTTTTATCATGTTGCTAAGGGGGTTCAAATTTCAACTGTTTTGGTTTGTCCGTTTTTTGCATTTTTTTTTTATTCTTGATCGGAAAAAATCAAGGTCATAATTCAAAAAATATACCCATAGGAAATTGTTTCCTCTAAGCATCCTAGCAGACTGATAATGAACTAACTTTCCCTTTTTTTTAAAGTTATCCTGATTGGAACAGAAGGGAATTACAGATTATGGTTCCCGTTGGTAAATTGATTGTTGGAAAAATCAGCGATCCCCCTGAGGCTTGTCAGAAATTGCTCAAGGAGCATCGATTGGGTAAGAAATCCTCTGATTTTTTTCGATTTCTAAGGTTCAAAAAAAGATTTTTAAAAGGAAAAATAGTCTCTATAAATAATAATTTTTAGGTAAATTGCCGATTGTGAATGACGACAATGAGCTGATCGCCCTTTTGTGTCGTTCCGATTTGCTGAAGGTATGTTTTGAAAGCTTATTTTGTGATTCCAGTGGTTTGAAAATGAACTTTTTTTTTCTAAAAAACGTTTTGTATGTCAAGCGAGCGCTACCAAAATAATTTTCTGCTTAGAATTTTTTTCAAATTAAATATAATAATAAATATAAATTTCCAGCAAGTTTCGTCAAATTAGTTTCCCTCTTGTAGAGATCCATTCCAAATGCGGTTGGAGCCTCATTAGATGGAAATAAATTTTGTAACTGACCTTATTAGTTTAAAATTTGTCTCAACAGATTCAGAAAAAGTTGGCAAAGTCACGAAAAAAGTACAACTGAAAAAAACTGAAATAAGAAAAATAAGAATCTTTTTCAAAGAAAAAAACCAGCATTATTTTTGTAGGTTTTGACAGCATTATCTGTAAATTTCAGGGGTCTAAAATCTGTTAATTTTAAGTTTTTAAGTGAGGATTAAGCTATAATTGAACGTAAGTCTACGTTCGAAACTTGAAAGCTATAGAGCACTGAAAAGCAAGAGAGCGTTCAGAAAAAAAAAATTCAGCTTTATCATTTTTCAACGTTTTCTAGCTTGAACGATTCGAATGTAGACTCTCGGGAATTCTCCTTTCAAAATTGATTGATGGAATAGTGGATCTATTTTTTTTTCAAGGCTCGTGACTATCCCAATGCCTCCTACGATTCTTCGGGACAGTTGCTCTGCGGAGCCGCAGTGAACACGCGCGAAGAATCGCGTCATACGGTGGATTTGCTCGTCGAAGCCGGCGTCGACCTCATCGTCATTGTACGGAACTTTTTCTCTTTTGATTTGGTTAATATATCTGGATAGTATTAGAAAAGAACAGTAGGAGATAATCACAGGAGACCCTCGAGGCATAAATAGCAAGACATTTTAATTTTCAGAGCTTTTTCAAGAAAAAATATAAATTATTCATACTATCAACCGATTCAACAAGGCTATCAGTACCAAGAAGGATTAAAAATTATCACAGGAGTCCTCGAAATTTATATTTATATATATATATAGTCTGTGTACGACTCTAAATTTTACGGAACGACATTTCGCTGTTCCGCTGCGTGCGTTCGCGAAGCGTCTTTCGAATCTAGGTCACGCTTTCATTTTATTGTTATTACAGCACATGAAAGCATAGTACCTTAATAAAAGAAGAAAAAAAAAATTAAAAGCGCGGCCAAGGTTCGCAAAGGCGCGCAGCGGCCCAGCGGAACGTCGTTATGTGAAAATCCAAGTCGTGGTACACAGGCTATCATATCAAAAAATCTATCAATTTACACCCGCCATAAAAAATTAGGAAGCAATCCCAGAAGCCCTTCAAGCGTTCATAAAAAGAAATTTAGATATTCAAAATTTTCGCAGGGCATCTGTAATTTATAAAAACTGGAAGCTTTGGAAGGTGAATAATTATTTCAAAAAATAGGGGCGAGATTGCAAATCAAGTTTAATAACGTTTAGGACTCCTCGAACGGCTCGTCGACCTACCAGATTGATATGCTTCAGTGGATCAAGAAACAGCACCCAAATATTGAAGTCGTCGCTGGAAATGGTTTTCCAATCGAATTAGGGGAAAAAAGAACCATTTTTGTTATTCAGTTGTGACCCGACAGCAAGCCAAAGTATTGATCGATGCTGGGGCTGATGGACTTCGCGTTGGAATGGGCAGCGGATCGATATGCATCACTCAAGATAGTCAGTGGACCGGAAATTCAGAAAAATATGATTCTGGAAGAACTAAAATTTCGTTTTTTTCTATACTGAAAGTTTCCAGGAAAATTATTTTGAAAATAATAAAAAAAGGGGGTTTTTACTTTTTTTGTTCAGTGGTTTTATTGACGATTTTTTTCGAAGTTAAAAAAAAGAGCAGCTGTGATCATGATCATTTTCAGAAAGGAACCTCTAGAGAAATTTGAAAAAGTGTGTTTTTTGTTCAGGTAGCCTTTAACCCTCGACCTCAAACTTTTGGTAGGAACTTTTTGAATCTAATCTTTTTATAAACTGTTCTCCTTTTCTAAAATTTTTCTAATACACCTTAGGTCATCTAGATTTATATCTATAAAATCTTTTTCATGACTTTAATTAAGAAAAATCCTATTTTTGCAGTCATGGCGGTGGGTCGAGCTCAAGGAACAGCCGTCTACGACGTCTCCCGCTACGGAAGAAGCCGCGGAGTTCCGATCGTGGCCGATGGAGGCATCCGTGACGTCGGCTACATCACCAAGGCTCTGGCCTTGGGAGCCTCAGTTGTGATGATGGGAGGACTTTTGGCAGCTACAACGGAGGTCCGCTTTTGGCTGAGCTTGAGTTGAAGAACTTGCGGAAACGACTTTTAAATGACTAGTCAAAAGATAAAGGAATAATAATGTTCCAGCAATCGTAAACTTACAGCCTTTGAAAGTAAAATTGGTGAAAATACTCTTTCAGATGAGTCCAGAAAGTGTTATCCAACTAATACATTTGAACATTTAATTTTCCTACGGTTATTTTGGATTTTGAGGCGCCTGGCGAGTATTTTTGGGGACCGGGTGGCGTTCGTGTCAAGAAATACCGTGGAATGGGTTCTTTGGACGCCATGGAAGCCCATGCCTCCAGTCAGGATCGTTATTTCACTGCGTACGAAAATCGAATCGATTTTAATATTCCTCAAAATTCAGTGAATCCGATCAGATCAAAGTCGCCCAGGGAGTTTCGGCCACCATGAAAGATCGCGGGTCTTGTCATAAGGTACTTAGAAAAAAATCAGAGGTCATGGAAAATGAACATTTTTCAGTTCATTCCATATTTGGTTCGCGGCGTTCAGCACGGCTTCCAGGATATTGGCGTCCGCAGCGTCACGGAGCTTCAGTTCGTGGATTTAATATCAATTTTTCCAGTAATTCAGTATTCTAAAAGTTTCTAGAAACGTTTTTGTTACATTTTCTTATAAGTACTTTCCGCGTGAGTTCAAACTTTTTTACAGAAATTTTCCTTGAAGATGAGGATCTTTCACTGTTTCTCCAGAAAAATTTCGGAACTTTTAGAACTCTTGTTGTACAAGCTCAGGCTTGCAGAAATTTTTTTTTTAATTTGAAAAATAATATCTTCACAACCTTAACACAGTATTCGAGAAAGTTATGAAAAAATTTGAAAATTCGCTAAAATGCACTTCCAAACAGAAGTGGGCAAGAGCAGAACTTGTTCAGACAGGAAGGAAGGGTTGGCTTACAAGAATTTTGAAAAATTCGGAATAAAATTGAGTTTCAACCACAGAGAGGCGGTTTTGGCCACAAAAATACAAGTTTAGCCTCAGGGAGGTAGTATTAGCTTTAATTTAGAAAAACATGAGGGGAGGGGTCGGTGGTTTATTGAAAATGCTTGCCCATATATGCTTCCAATTTTTGAAAAAAAAAAGTCTGGCTAGCCAGATTGAACCGGTAAATTTTTCAGAATAGAGCAGTGCTTACAAGAGAGGTCATTTTAGTTTGCGGTTGGGATTTTTCTGAAAATTGGCCAGAAGACTTCTTGATGTACCAGAAGATGATGCTGAAAGTCTCAACCTGCAAAACTTTCTACTTTTCGAGAAAAGACGCTGCAAGAACAAAGAAAATGCTATGAAAATAAACTATTTTGAGGCTTTAGACCCTTATTTCTTGAGAACTAGGAAGTTGTGCAGGTTAAGACTTTCAGAATCTTCTTCTGGTACATCAAGGAGTGTTCTAGACGATTCTCAGAAAGTTCCCAACCGCAAAGTAAAATAAAATTCCCTTTAAGTTACTTTTTTCCAAAAGTCTCTTTTTTCCTAACAGAAATTCTTGCAGTGACAAGGTTGCTGGAGGCGACATTCGGTTCGAACGTCGTTCGACCAACGCTCAACTCGAAGGAGGCGTCCATTCGCTTCATTCGTAAGTCTCCCCTAAACGAACTTTGACCTCTCCGAGCGACACTCTTTTCCTAGAAGAAGTATGTAGTTTGACCCCCGACCAAACGAAAATTTACAGCGTTGACCCACAAAATTACCTAATGCGATACTGTACGTCGGTTGACGCGCAGACCGGTGAGATAAATCGAGCACTATCGCATTTTACTGCACAGATATCGTTAGAAGTCACAGCTTTCAATCTCATCACTTATTGTTAGAAATCATCATAGATTCATACTCATCGCCCCTATTCTACTTGCATTCCGTGGTGTACGCATACTTCTTCTTCTGAAAAAGTGCCGCTATCTGTGATTTTTCTTTCCGACACGTTGCACAGATTTCGAAAATATCGACAAGGCTCTTCAGGGTGTTCATAATCAAAATTAAATGTCGTTTGAAGATTAATTTGTAAATAATGTTTACAAGAATGTAAGATTTGAAAAAGGTGCAAATGAGAAATGAGAAGATTAATAAAAATACCCTGGTGACATCCAGAATCTGAACAGACTGCAGTAAAATTCGGATCTTTTTCTGACTACATCAATTGAGAGAGTCTGAGAAAAACATTAGTTCATCTAAACTCAATTTAAAAGTAAGCAATGATAGTTCAGCAGAAACGGTGCAGAAAGAACTCCATTACTACCCACCAATCTCTGTCATATTGTCAAGCATGAAACCTCTCAAAATACCAACTTCCAACTTTAAAAAATTATTCATATTTTTCCAGTTTCGAAAAGCGTCTCTACTAACGGACCCATCAGAAGGTTCGATTCGGTCGCCTACCACGCCGGCCAACGTTGATTTCTCCCTTGTTCCTTTTAATTATTCCATTATTTATCTAATATCCTGTTCAATCCGTTGTTGATTTTCACACTTTCTGATCTTGCATGACACTATTCCGAAAAATTGGCTTTCTCATAAATTATTTCTCTTTTCCATAATAATTCCATTTACAGTACGTATATATCCCACGTGACGGGGCCTTTTTATTTTAAATCTCCTCGGTGAGATTTTTTGCATTTTCTGTGTTTTTTCATACGTTTGCTAATTTTTACTTGCCTTTTCATTTTTTGGTTTTTCGATTTTGGATAAAAGCTTTTTGTGTTTTGAGGAGACTTACGAAGAATCCGAAAATGAAAGGGACCTGTATTTTGAATAAATCGTCTACTTTTCCTAATTTCTCCTCTTTTTGATTTTCAAGCATTTTTGAGACTTCACATTTCTTCAAGCTGCCAATTTATCAACTGATAATCAAGCATTTATTTTCTCACAAGTTTCACAGCTCGCTGTTATCTTTTCGAATTTCTTCCGTCCTCGGAACACATTTTTGAAGATTTATCTCCTGATCGTGAAGAACTTCGGCCAAGTCGTGAAGTCCGGCCAGGGCGACGCGAAGTGGCAAGGAAAATGTAGTGGGTATCTAAAATTTTCATTTATTTATTCTTCCCTCACAAGGGGGTCATTTCACTTCGCGACTTGGAATTTTCTACAAACAAAATAATTTCTGAAGGTTTATAGTAAGATCCATCAAAGTTGCAACCCGCGCCAGCTTCTAGTTTTCGAGATAATTAATTTTGAAGGTCAAAAAGTAAGGCCTAAAGCCCATTTTTCACAACTTTGAAAAATCATATCTCAAAAACTAGAAGTTAGGTCTTATGAAGGGCCCATCTAGACATTCAGAGAGATTTTGAGCAAAAAATTCCAAGCCTCCCTTGTAAAAGTACAACATTGATAACTCACAATTGATCCTTCCTCGCATCTTTTTGCGGCAGCCGTGGTGCAGAAGAGGCACAAGACAAGGAGCAGAAGCTTAAGGGACATTCTGAAAAAAAATAAAAAAGTAAAAATCTTCTGATAGAAGTTGAAGCTTCAAAGATTTCAGAGCTAAACAATTCCTGAAAAGAGCTAAAAAAAATTTTTTTTTCAAAAGTTTGCTTTGAAATACACTTTATAGCTGATTCACGGCTGGCTTCAGCCATCGAAAAAATGGTCCTGACACGATAATGCACGAGATAGCGCCTAACTCGTGGAGAGTGCAGACAGGACACGCCCCCTTAGCGTCCCAAGCTGGCCGTGAATCAGCTATAAGAATACGTCATCAAAATAAATTAAAATGACATCATTTTTATCTCAAAAATATTGAAATTCAAAAAAAGTCGAAAGAAAAAAATAAAATCTCTCGACTCCGCTCCCGAAAAAATTAAAAAATCATCAAACTGGACTAATTTCGCTATGGGAAACTCATCGACTCACATTTTTTCCCCTCGGAGGGAGAAATATTTGAATTATTACTCGAAAAATGATACTGTCGAGTTGGGCCTTGCTTGGGCTTTTTCTCATTTTCGCCGTTCCCACCGATGGATTCTATTGTGAGAGAGAAAAACCTTCCGTGAGTTTTTTTGGCAATCGTTCGAACAAATGTTTAATGGAGAGGCAAAAAAAAGGATTAAAATTTATTATTTATGAACTTAATTTATGAAAATTCATTTATATGTAGGAAAAGTCATAAAGGATGGAAAAAGGCTCCATAGAAAGGTTCCTTTTAGGGTGACAAATGTTTCTTTTTGGGACCTTTTTGCGCCATTTTCTCGACCCTTATGCACCATTTTTGCTGCCTCTCCCTTTTTTCGCCATTTTTTGAGTCTTTAAAATTTTGGAAAAAATGGAAGGCTCCATAAATAGACTCCTTTTGCAGCCTTTTTTGAGCCTCTCCCTTTTAGCAGCCATTATCCACCATTCCGACTTTGCTGGTCGAGGCGTTAGGAATCAAAGACCGCAAGCCAGAAAACTGTGGTTCGAAAAAAGACTTCCTTGAAGGATCGCTGGTCTCCGCTTTTGGGCTCGATGGCCGGCGAGGCGATCATCCGCATGAGAGACTCTTCGGACCTTTCCATTTACGAGAAATTCCTTCTCAACTTCATCGGTCAACAGTTCGGCAACGCTCATTCCTGTATGGGTGTGTAGAAATTCGTTTTTTCGAAATTTTGTCGAGCAAGATTCACATGATAATCTGCGGTACAGCTGAGAGGCTCTATCGGTATACGGTAGAAGTCATTCGCGGCGGGACCTGTAAATCAGAAAAATTCAAATTTTTATCACGAAATGCATCACCTTTTTCCGAAAATGATCCCGTGAAATGATAATCGTTTGACAAACTGTGTTACCAGGAAAGATAACAGCGCCCGACTTTCATTAGTTATGATAAAGAAGCGCGTAACACGGCGTTTTTTTTACGACGCCGCCCATATTTTCCGTGAAGTGTACTGTATCTTGTGCATGCACTGCGGCGCTCTCGCACATGCCGAGTTCAAAATATAAATTCTATGCCAATTTCAGAAATTCAGTTTTATTTTTTTACTCTTCGGTGGCTATTTTGAACTCGCGGTATCACTTTTAACACGACAACAGCAATTTTTTTTTTTTAAATGAGAATTCGATTCGTCTCATGACCCATTGAACATGCGCCTTTAATATTCCCTGTTGTTAAAAATTGTTTCCCATGACGTCACATGGTAACGGCGGATTTTTGGCTCCGCCCCCTTATTTTTGGTTTTGCATTTTCTTCCACTAACAAAAACGCCGTGGTAAGTAGTTCCTTGAGAGGCGTTGAAAAAAAAATTTCACAAAGTCTGCGAAATTTTTGCGACAGAAAGACTTTTCCAAGCTTTGAATTTTTGATTCAAGATTTTCAGAGCGCCTCGAGGAAAATTGCGAGAAAGTCGACCAATATCTTCTCGGGCCATGTGATCCCGGTTTCAATAGGGGCAATTATTCAATCCCCATTTGTTGGAAAGTTGGTGTTTTCATGGTGACCGAAGGGCAACAGGAATTAAAGAAAATCGAAAATTTTCAACATTTTCAAGAAATATTTCTCGGATAAAGCTTCAAAGAGAGAAACGAAAAATTAGAAAAACTTTACTGGAAAGGTATTTTTCTAAGCTCGATTCGTTTGCCAGCTTCACTTGGGTAAAAATCTTGGTTTTGTTCCAGAAAAAGTCTGAAAAAGGAACTTGTTCTGCCGTCTCGTTTTACAGCAACGACTGCGAGATTTGTTCTGAAAATGTTTGTCTGAAAATACTCCAACACTTTCAAAAACTTTAATATCGATTTCAGAAGCTCTCATCTAAAGAACAAGAGAAAATCGGGAGAAAACTCCTGTCCCGTTGCTCCGGAACTGAGAAAAAGAAGAACAGGAATTCTTGAAAATTTGTTTTTCGTTGTTTGAATAAGGTTAATGAAGCATTCTATAATTCCAAAGCTTTCTTTGATTTTTCTGCATTTTTTGTAGAAAAAATTCAAACATTTATTCCAGTATTTCATTGGAGAGAGGCTCTATCGGTATACGGTAAAAAGTCATTCGCGGCGGGACCTGTAAATCAGAAAAATTCAAATTTTTATCACAAATCATCACCTTTTTCCGAAAATGGTCCCGTGAACTGATAATCGCTTGATAAAATCTGTTATCAAGAAAAATACCTGCGATTCCATTCAAATAGTTCAAGAATAAAATAAAATAAATTGGAATTTCACGGCTCCCAGGAAACGATTTTTCAATTTGATACATAATAGAGTTCACAAAGTCCAAAGGCAGATTTAGTGGTTCTTGGGAACCAATTTCGAATTTTTTCTTTGCAGATTCACGGCGACACCAAATCGACGCCACACATACCGCAACGGCGGAAAATAAAATGTGTTGTACGCAGTGCACGCGATGCATGAAACGCGACGCGCAAAAGGCTAAATTGAGATATTTTCCACAATTTACAGGATCACGGCGTTTCTGCCAGTTGAAGAAAATGCAAGGAATTTGAAACTCGGCAAAGTCTGCGCATTTCTCGAAATTCGCCCGCGAAATTTGAAAAAGTGGCTTTATTTTTGATTTTTTGTCAATTTTTTCATATTTTTCCACTTTTTCTTTTCGTAGATTGCTGATAGTATTGCGGGACCACGATCGGGGTATACTCTGGGTTGTTAGACGCTTTTTTTGAAAGTAGTTCTGTGAGGCTAAATTTAAAAACTCGTGATGAAGAAGCGTTTTGAAAATCTCCACCTGTTTGTATGGAACATGTTTCACCCCATTTTATGTTTTTCTTATTCTATTTTTTTGTCGATTGTTCAGATTCCTAGGTTGTGGACATCAATGAGATGAAGTTACATGAAAAAAAGTCTGTGAAGTTGAGAAAGTATGTTCCGGAATTCATTTATATCCGGATATTCCGTCAACTTTTTATAATAAAAAGTACTTGCTGTAAAACATCTTTTTATTTGTTTCTCCACAGCAATATAGTTTTATTTAATCTCTTTTTAATTTCCTCGTCTTTTTTTCTTCAATGTTCATTCGTTTCTCACACTTATATCATCGGTTAACCTTATTTTCCAAATTTTTTGTGCGTGCACTAAACACGTCCTAATTGACGGAGAAAAGTGGGCGGGGCGTCGCAAAAGAAACACCGTGGGATTTCATGACCTAAAAAATAGTTTTTTTTTTTCGTAGTCGTTCATACTTTTGTTGCACTACTAAGCCCATACGAAAGGTGCACAAAAACATATTTAGGGACCGCAAAGCCACGCCCCTTTTCGCGATAGAAAAAGTGGCTTTTTTTTGGTTTTCAACTTTCATTTTGTTGTAGTTGCAAAATATGTGGAACTGGCTAATAAAATTTGACACACATGTACAGAAAAGCTTCCTCTTTCGTTTAAAAAATATTTCACGCTTTTTTGATGCGTTCTCGCGGAATGTCGTACAAAAACGTGAATGGAACTAAAAATTTTTGTCATTTTTTGCTTTTTCGTGTGTTTTCAGGTCGAACGCACTCTTTCTTTTTTTAAATAATGATTTTGATTCAAGTAACGGTAATTTTAAAACAATAAAATAAAAAATTCGTCTTTGCCAAAAATTTTAGGGAGTGCCGAAAGTCATGATTCAAAATATCGTTAATAAGCGAATATAATCGAGTTTTTGTTTTTTTTTAAATTTAGACCATGGGCTTACTTAAATATTTCTCCACAGAATATGTGCTTGAAAAAGTTGTTTAATACACAAAAATGCTCTTGAAACTAGAGAATAAAATTAGCGGCGTTTATCACACAGAAAGCGGTCGAACGCAGGTTTTTTAAACGATTATATACATTTATTAATAAAAATCTTTCAATTAAAAAGAATAAAATAAAAAAATTCGTCTTTGCCAAAAAAATATACGGGGGCCGTTTTTAAGGCAGCGATCGTTAAACGAGGAAATAAGCACTAAAAAAACAGTTTTTTTCGAAGTGAATTTCCACGGAAGGTTTGAGTAAAGATTTGCGAACATATTCTGAAAAATAGCTAAATTTCTTCAAGTTTTTTTCTTTTTGAAATAGGCAATCTGTGCTATTCAAACGGCTCAAGGCTATGTCGGATGGAAGCTCCCCTCGCTATACCTAACAGCTTGGCGCAGCGCGTGCGCTGCGATTTTTCATTTTGAGGTCGCGAGTTCGATGCCCGCAATCGTCAGTTTTTTGTTTTCTGGAAAATACCGACTTTTTCGGCAAACTAGCTGATGAGCATCATTTTAGCACTCTATTATGATTTGTTACATCATAATAGTCCAGTATCAAAACTTGTTCTAGAAGAAAAATCGAGAAAAATGTCAAAAATGGATAATACCAAAATTTCAGTACTAAAAAAATGGTGCGCGGCGCGCCACATTTTTCGTCATAACTTTTTTCATCCGCAATCTTTTTCGAAAAACTAAACGGTTCTGAGTTTTGAATCGGAACAGCTATCAAACCATACAAAGATCAATGCTGAAAAAAAATTTTTTGAAAATTCGTCTGCGGTCCCTAAACATATTTTTTTATTCAGAAGTTCAAAATTTTGTCGTATTCGTAACGACTGCCGACTTCGGAATGCTGTGGTGGACGTGGACGCAGTTCTCGAGGCTGTTGAGAAGAGTATAGCGATCGTAGAGACTTATTAAAACAGTGCGGACGTTCACGTCGATGGTGGTGTCCGTGTGAAGGACCTTCCACGCCTCCAGGACCATTTTCTCCGTCGATTGGGGCGACATTTTCCGGTAGGAGGCCAGAGTCAGTGGAGCATCCGTGTGGACGGTAACCTGCAGATTCACTTTTATTATTTTCAAAGGTCTATTAACGAGTCAAGTTTGATTTTTGGCATTTTTCAAGGCAGAACATGGCCGTGATTAAAACTCGAAACGGCGGCCAGGGCTCGTTAAAAATAGGTCTGACTCGAAACTACTTGCGCGCATGAACATCGCATTCCACTGGCGAACATGACTATTTTTGTCGGATCGAAAAAAATGTACTTCTTCCACCAGTGGGTTCCGGTTAACCATAAATTAAGAAGTTAATGAGAAACTTACTTGATCTTGGTAGGTGCCATCGAAGAGTACCGCGAAGAGAAGGACGATCGCCAACATGGCCCGGTTCATTTTGTGATTGATACAAAACGTCCTCGGTTCCCATTCCCCGGGACTCTCCCCGTTAATTGGTCCCTAATTGGACTCATGGAGTATCCCAAAAACCAATCAGAGGATGAAGAGAAAGTGAGAGCGCTTTCGATACGGTGGGATCATTCCAAAATGAAGTCGGCCGCGTTTTTGGTGCTCCTTCTCAGCTTCGTTTTTCTAGTGGTTCAAGCTCAGGTCTGTTAGGAGATGTTCCAATCGTTTCAAGGGAAATCATTTCGGTTTGAAGTTTGCAAATCCCAAAATAATCTCAAATACTAAAGGTCTAGATGAATTGTTGACGAATCTTGAGATTAGAAGTTTCGAAGTTCTTTCAGAGGCTTGAGAACTGCAAGCGGTTCACGCCCGAAGGGGCGAGGAGAAGGGATTCCCAAATCCTGGAAACGGTTCACCAACTCGTCACCGAAGACACGACGATCCCCTTCGCAGTCCGATTTCTCGTGATCCACCTCCTCGACTCCATCAAAGGCTGTCGTCCTATCAGAAGATGTCCCGCGGGATCTTCGCCTCTCATTTCGAGATCCATGACACTCACTTACACCAAGTGGTTCGAGGATAATCACAACAAGACCATGGAAATGTTAAGACGCTGATATGGCGGACTTGTCTTCAATCGTACTGAATAAAAGTTTATCATTACCTTCTAATTTTGTGACTCATGTTTGATCAAACCGAAACACATATATAGTCAATCCTTCACGATTTGGAAGGCGAGGGTGTGCGTGCGCGATTCTTGGAAGCGCCAGCGAATACTTTGGAGAGATCTTCCTTTATTTTTCAACCCTTTAATGACTTTTTCTGGAATTGAACTCGTGCCAAGAGCCGCATACGCACACGCTACGCGTCCCTCGCCTTCCAAGTCGGGAAGGATTGACTATATAGTGACTAATTAAAAATATTCAATCTCATCTTTATTTTCGGCACTCGGCGCAGCTGCATGAGGAAGCCAATGATCGAAATTGCAAATTTCAAAATAGTGACAGATTATAGTCCATTTGCCGCGACTTGACAGTTTTCGAGTGTCTGCGTCTCTCTGTTCTCTCACACGTGAGGTCAGAGAAGGACGAACTTCATCATGAGAGGGTCGCCGAGAGACAAGGAGGGCGCAGAGAAGTCCGGTCCTTCTCAAATCGTGAAAACGGATAGATCTGTGATTTTTATCATTTCGTTTTTTTTTCCGTTGTTCCCTCTAAGAAAATTCCCTTTTCAAGTACAAGTACAGCTCCAAGACACCCAGCACGTTTACAGACTTATTTCACCTTCAAAAAGAAAAGTTTCTAGACAACAAATGTTTCCGGATTATTGCCAAACACTACAATAGCCAAAAGATTAAGTTTCGTCGATAAAAAAGAAACAAAATCAAACGCTTGATGGAGATTTTACGACGCCTTTTCTTCGATTTTATCGTCGGAAAGGCTTAAAAGGCGTTTTCAAAAAGAAATCCTTCTTTGGTGAACCATGAAATACTTCGTTTTTCTCGCTCTTGTCGCCGTCGCCACCGCCGCGACGTTCCAACATCGGGCTGGAGCCGACGACACGGCGGCTCTTCTGACCGGAGGAGTCAAACCGGCCGCCTGCCTTCCCGATGATCCGCTCATCTCCATCTTCATGGACCTTTTCAAGGTTTGTTGTTGTACAATTATATTATTTTTTCAGTAGAGCTGGCTGAGGGCCTCTAGTTTGAATACTTTCCTGCCTTCAACCAAAAAAAAAAACTCAAAAAACGATTATTTACATACTTTATCCGTCATCTGATTTCTCTCCACCCTCTCTTCCTTCGGTGACACTCTCACTTTCACATGCTATTTTAAATTTTCTATGAACCCACTGATGAGGGAGAAGAGAGCGCAGGCAGGTCAGACTGGTTCGAGTAGTAGAAAGGACGAAGAGCCGGCTAGAAGGATGAATTTGAAAATCATAAAAAATGTTCAGGACGAAGAAGTGATGAACGTGGTGCACAGGGCGATGTTCGAGAGCAAGTTCAACTTCTCGAGCTACGAAAAGATCACCCAAACTGTCATCCGAAGGGTCATCCGATGGGTCAACAACAACAAGCAGTGCAATTGCAAAGTCCCAATCCGTGAGTCCATTGGATACTTTTGAAATAATGGAACTTTTTTTCCAGATTAAACTCGAAGAAGCTCCCCGGACCAACCATACTTTTCAAGGCTGATAGAGAGATTTATTTTTCTTTGAATAAACGTTTTGTCTCGAATATTTGTTGAGTTGCATTTTATTTTCTTGATCCAAAACTGAAGGTTTTTTGAAAAGTTCCATGAAGCCAAACATCTACTTGATTTGAAAGCTTCTAGCCGCACTTAAAATGGGTCGAGAGATGAAAATGATCACACTGAAAATCGTTTTGAGCGTAATTAGACAATTAGTAAATATATAAAAATATATGATTAAGACGAAAAAAGGCGGATAAAATCGTTCAAAAGTGCGCTAGTACCTAACGTAGTAACTAACCGACAACATATCAAGAATTTAAACAATTTTGGAAACGGTTAGAAAATTACTCCGAGGGAACAACTTCAAAATATTTTTCTGTATCAAGCTAAAGATTAAATGACCAAGTCATTTTCGTTTTGAAGTATCCCTGATTTTTCCCTAGTTGGAACATTCTGATCTGTCTGCGCCCTCTTCTCTCTCTCTCGTCGGTGAGGTTTTAGAACGATAAAAATATTACGTTAAAAAGAAGGCGCAGAGAAATCAGACAGTTAAAAGTGGCAGTGAGCGATTATTGAATTCTTAATCAAAAAAATTGAATTTTCCCCTGCTACTGAACTGTTGAATCTATAGAAGTTCGATCACCAAAAAAGCGCAGACAAAGCCATAAGGCTGAAAAATCAAAAAAACCACGAAAAGCATGTCGTAACTCCAACAAAAAGCATTTGGACAAAGTTATCACTTGATGGCTTCCATAAAATGAAAACGGCTTGAGGGAAAAGTTTCATTGAACAATTGTCGCGATGAAGCTTTTCCTGGTCGTTTTCTTCTGTTTGGTCGCCGGAGGAACTTCATCTTTTACCGATGAGATGAACGCCGTCGAGAAGGAAATCCAAGGCAAGGCCGACCAAGCGACGTCGTGTCTCCGGGAGAACATCAACTACGAGATCATGAAGATGATGTTGATGGTGAGATTTTGGTATTCTTGCATCGGGATCAATCAAAATCATTTAGACTATAGAAAAAGTACAATATTGCTTTGATTAATCGCTCAGGTGGTTCTTCTAGATCTAGAGATCGAATTTTTAAAGATTAATCAGCTAAAAAAATATCAATTTTGACAGGAGGAATCCTTGGCCCAAATGGCACGCGAGCTGCTCAAAACGCAGACTTTGTCCGCCAAGTTCTACGAAAACATTGTCCGCACAATCACTCACAAAACTTTCGAATTGGTCAACAAACAGAACAATTGTCAATGTAAGCTGGGTGAGTTCAAAAATAACTAAATAAAGGAAAATCAATTTCTTTTTTTTCAGCTCAAATCTGAAGTCAACAGACCGAAAGAACGCTGTCTCCGGTTGATTCCTAAAAATTTTTGAATAAAGTTTTATTTCTCTTGTGGTTTGAAACTCTATGATATTATCAAATCAAAATGTTTATTTCTCACACACCATACTAAAATTCACGAAATAGATATAGGGAGAATGAGGAAACATAAAAAGTTTCAAAAAAATAAAACCTCACTCTTTTTCGGAGTCGGGCGTACAACTATTTCAAATTCAAAGCAAAGGAACTTATTTCACCAAGTCCGTTTTTCGAAAAAAAAAAAACAACTCAAAACGATAGTTTTTTTGCAAGGACTTTTCAAAAATTAAGCAGGATTGCGTCGCTCTGCGCTGCAAAGAATTAAAAAAAGAGTTCAATTCGCCTTACCAGTACAGTGGCCGGTACAGTTGCGGGTCCCGTTGGCACTGTTGCTGGATTCGTCGTTGGAAGCGTCTTTGGCTCTTTTGCTGCCGTCGTTTCCCATTTCAGCAGCGGTTTGTAATTTTTTTTGAAGTCCTAAAAGTCCATTTTTATATTCTTAAAATCGAAAACACTTTATTCAAGAAATTTCTAAAAATTCTCATTTTTTTTTTGAAATTTTGATGTCTCCTTGTGCAACTTTGGGGCGTCTAAAAAAACCAAAAAAAAATTTCCGAAAAAAAGTTTATTTTCCAACAGTTTTGAATCGATTTTCGAAACAAAACCAAAAGTTTGGATTCCAGATTGAGCTGCCAGATCGCCTTCATCAAGAGCAATATTTACAAATTTTTACAGATTTACATCTCATCGTTGTAAAATTGTCGTTTATAAAATGGTGAAGCCTCATTATGCAGAATCGCAAATGAATACTGAACGGTGTGCACGAAAAAAAGGAATTGACAGAATTTTAAGCAGAAATGGGAAGGGAAAATTAAAATATTACGGTTGGCGTATAAAAGGCAAATTGTGGCTTTTTCCCCCGTCATTAACATGTCGAGCCGATTTTTGCCGTTTCTTTGCCTTTCTTCGTTTTTTCTGAGTGTCGCCGGCCAGTGCCACAGTGGCTGGGTTCTGGTCCATCGCAACAGTGGCGAGTGGTGTATACAGGTTTATTTTTTCAAAATGAGATTTGAGTTCTCCATGATAAAGAACGAAATAGGTGAAATCTTAGACAACAAGATCACTTTCAACAGCTTCAAAAAGCTTAAAATTGCAAAAAATGACTCCAAAACACTTCAAAAAAAAAAACAGAGGCCTCGAAGCGAATTTTGTTCGGTATACGGTCATTTTGGCAGGAAATGGCTCGAAATAGGGCCAAGTAAAAAAAATAGAAATTTCATGGATGTAGAAGTTGTTTTTCAAAGAGAATTTCTATCTTCAAGGTCTAATTAATAATTAAAAAAAGGTTGGAAGGTCTTTTTGCTGCATTTCCGGTGTGTTTAAATAAGGTATTTTTTTCACCAATATTTCAGATAATCCAAGAAAAAACTATAGTAAGGGTTTTCTGAACAGAATAAATAATCTTTCTTCTCAAAATAATTTCCCAAACTCTTCAGATTTTCTTCGGAGACACTACGGGTTACGGTGCCGTAGATAGATGTGCAGGTCAGGGAGCAGTTCTCACCGGAATCGAGAACACCGAAGAAATGCATGTCATCATCAGTAATCCAGTTCTAGAGATAAAATTCGAAGCTGTCGAGTTTATAGACCAAATGAAGCAAATAACAATGAAAAACGCTCTTCCGCCAGATGCCGGCTTCTGGATTGGAGCTCAAAGACGGTGTAACTGCTTCGATAATAGAAATCCGAATGAGTGCACCCGAGAAAATGTTGGTTTCTCTTTCTTCTAACAAGGAAGGTTGCTTTACTTTGCGGTTGGGAATTCCTTGATGAGTGGCCAGAGGGCTCCTCGAGGTTACAGAAGAAGATCCTGAAAGTATCAGGCTGCAAAACTTCCTAGTTCTTGGGAATGAACATCTCGGAGCTAAAGAAAACCCTTCAAACCAGTCGAAATGGGCTATTTTGAGCCTTTATTTCTAGAAAACTAGGAGTTTTGTCAGGTAGAGATTTTCAGGAGCTTCATCTGGTACATCAAGGAATACTCTGGCCTATTTTCAAGAAATCCCAACCGCAAAGTAAATGAACCCTTGTAAGTAAAGGACTACTAAAATGTCTCGTTGGACTGTACCCTTTTTCTTCTTTACCACAGGTATATGTAGCAATAAGAGAGAGGCTCAGAGAAGCTAGCAAAATTAAGAAGCGTGGTCCAAAAAGCACAAAATATCTTTCTTTTTTGTGATTTCGTTCAAAGTCGAAATATTTATGAACAGACTCAAAAAGAGCCATAGATTCACTCAATAAGAAGTAAAAATTTTTTTGAACTTCATTCATCTGGCCGCAAAACCAACAAACGAGATAGACTTCTGGATCCTTTGTTCATTTGGAGGCCAAAATTTATTATGTGTAACCATAGTTATTTTTCTCTAGTGGTTTTCTGTATAGTAAAAAACCTTTTTCGGAAAAGATTCCATTTGGAAAACGTTCTGGTAGCCTCTAAAGAGGTCTCTGAAAACGTCATTGGTCATCTCTCAATCAAAACAAAAATCATCAACTTTTACTCAGATCTACGCGTGGGCGGACGGATTGACGAAAGGTTACTGGGGATTCACAAGATGGGCCTACAAAGAACCCAAAGGATATTATCAGAGAACCAACGTCGAGGATTGCGTCTATGTCCGCTACAATAACCGGAAAATGGATGGAGAGCTTGCGGACGCTAAGTCAGTTCTCTCTTAAGATATAAGGAATCTAAGAAACTTTTTAAGGTGTGAGGAAAGAAATCCAGCGGTTCGAGGCTACGTCTGTGGCCGCGCGCCACTTGCCCTCGATCAAATCTGATCTGATAACTGTTTTGGAACAAATAAATCAAGATTTTCTGTTTTTACGTATGTGGAAGTTGTAATAGTGCAGGAGATTTTCCGTAACTGACCGCATGAGATGGATCGAAAGGCCGTTGATTTTTGGCAGAAATAAACTAAAGGCTTCATTATAAAGCTGCAACTTTGGTACCTTTTCCTACATGTTTTCTAAAATATTGAATACTTATTTGTTAGAAGCTACCTTTTCTAATTTTTTTTCATTTCTGAAGCTTAGAAGAAGTCTAGTCGACTCATAAAATAGACGTTAGCAAAATGTTAATTTTATTCAATTTCTTTTTTCAAACTTCGTAGGTTTCACTTTGACTGAGTTTCAAACTTCGTAGATTTTTGAAAGAAGTTTTGAAAAATGAAGTGGGGCTCACAGATTCCAATTAGTTCAACTTTAACTACTGCACTTTCCCAAAAAACAATTCCAGTCCACCTCTGGTACTCACAAACCGTTTATCAACAATTAACTGGAGAGAAAATGGGAGAAGAATTGAAGAACTTTCGTTTTCATTGTTCGAAATGACTCTGGTCCAGTCCACCGTCGTTTTTCTGGCTCTTCTGGCGCTGGTCAACGCCGACACCTTCAAGGTTCTTTTCCTTTTTTATTCTGCTAATAAAGCTTGGAAAATGTCAAGGTCAAGCCGGCTGATCTGAAAAAGTCCCGACAGGCCATCCTTGACGATCTGAAAATGTCATATCATCTGAAATACGCGCTCGTTCATCTTCTCGACGAGCTCGAAAATGCTTGCGTTGACCGAAACGAGATCGAAAACTGCGGCATCGGTTAGTTTGTACAGGAAAACAGGACGTTATGAAAAAAAAAATCTAACGCGAGTCACAATGAAAAAATTGAGTTCCTTCAGGTTTATTGCTGGAATTATTGAAACAGACAGAAAGCGAAAAAAAAGTATTCAGCACTTCTCTTTGCCTGTGAACCTTTTGAAAAAGATCCACGCTTAAAAAACCTTCATTCTTAGCCAGCCTAGGGATCTCGTTAGGAAAATTTGAATATATTGAAAAGGATTTGCAGGGTTTCTTCCTAATTTTTTACTTTCAGAGACAGATCCTGGTCACCTAGGACATCATGAAATTGAATGTCATGCAAATGACACCTGTCAGCCGTATCAAAGTACGAGTCATTGTAGTTCTTATGCAAGTCCTCATCATTGTACCAATGATTGGTGCATCGTCAAGGATAACAAAGGCGAATATTCTTGTGTCCAGGTATGTCACTATGAATGAATTTTTTCAAATTAAAAAACTGAAAAACATGGATGAACATTTCTTTTCTTAAAATTTTGAGAAGAAAAATATTTAATATTTTTTCCCGACTTGAAGTCTTTAGGCGAAGATTTACTGGGATGATTTGTTAAGGTCGCGACGCGGATTTTGGTGGGAACACGAATTAAACGCGAACATTAAAGTTAGAAGTTAAAAGTTCATTCACTCTTCAGCGAAGTTTCTCTGCTAATTAATGGAATAAATGAAGAGTCGGTCGTCGGTTTGCAGGATTGCGTTGACCAAGAATGGCTCGTAGATCATCCCGTCTTTTTTGGATAGTAACGTTAGAATGTTGAGCGTCTCGACGACCACTGCTTCATCATGTAGGAACAGTAAGACGCCCAGCTTGTTCGGAGCTAACTTCGAAATAAATCTCAGGCGAGAGCGGAGATGAAGAACGATACTCGCCACTCGGGATGTAGAAATGAGAAAATAATAAAAATTATTAGGAAATTTAGTCCTTCAAATTATAAATTTTCTAGATTTAATTGAACGACAAGGACAAAAAGACCGCAATACCTTAAAAGAGAAAAGTCGGTATGAAAAAATCACCGTTCTTTTAAATTCTGAGTAACCGCCAAAAATCAGCGCCCACTTCATCCGTTTCTGAATATTCGGTAACGCAAACCGGACGCGCCTCGGACGCTTCTGAGCACTCTAGTGATCCTTTTAGCAGCGTCAGCACACTTCAATGATGCCTAGAAGTGCTCAAAGGGCGCGTTCGATGGGCGTTATCGCGGTTTGAGTAACCGTTGTAACCTTGACAAAAGTGTCAAGTTTTGAACCCTATTTCAATGATTATTTTTTCAATTTCACAGGTATTGTTTGATCACGATCTCAGCCGGCAGAGAAAATGTGACACAGTGGGTGCCGAATGGACCGACGTCCGAACTTTGGAAGAACTGAAATTTGTGCTAGGTAGAGATCGCGATACAAACAAGAAAAAAAAATTCTCAGGACAAGCACAATACCATCGACATGATTTCACAAACCTCAACATCAGAGAAGCGCGAGTGTGGGTTGATGTGAGTCCTTTTGAAAAGCGTTTTGTTACGAATAATGGAAAGAGAACTGTTACAGAAACACAAGAGCTACAGAGAATACGACTACGTCCCAAGAACCGCTACTCTTCTCAGCAAGTAATCCCCAGCTCACCTTTAGATTTATAGTGAAAAATGACAGACCTAAAAGAAAATCCGACTGTCGTCAGATGATTATGCGAGAAACCGACGAACCTTTGGCCGTTGGAGCCTTCATTGATACGGAGTTTGTGGAGACTTGGGAGGAAAGTGAACAGAAATTTCTAATTTCAGCTGCAAAAAAGGATGTGGCGAAGCTTTCGCTACATTCTGCAGACGACCAATAAAGAGAGGTTGATCAGAACCAGCTTTCGCTTTTGAAGGAAAATGCAATAAAATTTTGTAATAAAAGTGGAACATACATACAAACATTTCCTAAACCAAAGGTCAATCAACACTCGGTGAAAGCTTAACAGTTTCATACCAGATCTAGATAGACGGTCGGACCTGAGAAAGATGAAAAAGAAAAATGGCTCGAGGGCAGGCT